GACACAAATGGAAATACAGAATACTCGAAACGCCGCTACAATGGCTTTATCCAGGAAGTGCACACTGCAGATCAGAGACAGCCTCGTTTCCTCCACACAGTCCACTATGGCTATGGCTAACACTAATGTTGCTGAGTTAAGATAATTATCAATGCATGGGTTTTAGCTTTTTGTTGTATGGTGCCATTTTGAGGCTGGTTGACCATTCAAAAGATAAGATATTTTGTTCTGAATTGCTGATAGCCAAAGCGGGAGCGTACCTACGTTCCCACAGCTCTATGTTCCCAAGACCTTGTTTTCTCACATATTGATATTGCTGAAAGGAAACCCGTAACCCTCACCCTTACCCTGGCCCAAACCTTAACCAGAATCTCAAAAACAGGCCCTAATCTTAACCATTACCTTACAACTAACAAATGTGGGAACATAGAGCTGCAGAACATAAAGCCGTAGGAACATAGAGCAGTGATGGGTGTAATTCTGAATAAACTATGTACTAGTTTGTCATGTGTTAGCTTTGAGTACACAAGTAAACACGTGCTTGGCTTTGTTTGAATGTGTTTGGGTGTTGAGTTAATGGGAGGGACACAGAATGGCAGCCACACTCTGTCAGTCAGCCCTTGGGCAACCACAGCTACACTCCACCAGAGAGTGACTGAGGTCTGAGGAGTGTCAAAAAGAATGCCAGTCTGTACCATTATGATTTCTGAAGTTTTAAAATGTGGACTTTTAATTTAAGACAAATTATCACATTTGAGACATTTTTATGTTTTTATTTAACCTATTTGATCAAGTAAAGATACCATTTTGTACCCAATGAATTCTTAAAATGTGCCTAGTGCTTTGTTATCCCACACCCCAATGTTCCCATGAACCGATAAGATGTGAACTGCTTGGAGGAAACGAGACTTTGTTTCAGAGGAAGAAGCCACCAAATATGGAGGACCAAACCTGACTGAGCGAGAAAAGTCATGAGAAAGAAACTGAAGCAAAACATGAGTAACAAAAAGAGAAGAGAGGATGAAAACTGCTAAACAGCCAGAGGAGCACGGGTCAGAGGTCAAAACTGCTGCAGAGGTCAGAGGTCAGACAGTCTCGTGTCCTGTTTATGTGTGAGAGCAAGAAACACTGCTTCTATGACACAAAAGTTTCTCATCCCTACTGTCTATTCTCAAAATGGAAGTTTCCTTTTTTAATTTGGTGTATATGCTCTCTGTAAAGCACTTTGTCATTTCTATCTGTGAAAAGCATTACATAAATAAAGTTTACTTACTGATGGTTTTGTTCTTGTGAGAATATGAACTTGTGTTTATTATTTCTTTTTAAAGATGTTAAAGAATGTTTATGGGCCATGAATAGACCATATGTTCTGCCAAGTTCTAACAACACACTTTTACGACACCAGCTTGACAATTTCTTGATCACTTTGATTGATGTAAGACTTGTTATCAACTACCAGTGTATAAAAACTGTCTGTTACTGAGACTCAGTCAGTCTCTCTTTCATCTCATGTAGCAAAGGAGCCAGAGCTCTCTTTCTTTATCTTCAGAGCTGTATTCTGCAATTTTTGACTCTTTTCTCATATAATAACCAGAAACTCACTATTTGCAAAAACAGCAGTAATAATGTCATGTCTGTGCAGGACTCTTAAATAGTGGTGAAGCACTGAGCTGTGTTTGGGTGACCACCTGAGGCAGGGCTGCCAGGCTGCAGCGACCCACCGGCACAAGAGCGTCTGAAAAAATGCCCAAAACCCTGAAACATATGGTGTTTTTCACTGTATTTATGAAAGTAGTGCTTCTCCAGTGACAGACCTGCTCCTCTCCTCCAAAGTTCATGACTTTCAATAGGATTACTCTAAAATCAATCCTTTTACATGAAAAATAACTCTGGCCAAACCCGCTGTTCTGCTGTTGAGATGCTTCGACCAATTAGATTCAAATATTCACCATGACGCTTTGCTTTTTTGCATTCACTTTCTGTGAGTGTTGCAGATGAATGAAGAACTCTATTCAGAGTTCTACATATCAGTCTGGTGTGTACCAGATTAATGGAGCATTAGAGCCATGTAAATTATCTGATTCTAAATGTGCACTAAAAAAGGTCCTGTTTGTCTCCAAGGAGATGTGATAGCTTTTCCTTGAATGCAAGAACTCATAACCTTGAGTGGCCCCAGAAATCTGAGGCTTCAAAACTTTCACTTTCACTTAAATGCCACCATCAGCTCTCCACCCACTGACAAAACCGCTTTAGTTTGTGTCCCAGGACTCACAGTCTGTGTCTCCTCAATGAACCACTCACATTCTGCTATAGAGTTGTTAAGTGATAATGTCACTTACATATCCAACCAGAAACTTCACAAAGCACATGTTTAACCTCAAATTGTATCAAATATATAAACAATGTACAGTAGTAATAATCTGGCATAACATAAGATTGATTACCGCTGTGTAAATCTCACTTACTGCCTGTCATCTCTAATGTTATCTTAGTCTATCATAGCTTCTTGCCTCCCTCATACACTTTCTGTCACACTTATAACCACAGACGCATGTTTATAATCTTGTTAGCTTTGCACTACTGCAATGGCAATACCTGTTTAACACGAGATGTGTTTTTGCTAAAAAAAAAAAAAAAAAAAAGTTAATTGTTTTTAATCAGCTGATTGACATCCCACTTAACAATTCTATAAGAACAATAACTAAAACTTTGGCCAAAAGGGACCCGGGACAACATTGAAATAAAATTTCTTCACTATTTTCAAATTTCTGTTAATGTTTGTTTGTTTGCTTTCTTATAATCTCATCAGTTCAGTAAAGTGCTCATTTGTTGAGATAGTATAAAATGTGATTATATGTAAATTAAACACACTAGCAAGCAAATTATAATCTAGGCTATCACAATTACTAAAAGCAGAAGTTAGGACACAGAATATAATGCTCAAGTAAAGTAAAAAAACAAAAAAAAAGGTGCAATGGAGTGCAAAGGTAGGTAATTGACAAAAACAACAGACCATAAAACAACACAATTAATACAAAATAAAATAAATCTATAGTGGTTTGGTCCGAAGCAGAGCTGCAGTGGAACATCAGGACAGGTTCAAACAGCCTCAGTCACCCTCAAAACATGGCTCAAAAACTTAAAAAAAAGAAGAGAAATGGAGCTAATTATGGGTCCACGGCAGCACGGCCCAAACATTACTGTAGAGATTGGTGATGTCTAAGGAATAGACCTGAGAGTACTAATTCTGATATCGCGATGAAAATAAAAACACTCTTTCTTTAGACAATGGGATTTGATTTTCACCAATGAATAATAGTACTTTTTTTTTATATTACCATGTGGCTTTATATCAGTGTAATCCTTCAGTTTTCCAGGTAGGTTCCATTGTGGTCCAAAAGCGTATAATATTCTATGTGTAATGGTCTTATACTTGTTCTGACACAGCTCAAGATCAGCCTAAAGCTATTCAGAAAAGGTTCATTTCTGTCCTGTGAATGTGACTTTTTTAGTATCACCACAAACTGTAAAAGTAATTAATACTTTTTTAAAAAAAAAGTCTTAATAAAATTTAGTATTAGCATCACAAGAATGAGTGGCTCTATCCACCTTATTCTGCTCTGTCCACTTTTGCCTAAACTGAGCTTTTTTGTGGTGGCAGTTCCAGTTATGGAACCCCATTCATATCAATGAAGAATTTGGGAAGCATTTTGCATCTTAAATATAACATAAAATCTGTTCATTTGTGTAAAATGTAAAATTTTCATGTGCACCAACAAGTAAACACTGCACCGATTCGCCGGAGGGCTTTAAAATGACTTTATCGTCCATATTGAACTTATTTGCTGTCAAGATCGGCAGCCCCATACAAAAAAATAAAACTTGAATAATGAAAGCTCCTATGGCAATAAGGTGGATAACTATGCCCTGTCTCCCCAATTTTAGAAGATATGATCGACATGATTAACCAATCAGAGAGACGTAAGCTCTGTTCTGGTAAAAGCAAACATGGCAGTTCACGTAAAAAAATAAATAAAAAAAATAGGCAAAAAAACAAAGCAAAACAAAACAAAAAACAACAACACTGGACAGAATGAACAGATAGAAGTTTTATATTTTGTTCTAAATGATACGAACATTTTCGAGAGGGGATGTCTTTTGCATCTGAGAGAGTGTTACAAATTGGTGGTACAGCTGTGGTTGGACCGTGCCAAGTTAGGACGGGGATTTTCACGCGCTGTGGTGGAATTCCAGCCCTTTCTGGAGCCTAACATAATGAAGAAGGGACTGGCTGGTAGTAATGATGATAACTGTGAGCTGACCAGGAACACTTGTGCACAGACACAGGCAGACACAATCAATCTTATTTTTTAGTCCCCAAGTTAAATGCATCAGAACCATCAGAACTCATCATGATTTTTAGATTTTTCTTGTTTGACCAGCCACAGATGGTAACAGATGATTTGACTGTTTTTCAAACGCTTCTTCTTTCTTTGGTTCTAGAGGAAGTGACTATATTTGGACAAGAGGGCGGAGCTGCTGGGCCGTGCTGCCAGTGACATCATCTCAAAAGGACAAATCCAGCTCCATTCACAGGTTTAAGTTACATGTGTGAAAACTGATACTGAGATTTCCTACCACTAAACTGAGTACTGTACTCCATCTCTCCTACTCCACTGCAGCAGCAGAACCATCAGCCTCCGCAGCCTCACCACCCTCACCTATTCACCAGCATAAGAGTTTAGATTCTAGGTGAGACTTTTTCTACTTTTGTGGTAACATTCAAAAAGATAACAGAAAAGATACTTATTATAAACTATAGGACTTTCTTGCCTGAATGTCCCTCTAGAGCTTCCATAGCTGCTCTAGATATTTCTTAATTCTTATCCTTAGTTTGAATGAGCTGGATGTGTCCCTTTGCGTGTGTTAGCTTGACTTTCCCCACAGGAGGAGGGTCAAACCAACATGCTGCACTCTGATCGGCTGTCTGCATCCCTTACCGGTCGCTGTGGTCCAGTGGGCTCAGACTCTCTCCGCCGCGGCCGACCCGAAGGCAGCGAGTGACAGGGTGACTGGGCTGGACTTCCTGTACTCTTCCGCGATGCTTCCTCCTCCGTTAGTGTTAACATCCCACGGCTGCTGTCCCTCGTGTGGGTTTTGGGTCGCACCACCAGCTCACCTGTACCGGGGAACAAACAAATACGTTTGATTAGAGCCTCATCTTAGCACTCGTATGAAAAGAGTCAAACCACAACTGGAAACAGATTACTTTCAGACTTAAAGAAGACATACTGTGCTTGTGTCTGCTATATAATTATAATCTATTACACCTATGACGTTTTAAAATATTGTAAATATTGAGCTAAAATGACTTCATAAAAGACAAATTTTTGCTAACTAACCACTTTGGAAAACTGCAGTCCAATGGGAGCTGAAGTCGCCATAAAAGTAATTAAAGCAAAAAGCTGCATAGCTGTCATCACCTCAGGTATGGATTATTTAATTTCATTCATACCAAAATGATGATTCTGCCAAATTCTATTTAGGCCATCACAAAAATTACAATATTGACTTTGTTCAGTATATGAAAGCTGTAACAATATTTTGGGGCTCAATCCTGTGTAGTTTCTTTGTAAAAGTGGATAGAGTTAGGGTATTTTTGTTGTAATACAATAACGTTTGAGCTGTAGAGGGTTGAATAAATAATGTATTTTTTATTATTGCTTCATTCTGTTATCGTCTGCTGTAAATAAATTTGCACCTGTCTCGCCAACATGCTATATTATCTCACAGTTTTTGCTTTCATTATTGTGATAAATCAGGCAGCACCCACTAAACAACTTCATTTGCATTTCCTCCACCCCAAATTTTACCCTTGTTTGACAAAAAAAAACATTTGCATAGTGAATTGTTCATCGGTGTGAAGTTGCGTTGTGTTGCATATGAGAAACTGCGTTGGTTTTTGGCTCCACTTTTAGCATGGTTAGCTGGTTAGCACGCTTGATAAATGAGGCCCTTATACTGTGCAATTTGTGCATTTCAGGCTAATTCTTCTTTCCTGATTTGAAGGATTTTCTGAGGAACCTTTCTATTCAAAACATAATATTTAGATTTTGAATTGCTTAATTGTTATGGCAATGAAGGACCATTGTCACAGTTTGACACCCATAAACATAATTCACTACTCTCACATCCCATCAGTCCTGGTACCTGCGGCCCGGAGCCTGCGTCTCTCCTCCGTCTCCTCCAGGGGGCGCAGTTCTTCTGGCTCTTCGTCAGTGGTGCCGGAGGTGGTGGGCTGGAAGTCTCTGAGCTCCGTCTCTTTGTCGATGATCACCCACTCTTTGCTGTCGAAGTCCTCCTCCTCAGCCAGTGGGACAGAGCGGATGAAAGCGTTGCTATGGGCCTCCTGGTCGACTGATGCCACAGAAATCTCCTGCCGACCGCTCGCCTGTCGGTCTCCGCGGCAACCAGGATCGATGGACAGCATCTGTGCCGGCTGCGACGAGTAAACGTGCCGTGACGGAGAGCCTAACATGTCCATACGTGACCTGCAGACAGACATAAAACCATGTCTGAACCAGGTCTGAACCAGGCTTGAACAAAGTCTAGATAAGGTCTGCACCAGTTCTAAATCAGGTCTGAACCAGATCTGGACTGGGTTTGGACCAGATTTTATCTGTATCTAAACTAGAGTTGAGCCCAATCTGATCCAGATCAAAAACAGTCAAAACCAGGAGTAGACTAGATGTAAACACTCTCAGTCTCACTGAATGAAGGCATCAAAACTATGAATGAACATGTAGCAAACAAAAATTCTACTCAAAATAACCCAAAGCTAGTTTTAGATTTTACAACACTGTAAAACATTGTATAGGCCAATATTATGCAACACAGAATGCTGCAAGTTCTTGGATCTAGTCACTAATAGAATAGATCAGGTTTGGGATTTCTGCATTTCCTTTTTGGAAAGTTCTTGGCAAAGTACAATGTAATCAATTTGGAAATCTGTCTCCCAATCTGAGATTATGACATTAACACATTCTATGAGATGAAAATCACCAATATAGGACCTGGACCTTTAACTTTTTTTTCTTTGCCACATAATTCTATATTTTATTTGATGTCTTCCATATGTATATAAAATGTAGAAAGTAGTAAAACCTTAGATCCCAACCAATGATCTGAACCGGGTCTGAACCGGGTCTGAACCGGGTCGGAACCGGGTCTGAACCGGGTCGGAACCGGGTCTTGGCTCTGACCTCTGTCCGTATCCATCAGCGCGCCCCTCTGCCGCAGACAGGCGGTCGGACTCGGGGCTGTTGACTCGACGGTAGCGCAGAGACCTGCCTTGACCACTCGGAGACTCTGGAGCTCGGACCGGTCCTGGGTCCTCTTCTGGTCCTCCCTGTGGACCATAGCAATTAAGGCTCAACTGTATTCATCAGGTTTACCGTTAAAAGTTCAGACATAATGGGCTAATCAATTTAAGTCAAGTTTATCTGATTTAAAGTGGGAATAAACACATAAACTCTACCCACAAGCACATTTCAACAGAGCTGCTAAAGTATCTGGAGGACTAAATAAAAGAGAGAGTGGGGAGGAGGGACTGGGTCTGGAATTATAAGAAACAGTGTGGTCCAAACAGAAACCATTGGCTTTAATTCACACATTCATGTGTGATGTCAAGTAGAAACTGTAGAGGATGTTGAGGGCAGCATAAACTTGAAAGTGTATCCTGCTTTGTATATTTATGGAAATTTGCCTTGCAGGAGCATGGATGACGTTGGCCTGTGGGCTGAGCTTTGGAAAGAATCATACTGCTTGGAGTTGGAGAAACTGCTGTAACTGTATAACCCCTTTGACTGTACCTTGTTAAGGCTGATTCGGAGCCGGTTGCGGTTAAAGTCTGTGTCCTCCCATCCCTCACCACCATCAGCCAGTTGTGCGTCACCGTGGAGGCGAGAGTCGGGATGCTGCCCGTCACCATGAAGACGTGCAGGTGGAGGCGGGGGGGCATTCTCCTGGTCGCTCAGGTGTTCATCCTGAAGAACATCATCTGTGTTCTCTCGCTGAAGGTCTCCAGGAACCGGAGTGACAATCGCTCTGTGGAGACAAAGACAATGCAGATGAACTATTGATACTTTGCAGCTGGCGTCATCAACTTTCCTTAGTTTGTGATGCTAACTGGAGGCACTAATAAGCTCTAATACTCAAGTTATGGTGCCTTCAGATCCCGGCTTCAGGAGCATTTGATGTAAGGTTTATGAGAGACGAGAGTCTAGTCTAGTCCACTGTTTCTGCATTTCAAGCTCTTAACACAGCATGTTTCAGCATTTGCACCAAGTGAATCAAACACCAGAGTTAAAAAATCTGAACACTGATTTGTCCACAGCATTTGCCCACTGATCTGAATGTTGGCAGTTCAAATCCCGCTCTCAACATAAAACATCATTGGTCCACTGACCCACAGGCTGGTGGTATAATTCCAATTCCCAGAGATGAATGCTGTCGTGTTCTTGCGCAAGACACTTAACCCATCTCGCTCCTAGTGTCTGCGTACACTGGTGTATGAATGAATGTGTGAATGGGTGAGTGGTTCCTTGTTGTAAAGCGCTTTGAGTGCCTTCAAGGTGGAAAAGCCCTATATAAAAATGCACGATCAGAACCCCCTAAACTCAACCATAGTGGGTCTGGTGCTGTGCTGTTACGGGCCTGATGGGGGTGCAGTGGGCCTGATGTTTTCTTGCTTTACGTCTGTCAGGGCACTCTTACCCGACCATAGCTGCTGTGGGCCTGGTGTTCTGCTGGGGCTGTGTGGAGGCACTGGTCGACATGGTGGCGTCGCTCCCTCCTTTCTCCCAGTCGAAAGGCTCGTTCTCTGTAATGATTCGCTCCTTCATGCTGTTCTCAAACACCGACATTAGCAGCTGCAAAGCACAACAGCACTTGTCAGTGCACTGACTTTCAAAGGTGAGTAGAGTAGCCAAAAAATGTCAAAAATAATATTACTCCAGAACAAGTAGTGGTCTAAGAAAACAATCAAGTAAAAGTAAAAAAAATATTAGTTAAGTAAAAGTAACTTAAAGAGTAACTGTCGGGATATAACATCTGACTTATAATTTGATTAAATAAGTTTATATGATTTGAAGGAACACAAAAATTTGAAAAACAAAATAATATCTGAAGGAGCATTGCAAGAAACACAAATGTTCAAATGGTTCAAATATTGTCAGCATGAAGTGTTTGTCTCTTGTAGACTTACTCATGGTGTGAAGACTAACTACAAACTTTATCTTTAAGAGTACTGTTTCTTCAATAAGTACTAATACTTTCAATAAAAAATATCAATCAAATAAGAGTAAAAGTATGCTGTTAGAATAGTACTCTGAAAATACAATTTCCTTAAAAAGTTACTCAAGTAAATGTAACCAACTAAAAGTAACAGAGTACTACCCACCTCTGCTGACATTTTCATGCATTATGCATAATATGCATAATTTATTCAATAACAACTACCAACGCTTCCTGTGGCCAAGCCTCTGCACATAGCACTGGCAGAATGCTTTATTGTGAAAAGATCATACAATGGACAAAAGCTATCTCCAGAGGTGGGTAGAGGCACCAACAAAAAAACTTATTTCAAAATAATATCACTCAAGTACAAGAAATTACTCTAGTAAAAGTGAAAAAGTATTTGGGGAAACAACTACTCAAGTAAAAGTAATTAATTCTAACTGTTTGGACATAACATCTGATTTTTTGTAGACTTAACCACAGTGGGAAGAGTAACCAAAACTTTATCAATTTCCTAAAAAAAGTGACTTAAGTAAAAGTAACTGAGCACTACCCACCTATGTTGTGTGCAAACGTAAACGTTGAATAGTCCTAAACATTAGGCAAACTTATTCATTCTTCATGCTGTGAGGAAAATGCCTACTACTCTGCCATCATCCTGCTTCTGGTCTAATGTAGCATTTGTAAAACTGAAGTTGGCAGAGGTGGAAGAAAAGTTGTACCTGGTAGTCTGGTTTGGTGAAGTAGTCCAGAGCCTGAACATGGTCCAGGAAGACGTTAAACTCCGAAGGCATGTGTTTGAGCAGCATCCTGTGGTCATAGCGCTCCTTTATCTGTCCAACTTGCTCCTGAAATAAGAAAGAGGTGTGTCAGATGCTCTCTAGTCCTCCTATATCCTTATGTCAGATGTTCTCCCATTTTCTTGTATCCCTGGTGTTAGACTGAGATGTGGGCAGGTCAAATATCTCTAGTTAATCTGCAGATGTTGTATTGTGGTTGATGAAATATAGTGGCCCCTCCTTGAACCGTCACCTTATCGTGGTGGAGGGGTTTGAGTGCCCGAATGATCCCGGGAGCTATGTTGTCGGGGGCTTCATGCCCTTGGTAGGGTCACCCAAGGCAAACAGGTCCGAGGGGACGGGTCAGACGAAGAACGGTTCAGAAGTCCCATATGTTGAGTTACACACAGAGGCCAGTTACGTCGCCCGGACTGGCATCACCGGGGCCTCACCCTGGAGCCAGGCCTGGGGTGGGTGCTCGCCAGCGAGTGCCTGGTGGCCCCCACGGGGCCCGGCCGGGTTCAGCCCAAAGGAGTGACGTGGGGCCGTCCTGACGTGGGCCCACCACCCGCGGGAGGATCCATATGGGGCCGGTGCATAGGGATCCGGGCAGCAGTCGACGGCGGGGGCCTCGGCGACCAGATCTCCGGACATGGAGACTAGCTCTGGGGACATGGAATGTCACCTCGCTGGGGGGGAAGGAGCCTGAGCTGGTGCAGGAGGTTGAGCGTTACCGACTAGATATAGTCGGCCTCACCTCCACGCACAGCTTGAGCTTTGGAACCCAACTCCTTGAGAGGGGCTGGACTCTCCATTTCTCTGGCGTTGGCCGTGGGGAGCGGCGGCGGGCTGGTGTGGGCCTGCTCATCGCCCCACAGCGCAGCCGCTGTGTGTTGGAGTTCACCCCGGTGAAAGAGAGGGTCGCGTCCCTGTGCCTTCAGGTCGGGGACAGGTCTCTCACTGTGGTGTCGGCCTACGGGCCGAACAGCAGTGCTGAGTACCCGGCCTTCTTGGAGTCCTTGGGAGGGGTACTAGACAGTGCACCGACCGGGGACTCCATTGTTCTACTGGGGGACTTCAACGTGGGCAATGACAGTGACACTTGGAGAGGGGTGATTGAGAGGAACGGCGTCCTTGATCTGAACCCGAGCGGTGTTTTGTTACTGGACTTCTGTGCTAGTCACAGTTTGTCCATAACAAACACCATGTTCGAGCACAAGGGTGTCCATAAGTGCACGTGGCACCAGGACACCCTAGGTCGGAGGTCGATGATCGACTTTGTAGTCATGTCATCTGACCTCCGGTGAAGAGAGGGGCTGGGCTGGAGATATGGAGTCCGAGTGGGCTCTGTTCTCGGCCTCTATTGTCAATGCGGCCGCTCGTGGCTGTGGCCGTAAGGTCTGTGGTGCCTGTCGCGGCGGCAATCCCCGAACCCGGTGGTGGACACCGGAAGTAAGGGATGCCGTCAAGCTGAAGAAGAAGTCCTATCGGGCCTTGTTGGCTCGTGGGACTCCTGAAGCAGCTGACTGGTACCGGCGAGCCAAGCGTGCTGCAGCCCGTGCGGTTGCGGAGGCAAAAACTCTGAGCTGGGAGGAGTACGGGGAGGCCATGGAGGAGGACTATCGGACGGCGTCAAAGAGATTCTGGCAAACCGTCCAGCGCCTCAGGAGGGGGAAGCAGTTCTTTGCCAACACTGTTTACAGTGCGGGGGGAGAGCTGTTGACCTCGACTGGGGACGTTGTCCGGCGGTGGAAGGAATACTTTGAGGATCTCTTCAATCCCACCGTCACGTCTTCCGAGGAGGAAGCCGAGGCTGGGGACTCGGAGGCGGACTCGTCCATCACCCTGGCTGAAGTCACTGAGGTGGTTGGCAAGCTCCTTGGTGGCAAGGCTCCGGGGGTGGATGAGATCCGTCCTGAGTATCTTAAGTCTCTGGATGTTGTGGGGCTGTCTTGGCTGACACGCCTCTTCAACATCGCGTGGCGGTCGGGGACAGTACCTCTGGACTGGCAAACCGGGGTGGTGGTCCCTCTGTATAAGAAGGGGGACCGGAGGGTGTGTTCCAACTATAGGGGAATCACACTTCTCAGCCTTCCCGGTAAGGTCTATGCCAGGGTACTGGAGAGGAGAATCCGGCCGATAGTCGAACCTCGGATCCAGGAAAAGCAGTGTGGTTTTCGTCCTGGCCGGGGAACACTGGACCAGCTCTACACTCTCCATCGGGTGCTCGAGGGTTCATGGGAGTTTGCCCAACCAGTCCACATGTGCTTTGTGGACTTGGAGAAGGCATTCGACCGTGTCCCTCGTGGTGTCCTGTGGGGGGTGCTTTGGGAGTATGGGGTCCGGGGCCCTTTGCTAAGGGCTGTCCAGTCCCTGTATGACCGGAGCAGGAGCTGTGTTCACATTGCCGGCAGTAAGTCAGACCTGTTCCCGGTGCATTTTGGACTCCGCCAGGGCTGCCCTTTGTCACCGGTTCTGTTCATTGTATTTATGGACAGAATTGCTAGGCGCAGTCAGGGGCCGGAGGGGGTCCGGTTTGGGGACCACAGGATTTCATCTCTGCTGTTTGAAGACGATGTTGTCCTGATGGCTTCATCGAACCAGGACCTGCAATGTGCACTGGGGCAGTTTGCAGCCGAGTGTGAAGCGGCTGGGATGAGAATCAGCTCTTCTAAGTCCGAGGCCATGGTTCTCGACCGGAAAAAGGTGGCATGCCCTCTCCGGGTGGGTGGAGAGTCCCTGCCTCAAGTGGAGGAGTTCAAGTATCTCGGGGTCTTGTTCACGAGTGAGGGGAGGACGGAACGTGAGATTGACAGGCGGATCGCTGCAGCGTCTGCAGTGATGCGTTCGCTGTATCGGACCTTTGTGGTGAAGAGGGAGCTGAGTCGAAAGGCGAAGCTCTCGATTTACCGGTCAGTCTTCGTTCCTACTCTCACCTATGGTCATGAACTCTGGGTAATGACCGAAAGGATGAGATCGCAGATACAAGCGGCCGAAATGAGTTTCCTCCGCAGGGTGGCTGGGCGCTCCCTTAGAGATAGGGTGAGGAGCTCAGTCACACGGGAGGTGCTCGGAGTAGAGCCGCTGCTCCTCCACGTCGAGAGGAGCCAGTTGAGGTGGCTCGGGCATCTGTTCCGGATGCCTCCTGGGTGCCTCCCTCGGGAGGTGTTCCGGGCATGTCCCGCCGGGAGGAGGCCCCGGGGAAGACCCAGGACACGCTGGAGGGACTATGTCTCTCGGCTGGCCTGGGAACGCCTCGGGGTCCCCCCGGAGGAGCTGGAGGACGTGTCTGGGGTGAAGGAAGTCTGGGAGTCCCTGATTAGGCTGCTGCCCCCGCAATCCGGCCCCGGATAAGCGGATGAAAATGGATGGATGGATGAAAATATATTGGGAGAATGAACATTGTCACTAATAGAAATGATCAGAAAACATTTGTGGATTCTCCCTTTTGAATATATGAAAAATCTCACTTTTGGAGCCCTCATAAGGTTAGGGACATAATGTTTGCATACTAGTATTCACCTTGTCTTTGATTTTTCTCCATGGTAACTGTCCCACTGCGAACTCCACCAGCATGTAGAACAGGGACCACAGGTCATCGTGCCGACCCATTTCCTGAAACAAAACCAGGTTAAATACTTATCTTTTTTTTTTTTTAACACTACTTGGTGCACCCAAGCCTTGGTTCGTTAGTCTTATCAATCATATCATGTAGTTCTAAAAAACAACAGCAGATGGTACTACACCTGTATATGCTGATATTCTGCTGAGTTTGGAGAGGTTAAATAATCCTCAAAACTCTCCAGTGGAAACATTTTAAAACTATATAAATGCATTAGTATTTGTGAAAGCCGCTTTATAAGATGTACTAAAAATAAGAGTGAAAAATGTGGATGTTTTAACAGATGAAAATGGAAAACTACAGAATCTAATTTTTGGAAAGAATTTTGTTGTAAAAATGTGTATTTAATAATCCCATGCCAAAGGTCACAATATTCACAGGGAAATACAAGTACAGGTAAAACTAGGGTTGACAGGTAGCACATCATTATCATGTGCTTGGGAGTGTGACACTGTTCAGAAATATTGGACTGAGATGAACAAAACTATGCAAATTATCTTCAAAATTCTATTGGAGATATCAGGGGCAGCTTTGGAACATACATTTGGCAGAAAAAAAGAATATTGGACAATTATAAAATGAAGTTGCATAAAATTTTTAATTTTTACCATTAACTGATACAAATAGAATAAATATGAAAAGATTATGCCAAGTATTTCTAGATTATTCCTACTAGCTACTTTGTATTTATTTTTGCTTTCTGTCTTGTTTTTATTTGTATTTGATCTTTTTGTTCAGTGTCCACAGTGACACCCAAAGACGTTTGCTTTAACAGTATTAACTTTATTCGGGTGCTCCCACTTTTGTCTTTAATTCTTCTAAACAGCACTTTCTTTCTAGTGGCACTTCCGGAAATGTGGGAATCTCATTTCTCTCAGTGGAGAATTTGAGAAACACTTCACCGTAAAATATGATATTAAGTAGATTGATTTCTGCAAAATGTTCAGTTTTCATGTGCACCAACAAATCAACAATGCACCAATTCTCTGTCCTTATAGAACGTATTTACTGTCAAGATTGGCAGCCTCATGCAAAATAATTACCTTGTTTTTGTGAGCGTTGACTGAAGCATATCGTACCGTTCCCCTGAAGCCGGCCACTGTCCGTGGCTAAAAAAAATAAATAAAAAAAATAAAAAAAACACAGTCAGACATCGTAAAGAAATGAAAAGTTCAGTAAAAGCATAAGATGTTTACTGTTAATATTCTGGTAAATAGAAAATAATTCAATACTCAATATTTATAAATACATAATGAAAATAATTAGTTCTGGATCAAAATAAATCAAATAAGACAACGTAAAACAAAATGAACAAAATGATGAGGAGAACCACCAGAACATCACAGCCTCAAGCTAAACTGTGTTTCTTTTTTTGTTTGTTTTTTGTTTTGTTTTTGTTTTTTGACAATAAGAAATAAATTATATAGTATCATACTTATAATGGAGAATATTTTGAGGTAAATGTGTGCAGGAAATGCAGTTTTAATCATTCGGACAATTATCTTCACTTAAAATGGTTATGTTTACGATGCCAAAATTTCAAAATCGATTTCGATACCAAGGAATCAAAGAGTATGGTGTGAATGTAGTACTGTATTTCTCACTGTTTGAGCAGAGCTGTAGGAGCCTGTTGGAGAACGAGCTCCTTGGTCCCTGTCTAGTCTGGTGCAGTGGGTGAGCAGGTGTGTCCATCGAGTCTATTCCTCAGTATCAACATCGAGTGCGAAATTTTAGTTCTATAATTACGTTAATTCAAATTAATTTATTTTGTTTGTTTGTGTGAATGTTCTGGTGATGCCATTTTGAGCTCTGCGCCGTTGACACCACTCACATCCCGGACCCCAAGGAGACGATGGAGAAACGGAGGCATGCACGTCAAAATCATAACTCCAAAGCAACTGTAAGAAAACAAAAACAACACAAACTGAACACAACTCAAAAGAAGCTGAAAATATAACAAATAAAACAGGCATCAACAGCAGACAGTGACTTCAAAAACATTTAACAATTACATATTTATATTTTTGGAACATTTAGCAACATCTGTTTGAACTTTATGGAGTGTCAACAAATTACTCCTAAAGAGGGGATATTTTACTTCTGTGGTATATTAATAGCTATACACTTAACATATTTAGATCATCATATTAACTTTTATTGTTTTGAAAATGCTGTATTTGCAAAAAACAACAAATCAACATGTTTAATAAGTTTCACTTCCCCGTCAGAGCGCTATTGCATTACAATTGGTGTGGATGCCGCTACTATTGTACATTGCATCAGGTTTGTGAAGTTGTAGAGTATTATTTTGTATCTTGCTTTTGTATGTGTATAGAAAATTGTTGTGGGTGACATAGGCTGTGGGCTGAGCTTTGGATAGGATTGTACTGCTAACAATAAAATGCTAATGCTAAAAATTGTATTTGGAGATGCAGGAGAGATTGCTAAATTACTCAAACATGCATGGATGACATTTTAAACCTCTTCAGGCATGTTTTTGATCAGGGAATAATGTTATAACATGTTAGGAGCCCTCAATACCCTTAATACCCATTTTTGCAATACTGATAATACCCTTTTTAAAGCCTGATGCCCTTTCCCTTTTAATACACTGTATGGTAAAAGCTGCTAAATAAAAAAAAATGGAGACAGTAAAACATGATCTATTAATTTTACAAAGCATTTTAGCACAGCTCCTGACAGGGTCTCCTCTTCTCTTCCTATCAATAACATTGTTCCAAAGAATCATGGAAAACCAACTGCCTGACCCTAACCCAGATTAGGTTCATTCTGTGTCACGGTATATTTCCAAGAATGGCAAAAAACAAATACTAGGCAGAGATTGACAAACTATAAAGAAATAGCTGCGTGACACTACCCCAAACAGTTGTTTCTGTGTCATGGTGCAAAATCACTGTGGCAGAAATCACTAAAACTAAAACAGGTTATTGACTCATGGTTGACTCATGGAAATAGGGTGCAGGTCCTTTAATCTCAAACCAGGACAAATCAGCAGTCTGACATTTAAAATATGAATACTAAAATAGAATTCTGACGTGTGCTCCAGCTCATTGTTAAACCAGATGGACAGTTTAGCTATGATACTTTTTAATCAAACAAACAAAGAAAAAATAAACAAGGAGCTAAATGACCTAACTCAATAATCTCTACATCAATTTATCCCTCAAAATATCTCTTTCATAGTGTGTAAAAATCCAATCTGACCAGAGGTCAGCTGACACAGGAGCACTTCCTGTCTGCAGAAACAGGAAGTGAAGGAGGTCCCAGAGGACATAAAATATTAATGAAGCCAAGGACAAAAACTGGACTAAAGCAGGACTGAACCAGGTTTAAAAACAGAACTAAAGCAGAACTGAACCAGGTATAAAAACTGTATTATAAAAAGGCTAGACCAGGTCTAGACTGGTATTAAACTGAACCAGGACTATAACAGGACCAAACCAGGTCTAGAGTAGACATCGTATTAAAGCACAGTTAAACCAGGACTAGATCAGGATGAAAAAAAAGACTGAACTAGGACTATAAACAGGGTTAAACCAGGAAAACAGGATTTAACAGGGCTAAACCAAGTCTAAACCATGCCTAATAAAAGACTAAACCAGGACCAATCTCAAACCAAAGTGTTCACAGTTCTAAAAATAGGTCTGACTCATGTTGAATGAGAGAATTAAAGTGACCTTCAAAATAAAAGTCTTGTATTATAATTATATTTTTCCTATCACTAAACATTTATCAATCCATAAGATGACTTTAAAATTAAAAGCTCTGATGCAGACAGGAAGTGGACGTCCTCTTTAAAAAACTGACCTTGTGTTACTGCAATGCACCAAATGCACTACAACACTGTAAACCAGGACTGAGCCAGGACTGAGCCAGGACTGAACCAGGACTGAACCAGGACTGAACCAGGACTGAACCAGGACTGAACTAGGACTGAACCAGGACTGAACTAGGACTGAACCAGGTCTGAAAAAGGACTGAAATAGACCTAAACCAGGTCTGAATCAGGTCTGAACCAGGAATGAACCAGGATTGAACCTGGACTGAATCTGGTCTAAACCAGGTCTAAACCAGGTCTAAACCAGGAGTAAACACTAAACCAAGACTAAACCAGGACTAAACGACATCTGAACCAGGGATAAACCATAACTAAACCGTGACTAAACCAGGACTAAACCGGGATTAAACCAAGTCTGACCCAGGTCTAAACCTGGCCTAAACCTGGATTGAACCAGGATGAATCAGGACTAAACCAGGTCTATACTGGAACTAAACCAAGACTTAAACAGGGCTTTTTGAAGTCTACTATTAAACTATGATAAAGACAAGGGTGTGTTTATACTTCATCAGGTCATAAGGCCAAAACCTGGAACTAAACAAGGACTAGAACAGAAACCAAATCTACATTAGGACTAAAAGTGCTCAAGTCTAAAACACAGGGCTAAAGAACAACCAAACCTCCACTAAAACAGTGACATATTCTGGAAATAAAGTCTACAACTTAAACAAAATGAGTGAAAAGTCCAAAACCAGGCATAATGACATCAGGTGGGAAAAAACACAAATTTAAAGCATTAAATCTGGAGTAAACCGAGCATAAACCTGAATTTAAGATGACTTAAGATGCAGGTCTAAAATGTAGGTCTAAACCAGTTCTGAACCAGGTTTAAACCAGGACTACACCAGGTCTAAACTAGGATGAAAGCAGGTCTAAAGCAATTTCTCACCGGTCGGACTTCCCCAGTGGTATTGGTGTACTGTCGGGCCAAACCAAAGTCCAGCATGTAGCATTTCCTGTAGGTGGAGGGCAGACGTCCCATCGCGAAGTTCGACTGGAAAAAACAAAACAAAAAAAACTAAATAATTTTTATCAGAATTATGTAAATGATACCAATTAAAAACACCAAATCAACTGTGCACCTCACATTGACTATACAATGTTGTGAGACTAAAATAGGGCTAAACCAGCATTAATCCAGATGTGTGTGAGTATGTGTGCGTTATTGTTGAGCCTGTGTCCTGCTGCCACCAGGACTCTCTTGCAAAAGAGATTTTAAATCTTTTTTTTTTTTTTTATATCCTGGTTAAATAATGGTATTGTACATGTTTAGGATCATAGAGTATATACATGGGTATAATATACATGGACAAGTGGACATAGCGAGCCACTGCTTTCCAAATCAAAGTGAGCATGGGAGCAGATTGACCTCACTGTAACTGCTGCTAACAACTCATCATTCAGACCTTCAAATGTTTGTTTAACCTGCTCTACACTATCCTGGTATTTATATTTCACGATTTTGTCCGTAAATCAAGACATGAACATTAATAACAATCAGGCACCACCTTTCTGGCTTGCATTAGCAACAAATTTGATTGATGAGCACTTAGCTTATAGGCCAGGTCTACCAGAACTGACCGGTTTGATGTCTCGGTGCAGGAAGCCCACAGAGTGAATGGCCTCGATGGACTCCAGGATCTGTTTGCCGAGCCTCAGTGTTGTGCTCATGGTGAAGGTACCGCGAGGCTGAGAACGCCGTAGGTCAGCCAGGTTACGGCCCTGGAGTAAACAACAACAGACAGGTAAACAACACCACAGAAAAACAATAACACATGCAAACAAAACAATACAGAGGTAAAAAACAGCAGAAGAGATAAACATCAACACAGATAAACAACACTAGAGTGAAATAAAAAGTAATGTTCCTGAACATAATCAAATACAGCAGTCTATTGCTCTGTTCATATGTGACCATTGGGATCTCAGGAAAAATCTTTCAAAGTTGAAAAATGCACCTGAATGAAGCACAAGTTTTATCTGTCATTCAGATGGCCATACTTTGAAACATCCCCCATGGAGATAGATACACATTTTATGCCATATTGTGGAAGATTCAAGCCAATGAAACAATATTTCCATGGAAACAAGCAGGATGAGGCCCTCCTCCAGGCCAAGTAAGAGTCAGGTTTGTGGAGATGCAAGCCCACTCACAGTAGGTGTTTCTATGCTTTTCAGTGCAATAAACACAACAATTTTTTTTTTTTTATGTCTAAAATGCCGCTTACCTTGGCTTTCCCGCGATAAAAGCACATAAATGCAAACGGAACCCCCAACTCCCACACAACCCCACATGAACGCAGAATATCTTATGTGTTGTTTCCATATTGACCCCAACAGACATAAAATTGGGGTTAGATAAATTTAACCATCTGTGTGAGTGGACCAAATCTGAGAAAATCCAAACAGCCCAATAAAGATAATCATCAATGGTATCATAAATAACATTCTCACCTGCAGCTGCATCACCACGTAGTTGAACTTGTCATTTCGTCCACAGCCAATAAACTTGCACACGTGGTTTTTACCTGACAACAGAAGAGCTATATCAAATTAGGATTGTCATACTGTGCATTGATCCTTTGAAACTATACTACAAAAAAAAGTCACATTTGCAGGGCAGAAATGAAGTTTTCTTGAATAGCGTCAGAATGATCTTGAGCATGTATACACCTGTAGATTACTATGGAACCTATCTGGACATCTGAGGGATTTCAGATATAAGGTCACATGGTAAAATAAAAGCAAAGTACTTTGATTTATTAACTTTGAAACAAAACCTGCAAATAAGCCCATGTTCCGCTACAGAGACCCCAAGTTGAGAAGCACTGGCGCTGTATTGTCACTACACCAGTTGCCCACACTGCTGTCTAAGATGGTTTTAGAGGGATTTCTTTTTCTTAAGCCAGAGGTTAACACAACATCTATGAAAACCCAGAGACTGAGAAATGGCTACACTATAATTTTAAATATGATTTGCCATTAAAAGGTCAATTGCTTAAAAGTAAAAAGCAGAAAACACAGTATTGAAATACAGTTTTACAGTGGAATAAATTCCCTCTGAGGTGAGACTGAAATAGGAGCATTTTATGAAGCATAAGAAATGTGGTGGCTGATCATCAGTGACTCACAAACCGACCAATCACATGGCCTGATCTTGGTCACATGACACAGCCTTGGCTCCAGTGGTTCTTATGTAATTGTTACGGATCGCTTCACCTCTCAGTGCACATGGCTCTGAAACCACCACAGTTTGGTATCTTTTCTACCATTGGAAGATATTTTTGTTAATGCAAATTTTGACTGAAAACTGCATTGAACCAAATCAAAACCATTACTGAGGACTAGAAGTTTGAATGATATTTTGATCAGCTAATTAAAAAATAAACATAAATGATCAGGGTGAGATGTAACATGATTTAACATATTCCGTAATAACCAAAGAACCCCACAACATACTATATTAGCTCATGGTAAAGGAGAGCTAGTCCCATTTGGTTAATTCTAAAAATGATACATTTTGTTAAATTGTCTATCTATGCACCCATCCATTTTAGTCTGGTAGCTAGCAGCTATGAAATTTCTGTCTGGACTAAGAAAGTCTAAAGTAAATCTATATATCTATCTAAAGATCCCCCTTAATCCTCTGAACATAAACTTTTCTTCGCTACTTAACTGTGTATCATGGTGTTTTAATTTTAGTGCAAACTAGATCATTTTGCTGCTTTCTGGTCAAAAACACTTAAAAATGTGTGTGCTGTCTCCAGTGGCTATTGTGATTAGGCCTGTAACGATAATAGATTTTGCTGGACGATTAATTGACCAAGAATTTATTGCGATAAACGATAATATTGACATTTTGAGACCAATTTCAACTAATATAATGACCATGGAATAAAAATGCAAATGCACCCTTTCAAAGATCAATAAACCTTACTTTCTAAATAACATTTAATACAGGAACTGTAAGACAACCTATAACTAGAAAAGCACTCAGAGAGCGCAGACCTCCGCCAAGGACTACCCCCATTTTTTATATAAATTGCGATAAAATCAGTCTTCTGGATCAGATCCAGATCAGCCTTTGGAATATGAAAGAGGATCCCATTGTCCATCCCTGAGTCAAATTTCATGGGGTTTGGTCAATAATTAACCGAGATATTGAGAAACTAAATTTTTGGCCCCATTTACCACAATGTTAACTAAAATTTCAAAGTGATCCAGAATCCAGGATTTCTTCCGGATCACCCCCAAAATGAAATGAGTTCTTCCTTTTCACATTTCCAACAAATCCTGAAAATTTCATCAAAATCGGTCCATAACTTTTTGAGTTATGTTGCTAACAGACAAACAAACAAACAAACAAACAAACAGACAAACGCCGGCAAAAACATTACCTCCTTGGCGGAGGTAACAATAGGCCTAAATAAAACAGACTTGTTAACATAGGACTAGACTAATGTAGTCTGGCTTACAGCAAGGACTTGTTAACAAAAATGCACTTGAATATTGTTGAACCAAATACAACCAAAGCAATAAATAAAATGGATTATTAAGTCTCTGACTGTAACAAAATTGCCCTTAAAAGTTATTTTTGTCATTGACTTACATTGGTATATTGTGGCCCCTCTCTGTGGCTGCTACTGCTGTGAGCCTCTGCATTTTGATCTTGAAGTGTTTGTATTAACCGCAACACAGGATCGTGTTTCTCTATGAAAGAGCCTCTGTCCTGTCTGGTATCGTGTCGGTGTCTTGTGGGATTTCAGTGGATTTCGGATTCTCCTGGGGGCTAGGCTTGTTCTGTTGCTCAGGTGTGGGTTTATGTCGGCTGCTGGGGTTTGAGACATTTCTTCTCGATGTTTGCGCTCTCGTTGCATTTGACACACGAGGCTGTTGAGACGTGTCCCACTCACCAGTGTTGATTCGGCATCGTGACTTGTTTTGGCACACGACGATGAACTGTCACTGTGTTTTGACAGAGGGGCTAGATTGTGTTGCGGCTTCATGTTAGCCACACAGACAGCGGCACTTTCTGCACTCAGGCTACTCGCACATCCGCTGTGTTAATATACACAGCGCACTTTGGTTCAAGCTTCATTACGCTTGTTAAACGAGAGGAGTCAGAGAGCGATAGAAGCCTTCTAACATTCAGTCTCTTTGAGAGTGAGGAAAACAAACACGCATGCAAATAGAATTTATAGTTGCCAGAAAAGTTATCGAGCTCATTAAAAGTTATTGTACGATTAATTGATTTATTGATTATCGTTACAGGCCTAATTGCGATTTTAAGTACTTGGTGACATCACGAAAGACTGCCCTGATTACAGACAGGTTTTTCTGATTCTGGCAGCAGAGTGGATGGCAGAGTTTGAACTGTGTATACCTCCAGACACTGCCCCTCATCCACCTCAATCTTTTCTTTAGTCCTCCAGGTACTGCCCAGTTTAGCAGCTCTATTTGAAATGTGGTTGTGGTTTATTATTAACCTTAATAAACCACAAAAGAAAGACTTAATCCAAAATGAACAAGTACTTTTATTACGAATGGTTCAAAAAGATTCAGTATTGTGAGATTGTTCCTGGTTCACTTTCCCGAATGTCTCTCTGCACTCTTCACCCTCATTTCACTCTAGTTTTACTCTAGACAGGAAACAGGTGACGTGAGGTGCACTCACTACTTATAGCCTGTGGTCTGCAGCCATACCCTGCTGCAGTTTTTGCAATTGGAGGTTTAAGATTTCTTAAGATACTCCTTGTTTCTGTGGTGTGCTCTTTTTATTCATTATGAGTTCTTTATTCATGCTTTTTAAAACTAATTCACTAAGGTGTGACTACTATAAAGTGGTACCAAATAATAATAAATATGAGAAATATCTATGTTCATGGTCATTTTTGTTTCCATTTGATTCCATGTAATACAACAGCAGTAAGACAACAGTAAGTATTGAGTGTTCAGATATGTGGCTTAGACTTAGACTTGTTCAAGTGTTGAGATGTGTGGGTGAGATGTGTGATTAAGAGCAGACACTGACCCTGCAGTTTCTTGAGCACAGCCACCTCCATCTTCAGCACCTGTTTGGGCTGCTGCGCCGACTCCACCTTCAGAGCAACATTCTCTCTGGTCAGAAGGTCTAGCGCCTCGTAGATCTCCCCGAACCCACCACCGCCAATCTTCTTCAGCTGCACAAGACAACACACCAGGAATAGTTTCATCAACAGAATAAAAAATCTGATACCAATCGAGACTAAAACTAGTACTGAAACTACATTCTAGTTTTAGCAGGTATCGATATTAAACATTCACAGGACAGAAAAGAATATTTCCTGAATACCTTTACCTTGAACTTGAGCTGTATCAGAACAAGTATCAGACCACACAGACAAGTATACACCCATGGACCACTATGGAACTTACCTGGACTCCTGAGGGATTACACAGATATAAGACCACATTGCAACACAAAAGAAAGTACTATGATTCAATGTTGAAAATCACATTCTATTGCCTAAAGAAAGGATTTGGTGAGGACTAGGTCTCCTTAGGGTTCTGTCTAAGTCTAAGCCTAGGGTCTTTTGTAAACAAAATTTGTAAACAGGGTTGAGGTTAGATTTGAGACAGGGGCACAAACCTGAAAGACCACAGGTGCTTTTCCTGATCTGAACACAAAGAATGACCCGAGATAGGGCCTTATGTGATTTATTTTCTAGATAATTTAAAAGGTTTATAATGTCCATTCAGTGTACACATTTGTAAATGTTTCAGACAAATTACATTAATTAAAATGGTAAAGGTTCATCAAAAACATACTGGAATAAATCTTTTTTATCATTTATTTAAGGGAAAAAAATAATGGCTTAAGTATTGAGCCTTGAGGGACCCCACAAACGTACACAGAATGGGTGAGTGAATGATACTTTTTCTGACAGGTTGTGGCCTATTCCAAAAATAAATAAATAGATTTGTCTGTACTCACCACTTTCCATCGGTCCTTGACCATGCAATTGGGGGGCAGGATGTCGGCCTGCTCAGAGCCGCTGCCGTTCATGTTGTTGTTGTCCTGGAGACCGGGCACTAGGCACTGCATCTGCCACCCGGACAGCACACGAGCAGCTCCCAGCTTAAACGAGCCATTTATCTGCCACACGACACACACACAGTGACAACACAAACACAGGAGAGGCATGTAAGAGGAGCACTAAGGAAACCTGGAGCACTACCTGATCTGCGTCATGTGTCTGTCCGCCATTTTGGACAGCACGGTACAGCAACACCACATGGACAAACTGCTTTCATTGGAACTTAATCAAAGGTTCCTTTCATATGGTCACAGTGACACCGTCATAGTTTAGCTCAAACTATACTTTAATCTTATTGACATTTTAGGGTCAGTTAGAAGAAATGTGGTTTGTTGTAATGCTATTCAAATATTCACATGCAAAATATTAAACAACTTTAACTTCTATGTTATTGTTAAATTCTTTTAAGCATTTTTCTATCAAATGCAATGTAATATCAGACATAATTGCAATAAATTGACATAGTTGCAATTGCTGGCTGCTATCCCCTTTTGGGGGACATTCAAGTATGGGAGCCTTGCAGAGACATTTTTTCCATTTAAAGTATCTTAAAGAAAACACCTTTAGTATAAATAAAGTTACATTCATTATGGTTATCTTTGAATCATAGAAACAGAAACTTGTCCATGTGGGGTTTCCGTACACAGTCAAAAATGGCAGACCAAAGACACAAATCTGGTAAAGACACTTTGATGCAGCAGTGTTTTTCTTTTGTGTGTTTCTTTTTTTTTTTTTTTTTTTTTTTTTCAGGCATTACAAACGACTGGAGCCAAAAAAAAGCCATTCGTTTGAGCTGATCAGGCTACAGGCCAAAGGGGGCGAGGCTAAGGGGATTGGGGAGGGGCTCAGGAGGGAGCCAGGGTGGGACTGAATAAGGAAGGTGGGCAGGATGAAAGTAGATTTTGAAAAATAGAGTAGAAAAGATTTTGTAAAAATAAATAAATAAATAACTCCCACTAAATGTAAATTAGTAGAAAACAAAATGTGTAGAATACGAAACAAAACAGAAGGCTGTACTGCAAAAACATGAAAAGGCCAAATCTGCAGTCTTTAAAGTGGAACTAAACACTAGATCAACTTTTCTGCTATGGGGTTTTAATAGCTTTCTACTATTCCTAGAATTTTATGGGGGAGACATTTTTGGTAATTTCAGTGCAAACTAGCTACATTTGCATCTTTCTAGTCAAGTACTGAGTGTATGCTGCCTTCAAAACTGTCAGGTTTTTCTGATTATAAATGCCTGGCTGCCATAGCATATGTGTGTGTGTGTGTCTACCTCATATCTATTTGAAATGTGGTTGTAGATGGAGGTTAGTTGTTTAGTCCCACTTTAATGCAAGGAGTTAGGATTAAAAGAGGGAAAGAAAGTAATGATTTATTTAAAATCAGGGACAATAGATACAGATATATAGTAAATATAATAATAGTAAAAATAAGTATGAACATTTGGTGTGATGAATGGTTTGGGCAGCGATCGATTTTGAAATTTGGATGTGAAAGTGGCGGCAGAGGGGTTTGTGGAATCAGGGGTGGGATTATTTGGTTTGGGGGTGGGTTATTGGGTTTGGGGGCAGGGTCAGTGCGTGGTGTGTGATGGTATTTGCAGAAAACATGAGCAAATATCATGTCTGCACCAAAAAGCAGAAGAGACCAGGACTTGTCAAATCCAAGACTAAACTGACACTAAACCAGGATTAAACCAGACTAAACCAAGATCAGTCTCAAACAATCAACCAGCAAACTCCATTCATTAGATCCCATTGAGCTCAAACACATGCCCTGTCTCTGTTGTTTCCTACTGGACGTTGTGGAGTGGACGCTCTAATCTCATGTTTACAAACTGTTCTTAAGGTCCAGAATTACACAAAATGCATTGTTGTGAGGTTAAAGCCATGTGATAATCATCAAAAAATGACAGAGCGGCGTTTTGTTTGATTCCCAGTCTGGGAAATCTGTCTGCATCTCCTTCGGTCAAAATGCTCTGTTCCAGCTTATGATGCTGATGAAGCAGTAATTAACAGCTACCATTTACCTTTAGTTCAGCAGAGATTGGCTGAAATTATCCAAATGATTCTAGTGAAGGTGTACAGAATGTTAAAGCACAGGGGAAGTGCCACAATTACCATTATTGTTACCTAATTATGTATGTAATCACAGCATGGAACAGAGTGTTTTCCATCTGGGAGAAGAACTCAACCTAAATATGTAGTTTTTTTTAAGAAAGCAAAAATCCTGTAGAGCGCCTTCAAGTATTTAGAATAAGAAAAGTGTCTGTGCTGACTCCCTTTGCTGGGACTGGCGCATACTTTTAGAATCTCTGTCATCTGAAGTCTTAAATGTTCAAATCTATCATCCATTTTCAACAGTAAGATTAATGCTACTGTTTTGTTATTTTTGTTTTGCAGTCCCTCATTTCACAGAGGAAAGAAACTCATTTGTGAAATCTTGTTGAGACAAAATGTGGGACATCACTTCAGACAAACAATATGTCTGAGTGTGAAGTCAAAGACTCCTGCAGTGCTTGGAGCAGAATCTGAAACTTCCTCTTCAGTCTAGATCTTCAGTCTGTTTAAAAGCTAATTTACAATCTATGTTGTTATTGTTTCCTCATCAAAAACACATCTGGAGTTTTGTTTTGTTTCATTCACACACATGTCTAAGACACAAACCATGCATATTTAGGCTGTGTTCCTCTCTGAAACAGAAAACACTCCACATTCTCCACTGTGTTTTTAAACTCCATACACCTTTACTAGAATAATTTGGATGATTTCCTGTCTGGATTTTCCAATCCTTATTAAACAAAAGATAAAAAGTAGCCGTTAACTTGAATCCTACCGCTACAGAGCATTTTGGCTTTAGAGATGTAGCCAGACTTGTAATAAAGGGTTACTCAAACATGTGTGAATGAAACCAAACATTTAACATGGCTAATAACTCACAAGAATCCATTTTGTGTAATATAGGACCATTAATTCTCATCTTTTCAGTTTTGTTTTACTTTTGTGGTCCTGAACTATGAATTAACTAATTATGTCCACATTTTTAAGACAGTAAAAATCAGGTACAATTCCTTTATTAGTTTTTACAATTCCATATTGTACCTCTCCGCATTTGGCTGGTGCTTTTTGACAGATGGGCATTTAACAAACCAGAGCTGAGTCACTTCTGGGACCTTCTCTCCCCTGACAATCAATAAGAGATCTGTCCATCTGACCAATCGAGTTTCTGTCTGACCTGATGTATGCTAAAGGGAGGAGGTGTGTCAGATGCCCTCCCTGTGCCTCTGTGGTTTTATTCTGTATAAAAGCTGCTAACCCTGCAGTTTAGACCTTTACAAACATGTTCTGAAATGACCCTGCGTGTTAGATGCCCTCTGTGTTTTCATGGGGTCTTAATCTGTGTAAAAGCTGCTAACCTGTAGTTTAGACGTCTACAAACCTGTTCTGAAATGCATAGGATTCTTAGTGTTGTATTTGATTAACTTTCAAGTTTAAGTTTAGCTCATTCCCACACCACCCACACAGACATGGCTCAATATTAAGACTTTGTAACGCTGATCATATTTTAACAGGAGCTAACAGGCTAACGAGTGGATAAGCTAATAGACTAACAGGCTAACCCTCTCCCGTCCTGAAGCGTGTCAGTCAGCGCCATGCCGTTCCATGCAGGGCAATGTCACATGTCTTTGGAGCATGCACAGCTCAGGCGCGCTGCGTTTCCAGGGCGACCAGAGGCTCCATACTCCCCCTGCTGGACACCCTGGGAATGACAGGCGTGTTCTGCAGATACAGCCACTTTAAAACCACGGCCGGGTCTCCACAATCAACACAGTCCAAGTCTCAGTCCAGGACCAAACCAGGACAAAATCATGACCAAACCAGGACCTGAGGAGCAGCAGCAGGTCCCACAATCCTCCAAACATGTTACATTCATTTGACCGTGAGAAAACTGGACCTGTGTCAGCACCTCTCAGCAAAATGATCACTGAAGGAAGACTTTTTTTTTGTCTATTTTATACAAAATGCTACTATTTTGACTAACTATATTTGACTAATGTGACTTTAATGTTATTTGAGAGGGACTTGTTTAACAGCAAAAATCAGCTCACCTGTTGTAGTCCTAGTTAAGTTTGTTTTTTACCCCCAATTTACACCAGAACAGCAGGTAAGCACTGCATATGCACAGGTATCGTTTTTCATTTTAACTGTTAGAACAATCTACACCAGCAACGTCATACATGCGTCCAACAGATGCCATTATGCTATGTGTCGCTGAGTTAAAATTTTTCAGTGTCAGCAGCGTGTCTCCAAGCTTTAAGTTCTCTAAAAATACAGTTGCATAAACAATGTGTGTTACATCCAGGATCTTGGGTAATGACTCGTGATGGACAATGAAAGTTTCATAGTCATGAGAGAAATTTTACATGGACAACTTAAGGAAAAGGCAAATGCCATTCAAACACTGAATTTTAGATGGTAAATTGCCTAATTAATGAGAGCAGCCACGACTTGTTATTGCTGCAAAGCATCATCCCTCTTTCAACTTTTATATAGTTTTAAAATGTAATTAATTCAAAAGTGAGAATATACACCATCCTGATGATACACATTTTAAAATATGTGCGTATACGTGTCACTGCAACTCCAGGTGTAAATTCCGGGTTATGATCAGATTGTGGTGAAAACAAAGATCAGGTTAAAGACTAACTTGAGTAACAGAGCTTCAGAAAGAGCAGTGCCTCTAGTTAGCATCACACCCTCTGGGAATGTTGATGACATCAGCTGCAAAGTAATCAGTTCACTGAGTATATCTCAACCAGGACTAAATCCAACTGAACCTGGACTTACAACTCCCCAGTTTGCCCCAGATCCAGCTTTCTCACCAGGTGTGATATAAGTGACAATGTGAGGCCCTCTGCTGCCCCACACTGGCTACTTTTGGCACTGCTCTCGACAGTTGGAGTGTGTTGCTCATGGACACAGCGGCTGCAGGAGACGGGCTCACCATAGTTCTGAGCTCCCGGAAAACCTGACGGCTTACAACAAATCCTGAGCGTGACAAAACCCTTCCTGAGTTACCCTACAGACCAGAGAGACCACAAGAGGGCAGCAGTTACAGTAGGGTTGTCAAAAGTAATATCAAAACTAGATACCAATTTGAGCAAGTATGGATATTGCAAAAAATTACATTCACAGGACAGAAGTTGAGCTCTTTCAGTGTTATTTTGAGCTTAATCAGACCTAGTATAAGACCTCATGGTAACAGAAAGCACTATTATTTTGTGTATGAAAATTACATTCTGTTACTAAACTAGGAGTGTTTTATCTTCATTGTACTATCGTAATCGGTATTGAGTATCGAGTCCATTCCGTAGTATTGAGTTTGATATTTTTGTTAGGTGACAACACTACACCAAAGTGGCCACAAGAGGGAAGCAATTATGCCACACGTCCACAGGAGGGCAGCAGTTACATCACACACATCGTACATTCACACACATCTTTCAAAACTCTTCTGATAAATGTTTTGTTGTTTCGTGTACTTCTTATTTTAAGAGGTTTTACTGGAAATTCTCCTCCCCCTTATTTCCCTTTAAAGGGCCGATATTACGCTATTTCTTGATCTATGTTATGATGTCACTTCCTCATCGAAAACATAACTGGAGTTGTGTTTCCTTTTATTCACATGTTTAACACACAAACCCTGCATATTTAGACTCCAGAGTTCTTCTCTCAAACAGAAAACACTCTGTTCTACTTTGTGCTGTAATGTGGTAATAAACTCCAACTCCAAAACTCCAAACACCTTCACTGGAATAATTTGGATACTCATTTAGTCCTGGAATTCCCAATCTCTACTGAACAAGAGGTTAAAGGTGTTAACTCGAAAACTACCAATACATGACATCACAAGTTGGAAGTGAGCATTTTGAGCTTTGGAGATGTATACAGACTAATAATAAAGGGTTACTCAAATGTGTGTGAATGAAACAAAACATAACTGCATTTGTTTTTGTTTTGATGAGATAACAACATTCTAGTATGACACTAGAGCTTTAATGCAAATTGATGGTTAACAGACTGCATGAGAAATGACACAAACATAATTTAATGGTCCTATTTCGCAAAACTGACTCATGTGAGCTTTTAGACATGTTATAATTCTGTTACCTCTTGAAAAACCTGGAGTTCTATTCTGCTCTTTTTCATTCAAACATGTTTGGGTAATCCTGCATTATTATTCCGTCTGCATCCCCAAAGCTCAAAATGCTCCATTTCACCTTGTGATGTCATTCAGTCGTAGTTTTAAGGTGAACAGATATTTGTAGCCTCATTTGAACAGCTTTACTGTATAATGCTTCAGAATAACCTTAAGCTGTTGCTTTTTGTTTTACCTTTTGTACAGCTGAGATTGTCACTAAAAAATCTCTAATATCTGCTGGTTCACCGAGGAGTGAAGCAGTTTTAATGAAGTTAAAACAATAGCTGTAACTTCAAAGTTAGGCAAATCCAGGGCTGAAATGATCAAAATGATTCTAATGAAGGTGTATGGAGTTTAAAAACAGAGGGGAGCATTTCCTACACTACCACTTAATGACATCACAAGGAGAGATTTTACAGTTTGAGAGGTTAAATATGCAAGATTTGTGTTGAACATGTGTGAATAATAATAATAATTATTATTAAAAAAAACACACACACAACTCCATGTTTGTAATGAGTAAACAATATTATAGCATAGTTCAAAAATATTGCAACATAGGCCCTTTAAACATTCAGACACTCATATGTCTCTGTCCAAGGTCCTGATTGTCATCTTTACATATTTCTCTCCAGTAGAAAAACTCCACACACTCAGCTCAAAGCTCAAATGTCTTCAAAAAGGGTAATTTGGTTTACTGTGAAGTGGCAGGTTTAAGATTATATACACATTTCTACACAACTAATAATTCTATTGCTTTAGTCTAGTCATAGTTTCTAGTCCTTTATTGTAACACTGCCTCTGTCTATACATATATATTTTTTTTCTTTTTACAATTTTCTAACTATGATTAAGGAGAATTAAAAGTCATAATTTCAATACTAAGGCATAGACATGATACTCAATATCGATTCTGATACCATGATGGTAATAAAAAACACTTATACACTTACACACTTACACTTGTACCAAAAATGTGTTATTCAAATATATAAAAAATAAAATAAAAAGGTACCCACACATTTAGTCTAGTACAATCAAACTTCTAATCTTAGTCCTGGTTTTGGCTCTGTCCATGGTCCTGATCCTTGCCCTGTATCTCTCTTGCCTTGGGCCATTTTTAGAAGGATCTTGTTATAAAATCCATGTTCCCCTTTGTGTTGAGATCACTTGCCTTTGTCTCACTGAGTTTTCTAAATATCACAACAAGAGTGCAAAGTCTCAAAATTGTATATATATTAGGTACTAAATACTAAAATAACAATGTCAGTGAACTAGGTCTAAACAGGACTGAATTAGGTCTAAATCAGGACTAAACCAGGTCTAAACCAGGACAAATCCAGGTTTAAACTGGGAATAAACCAAGTCTACAAGAGACTAAACTGGGCGTAAAGTAGGGTTGAATCACCACTATCTGAAAAACATAAACATATCATCTTATTTATACTGTATTTAACCCTAATTATAATTTTTCTTCAGAATCTGGCTTTATTTTAAAGGCATGTTCAAACTTATATCAAAATAAACTAACCTGCGACTAAACCAGGACTATAACAGGACCAAATAAAACCTTCTTCAGGCCTAAACTGGGCTATAAACCAGAACAAAACCAGGACAAGTGTCAACACACCCTATTTTAACATATAACTGTCCCACCAAGAACTATAAGTGATTGTTATTGCAACAGTGGCTCTGTCCATGGTCCTGATTATGGTTTATCACTTTAATTTTATAGGTCAATTCTAAACTTACAAGGCTCACAATTTATAGTTCTATACTTAGCTGCACACTCCTAATTTGGGTCCTAAATCAAAACCAAGATGACATTTATCCCACCAAGAGTTTGTTAAATATCCCACACAGTATCGTAATATTTTCAGCCCATTCAAACCTGTTGGTTTTTACAGTCCAACACTTACTCCTGGTCTAGACTAATCCTGGTCTCTAGTCCCAGCCCGGTTCGGCCTTATAGACTAGAAGAATCTTATATAAGTCCTAGCTGAGCCTAGTCCGCTGCGGCCCTCCTCTGCAGTGCACAGTCATGGACCGCCACTGCGCATGCGCGGCGCCACATCCTGTTCATCAATAAATAACTGCCTCCGAGGAGTATCCCAAGAAAAAAACGAGCCAAAAACTGTTTTATGGTGTAAAAAAAAAAAAAAAAAAAAAAAAAAAAAAAAACAGCATTGAACCTGACAAAACTAGGACCGACACGAGTCCAAATCAGCTCTAAGCCAAGACCAATCCAGGACTAAACCAGGTCTATAGTGGTGGCCCTAGTGATGCAATCGGGGCGCTGCTCCTTTGCCTCCGTTTTTCCAGAATTCACGCTAATGTGTCCCGCTGGGTTAATTTTAGACTCGAGTCCGAGACCTGAACCAGGACTCGGTCTAAACGAGGACTCGGTCAAGGCACAAGGCATGTGCACCGGAGGTTGAATGGAGGAGGCGTAAACTGAGCAGTCCCCATTGAACACAGAAGCTTTGGTCAGCGAAATACAGCGGGGTGTGCAGAGGGCTACGGCGTCCGAAATGAGCAACAACCTGGAATAAATCATAACTAAACCAGGACTAAACGACGAGTCAGGACTCAGCACGGTCTAAAGCCGGACTAAACCAGGACTAAATGCCAAACCAAAGGGGGGCTTCAACTAGAGCTAAATGCAATGGTTATACGAGACGAAGCCAGGCGTAAACCGAAAAAAGGAGGGCTATGACTACCACAGGGCAGAAAGGACGATCAATACAAGAGGAACAAGCGAGAACTAGGACTTAAACATAACATGAGCAGCGCTGAGGCGAGATCCGAACCAGGACTAAACTAGAACCAGGACTAGATCATGATGCGAGCGGGACTAAGACAAGGCTTGAACCAGGTCTAAACGATAAACAATGGTTAATAATAGGACCAAGGACATAAACACGATACACGTTAAAACAGTGATATTTCAGGACTAAACCAAGACTGCACTGGATATGTTTAAAGATAAACTCCAGATCCAAACCAGGACTGAACCAAGACTAGACATGAAAGGTGTGGGACTAAAGCAAAGATCTAAGCCAGGAGAAACCATGACGAGCTAAGTGGATACAAGCAACACCCATCAAGGACTACACCAAGGAGAAACTCTGATTCGAACCAGGTCTAGACCAGGACTATCAAACGGCGCAATCCCGCAGCACACGCACGCGCACAATCACACACACACAGAGGCCTGGCAGTACCTGGCGCACCGTCCGCTCCCTTTCCGCCTTTTGGTGATCCTCATCTGGCACTCGGCTCCGGCACACAGCGCTCTGGTCCAAAAACCCCACTGTTCCTGCGCTCGTGCGGGGCCTCGCGCGGGGCCCGAGTCCGGATCACACCCGGTCCGAGTCCGCGAGACCACGATCCCGCCCCGTGGCCCCCGTCCCACAACGCGCTGTACCCCGAGGAGAAAACAAGCCCACGGAGCGCGCGCCTCTCCCTGTGACAGTGCGCTCCGGGCCCCACTCCTGGTCCGTGTCCGTGCGTCCGTGGTTCGTGGTTGGGCTGCTCCGGTGTCACAGTCCGGTAACACGGTTCGGCTCCGTGGCTCGAGGATGATGGGCCAGTAGCAGGTGAAACGGGGCTGAGCGGAGCTGCTGTTTGTCCGCACTGCAGCCCCGCGAGCGCTGCGTCACGGCCACAGCACGAACACGCGCTGCTTCCGCTCTGGCGCTTCACAATAAAAGCAGTGTAACAATAGCCTAGCGACAAGGCCACAGATCCACGAAAAACAATGAACTGATCAATGCAGTTTTGTCTCTTCTGTAACAGGGCACTAAGATATGTGCCTGTGTGTTGACATCACTGTCGCTTCAATAGGCTTGCTTGTATCCATGAAAATGTTCCACAGTGTGACATTAAGCTTATCTCAACGGAGACAAGTAAGCTGTGCCACCAGGCCAGATCTATGGAGAGCTAGGCTACTCCTTTCACAGTAAGAATGTAAACATACAGTGAACAGCAACACTTTTTACATTTGTTGTTGTGTAAAGAGGTACTGTGACTAAACACGAGACCGACACAAACATCAAGTTAACGTTATTCAATGGCTGCCACACGTTACAATTGCACAAATGCGTAACTTGGAACTCTCCAGTCAAAGCAATCTCCACTGAGACAAGTTATATACTGTACATGGTGTAACTTTATGCCCTACTACTAGGGCTGTCACAGGTATCGAAAATCAGATACTAAAACTAGATAAAACTAGATCTTTATTTGAGTAGGTATCGATACTGCAAAGTCACATTAACCTTTCCTGGAATGATGGAATATGCTTGGAGGGATTACACTAATAGGCCACATGAAAACAAATGATTTAATGTTTAAGATCACATTCTTTTGTTTATATAAAAAGTGTTTTTATTATTATCATGTCTTTCTACTACACACTTTTAGGGTGTAATAATTAATTTATGTTACTCTCCAGTCCACTGCATCGTATACATTATCAGATTAATTATATTTCACTGTTTATGATGTCATTACGGTCACTCACTCACTTCAACACTAGATGCCCCCAGTGTCCCCTTACCATTTTAATTCCACTTTTTTTTTGTGAAGGGTATGACCGGATGTGGGGTAGCACAGCACTTCCAGATACTCTTAACACATTTCAGGCCATTTCTGCTTTTTCTCCTTCTCTGAACCTTCGGCTCAAACACGCTCTGAAAATGAACCCTCATGTGTCCAGATGCCCCCCTGTGTAACTGTTGCAGAGTGGTTATCATGTCTCCTCTGAGTAAGGACACAACACTTTATTTTGAACATATTTTATTCAAGAAGGTTCATTCAAATCTAAAGAAAACATTATAAATTCCAACATGTTCTTCTGCAGTTATGATCTCATATTTGGGCTCTTTTACTCTGTGGTCTTGTTTCCGTTCTGGTTGAGTTTCTCCATCTCCAGGTCTGAAGCTGAGCTCGGGTCTCGATGTCTGCCACAGAAACAGGGAAACATGGAAGAGGATTTCAAACAGACAGGCCTTATAAGTCTTTCAGAGAACAATCCAATCTGTGGTACCCAAATACACCCTGTAATTTCAGCTTTAAAGCAACACTAAAAGGGACTCTGCGAATATGAATGTGTGTGCACGGAGAAATGAAGAGGAGAGTGCCAATGAAGAAACCGTTTCAGTGGTGGTCATCTGGACACTGTTTTTGAAATCATCCACAAACCATTTTGATGTAGATGGTACACTGAGACACTGGGATTTAAGTGAAACTGCCTTGCTTTTGTATGTATGTTTATACCCAAATAAGTTAAAAAAACAACAACTTTTAGAATGATCTTGAGCTGTATCAGACCAAGTATAAGACCACATAGACTAGTATACGCCCATGGACCACTGTGGAACCTAAACTGTTGCAATGAATTTAAATCTCAGAGTCTAATAGTTACTAAATAAACCAAAGTGTGATATATACACACCTTTTTATACTTATTTGACTCATTTCCCTGTGTGTTCCTCTGTGTTCTTGTGTGTTCTTGTATGTCAGTGTGTGTTCCTTTGTGCTTTTGTGTGTTCTTGTGTGTTCCTCTGTGTTCGTGTTCGTGTGTTCTTGTGTGTTCTTGTGTGTTTCTGTGTGTTTGTGTTTCTGTGTGTTTGTGTTCTTGTGTGTTTCTTTGTGTCCTTGTGTGTTCTTGTAAGTTCTTGGGTGCTCCTGTCTGTTATTGTGTTTTCTTGTGTGTTTCTGTGTGTTCTTGTGCGTTCCGTTGTGTTCTTGTGTGTTCCACTGTGTTTCTGTGTGTTCCTGTGTGTTCACATGTGTTCTTGTGTGTTGGTGTTCTTGTATGTTTGTGTTCTTGTGTGTTCCTTTGTGTTCTTGTGTGTTCCTGTGTGTTCACATGTGTTCTTGTGTGTTCCTGTGTGTTCACATGTGTTCTTGTGTGTTCCTGTGTTGTTTGTGTTCTGTGTTCTTGTGTGTTCCTGTGTGTTCCTTGTGTGTTCTTGTGTGTTCTTGTGTGTTTGTGTTCGTGTTCCTTTGTGTGTTCTTGTGTGTTCCTGTGTGTTCTTTTGTGTTCCTGTGTGTTCTTGTGTTCTTGTGTGTTCTTGTGTGTTTTGTGTTTCTGTGTGTTCTGTGTGTTCTTGTGTGTTCTTGTTTGTGTTCTTGTGTTCTTGTGTGTCTTGTGTGTTCCTTGTGTGTTCGTGTTTTTGTGTTTCTTGTGTGTGTTCCTGTGTGTTCTGTGTGTTTTTGTTGTGTATTTGTGTTCTTGTGTGTTTCTGTGTGTTCTGTGTGTGTTTGTGTTCTTGTATGTTTGTGTTCTTGTATGTTTGTGTTCTTGTGTGTTCTTGTGTGTTTGTGTTCTTGTATGTTTGTGTCTTGTGTTTGTGTTCTTGTGTTCTTGTGTGTTCTGTGTGTTTGTGTTCTTGTGTGTTCTTGTATGTTTGTGTGTGTTCTGTGTGTTTGTGTTCTGTGTTGTGTTCTTGTGTGTTCCTTGTGTGTTCCTTTGTGTTCTTGTGTGTTCCTTTGTGTTCTTGTGTGTTCTTTGTGTTCTTGTGTGTTCTTGTGTGTTCCTGTGTGTTCTTGTGTGTTCTTGTGTGTTCCTGTGTGTTTGTGTTCTTGTATGTTTGTGTTCTTGTATGTTTGTGTTCTTGTGTGTTTTGTGTTCTTGTGTGTTCTTGTGTGTTTGTGTTCTTGTGTGTTCCTGTGTGTTCTTGTGTGTTCTTGTGTGTTCCTTTGTGTTCTTGTGCCTTCTTGTGTGTTCCAGTGTTGTCTACCTGCCCTCCTCCACGTCCAGCACGTCTTCAGGCAGCTTTACGTTCAGAGTCTCTGGCAGCAGAAACACCAGAGCTCCACTCAGGATCCCAGTCCCAGCGAACACCAAGCGAGGCAGGGGCCGCCACAGCTCGTCCAGCAGCATGACCATAGGAGCCAGAGCACTCCCGATCCGACACAGGCATGAGGTGTAGCCCATCCCACACTGTCTAAAGGTCAAAGGTCAAGAGATTTTGACTGAGATTTACATAGAAAAGTGATATATTTTTTACAAAGAAATCAGGACCATTGTTTTTCAACCAGGAGGGATTGTCAGGTGTGCAGTGTAAAAATGTCAGATTTGAGTTAACTATTTCACAAAATACTTAATGCAGTAATTAGGCTTTTGGAGTGTCTTGCGCAAACTTCAGAACCAAAAGAAAACACTAAATGATGATTATGGCAAATTCCCTAGTGCCAGACACACTAACATCAACATTATTTACACTATTTTGCTCAAAGTGGTGTAATGTCAAAGCATTTTTGTGGATGAATCTTTTTAATAGCAAAAGTGTGCCAGGACTCAAAAAGAATTGAAAAACACTACATTCGATCAGGAAGAGACTGTTGCAACTTCCTCACTGATGCCACATTAATAGGCTCTTGTGCACAACGGCTACTTCCGGTCAATGAGCCATTTCTGCTGTAATGTAATCCCTGTGAGGTTTTTGTCAAGTCAAGCTCAATAAATACTGACAGGTCAGGCAGTGGACAGAGAGCTGCAAGAGCTATTTAGCTATTTAAACTTTACTGTCTTTGAGTTTCAAAACTAATGCTAACTTTTATTAAACTGTTAAATCTAACATAATAACAAAATTTGATTTGTAGTAAAGACAACTTGATTATTTGTAAATGTAGATTATTTCAGTCTATGGCATTATTGAAATATTTATTAGATTCCTAAATTAGCATTAACATTAGCACTGACACTCAAAGACATAAAAACAGAAGTGTCCTCCAGTGAAGTTTTCCCCACATTTGTAAAGTGTTTAACATGTTTAGTGACAGTGACAACTACCTGCAACTCTCTGTCCACTGCCTGATCTTTCAGCATTCATTAATTTTAGCGTGACTTGATAAAAACCTCATAGGGGTGACATTACAGAGAAAATGATTTCGCTTACTGTCCCTTCATACAATACTGTCATTTGTGTCATACCCCAGTACAAATATATTGTGTAAATCAGCTCTTGACCACTGTGTGCTGTTTGCATCTGATTCAAGTACTTTTATCGACTGCAAACCAGGAAGTGTGCATGCAAGTTGTTATTAGCATTACTATGACTGTAAACCTCTGCATATCATGGTGAATAATGAGGATGCTTTGAATACATAAGGTAAGTGAGGAATAACTTTGGACCACTGCAAACCTTTTAAAATGAATAAGTTATGTTTTTGCATGTTAAGACAGTAAAAATCAGATACAGAGCCTTAAAAACTGATTTTTGGTTTTAAAAAGTCAAACCTGTTCAAGTTTAGTTCAATTGTGCCTAAAGTCTGACCCATTAGTCTACACCCTCTGCTCCATCTGACCCTCTCCTCTGCTCGTCTGAACCTTTCCTCTGTTCTTCTGACCCTCTGCTTCTCTGACTTTCTCCTATGTATCTTCAGACCCTGTTCTCAGTTTGTAGTACCTCAGGGTTGTGGGATAAAGTTCTGCAGAGTAGAGGAAGGCTGTGGTGAAGGCAGCCTCAGAAAACCCTTTGGCGACCACACCAATACATGTCCGAGGCACCACCAAATCTGGACACAAGAAATAACAACTTTTTTATTTAATAACAATATGAAGCTATTTTAGTCCATTACAAAATAAATCAACATTTTCATAGGACTACACCAAGTGGACCTGGATTAAACCAGGACTAAACCAGAAGTTCTGATTTAGTCCTGGTTTAGTTCCAACCGGGACCAAGACTAAACCAGGAGAGAATCAGGATTAAATCTGGATTAAAACTGGATTAAACCAGGATTAAACTAGGAAAGAACGAGGACTAAACCAAGATAGAACTAGGACTACACCAGGAATGAACCTGGACTAACCCAGGGGCAGGGCTGTGTTGACCCCAATGAGAGTCCCAGTGATGATGAGGAACCAGGCTTGTCCGTTCCTTCGGCCGATCCAGTCCAGGATGAAGAAGGACGCGATTTTGGCTGGAGCTTCAATGGCACCGTAGATGAACTGTGTGAGGTAAATACTGACGCCTAAATCCGAGATCTTAAAGCTGATGCCGTAGTACAGGAAGGCCACTGCGAACCTAAGGACACAACACAGGAAGAAACATAAGAGACAGAGACCTGACACAAAAATGTTTGAAGTGCTGTATAGTGTTATAAGTAAGTATAAGTATAATCGATCATATTGAAACAACTTTATACCAGTGACACAATAACCTCAAAGCTTAGTCCTGGGTTAGGTTTAGGTTAAACCTGTTTAAACCTGGTTTAGATCTGGTTTAGATCTGGGACAACAAACAATGTGTCTAAAATTGTAGTGAATGTGTTTCATTTCTTAGCCTTTCTTGAGGTATAAGCATTATGGCTTTATTTTATGTGTGAAAGTAGTGAAAGTGTTAGTTTTGCACACCAGGACAGCCCTGAGCAGAGCGTGATCTTCCGGAGCTGGGGAGTCCTCACCAAATCCAGGTATGAGTGAGTCTTCTGGGACTCCTCAGACATGGACACCTTTGCAAGGACCTACATGACAAAAACAAACTGGGTGGTGGATAGAATTGCCCAATATTGTACTCAAGGAAGAGTAAATGTACTCGAAAAAAAAAAAATTACCCAAGTCAAAGTAAATGCGGTGGTTTAAGAAATGACTTGAGTAAAAAAGCATTTGGGAAAAGTACTATTCAAGTAAGAGTATTTAAAGAGTAATTATCAGGACCTAATGAGAAAAACAAAATCATATCTGAAAGAGCAGTGAAAGAAACATAAATGTTCAAGTTCAAATACTCATTTCATAATGTTAATATGAAGACTTCCTCACAGAGTCTATAATGCTGCATGAACACAAACTATCACCAAATACCCATAAGAAGGTCTTGGTTAAAGGATGTTACCTCCAGATCCAGTTTGGAGATCTGTTCGTTTCTCTTGTTCATTTTGGCACATTGCACCAGGAACCTCCTCGCCTCCCTTGTTCTCCCATTAACCAACAGCCACCGAGCAGACTCCGGCAACCACCTGAATCAAAGACCTACTTTATTCCTGGTTTAGTCCTGATTTAGTCCTGGTTCAGTCCGGTTTAATTCTGCTTTGTGCCGAGTCTAGTCCTGGTTTAGCTCTTGTTCAGCTCTGGTCCAGCCCTGGTCTACTGGCTGGTTTCTCACCTCCAACAGATGACAGCTGCAGAGTGAGCTGTTTCTAGTTCTGGTTCAGGCCAGGTTTAAGCCTGGTTTAGTCCTAGTCTAGTTCTGGTCTAGTCCTGATCCAGTCCTTTTTCAGTCCTACTTTAGTCCTTTCTATTTTTATAGCACATTTTACAAACAAAAGTAGTTTAGAAAGTGCTGCACATAGTGAAATAAAATAACAGCTTTAGTCATGGTCCAGTCCTGGTTTAGTCCAACTTTAGTCCTGATTTAGTTCTTGTTCCCGTGCGAGTCTACTTTTTACGTTTAGTCCCGGTCCTGATCCAGTCCTGTTCCAGTCCTGCCTTAGCCCTGTTCCAGTCTTTCTTTAGTCCCGGTCTCACCACCAGCAGATGATAGGCAGAGCACAGGGCACAGTTACAGCCAGAGTGAGTTGTCTCCAGTCTCGGATCAGAAAAGCCATGAGGGCCAAACACATGTTTCCCAGGCTCCAGGACAAACTCATGACTGTTCCCGTGAACGTCCGGTGCTTCACATCAGTCCACTCAATCCCTGCAACACACAAGCTCCGTCAGACCTGATTTAGACCTAGACTAGACCTGGTTTCGACCTGGGCTAGACCTGGTTTAGACCTGGGATAAACTTGGTTTAGACCTGGACTAGACTTGTTTAGACATAAGTAAGACCCAGTGACTGTTGAGCTCCATAGAGTTGTTAAGTGATGATAATAATTTCCTAGTCAAACCAGAAACTTCACAGCTGATTTCTAACTATGTTTTTGTTTCTTATTCATCAAACAAGAGACAGTTACATTTCAATAGTGTATGTGTTTACCCACAAATTATATCAAACATGTAAATAATGGAGTAATAATCTTCCATAACATAATGTCTATGGCGGCAGACATTTTTGGTTGGAGGAGCTAAGCTGGTACTAAATTCTTCAATGGGGACACACACTTGGCTGTCTTTCTTGTGCCTAATTATTTTAACTTCTACTTCATGTTTTTTTCTTCTCACCTTTTCCCCCACAAACTGCTACTTAACTGATGTAAAACTATGATAGATGCTATCCCACCAAATTAGAAAAACATGCATTTTTAAGACTGGTTGGATCTAAGCGCTTAATGTGTTTCTTACCCAGGACCACCGCGATGATGGAGAGTCCACTGAGGGCCACCCCACAGAGCGCACGTGACACTGCGAACATCACATAGGAGGTGGAGAAGGCCGAAGCAGAGCTCATAACCGTGGACAGGACCAGAGCCACAAGGAGCATGGACTTGCGACCAAATCTGCACCAAAATATAATAAGTACATGGAGACATCCAGACAAGCAGGGAGGTAGCAGAAAAAGGACAGAGAAGGAGATCTAAGGAAAACAGGAAGACGCTAGTGAGCAGTCGAAACTGTCAGGTATGAAACACTCTGGGTCTGAAAAAAAGAACCTAATAACATAGAATATCGGAAGACCAAATGAATCTCATTGGACTGAGGAAGACGCTAGTGAGCAGTCGAAACCTTGAAATATATAGCGATCAGAACCTGAACAACAAATAATAATAATAAAATAGGAAAAACAGATCAGGATAGAGTTAAAATCCTGAGGTTTACTGGAGTCATTCAAATCCAGATTCTTTTAGAAAAATAGCTCAAAATGTCAAAATGCTGTAAGAGAATTACTAGTTTTGTGTTAAAGTTTTGCGATGGACCAGTTTTGCTCCAGGGTTTGATAAGCATCCGGGGCCAGGTGTTGTGAGAGCAGTCTGAGCAGGGACTCCCACACTTCCCTCTCTCCCAGTTATTCCCAGGCCAGCAGAGAGGCATCAGAGACTCCAGCATGTCCTGAGTCTTCCCCAGGGCCTCTTGGATCAGATGCTGGAACAGATATCTGAGCCACCTCACCTGGCTCCTTTTCAATTCTACAGGAGTGCCCAGCCACTCTGCGGAGGAAACTCATTTCCACCACTTAAACGCCATCGTGTCCTTTCAGTCATTACCTAATGCTCATGACCGTAGGTGAGAGAAGGAACATAAACCACCAGACTAAACAAGGACTAAACCAAGCTTTAAGCAGAACCAAAACCGTGGAAATCGAAAAGCTAACTGGTGTTTCTAGCATTCCTATGGCTCAGAGTGGAATCTTCCCTCAGGGCATTTGGTGCGACAATGGTGTGTTCGCTCGTGTACCACACGGACAGAGTATGTACTACTGATACTTTGCAGCAATATCAGGGGTTTTCTCTCATTTTAAAATGTAATGATTTTATTGATTTCTCTTCTCATGAAAGTCATGCGCTGTTCCCAACCACTGGGCCAAGATCGTTTCGTTCCCTCTCGAAATGTCATGTGCAGTCCTAAGTAATTATAACCTCACATAGTTTATACTCTCTCTCACATAGTTCACCATAATTACTATATCAACTTATCATTAAGTATACAAAGTAGATGGAAGTTAATAGTTAATAACCTATGGGTCATTATACATACAAACTAAGAACTAAAGTGTTTCATTCTGCTATTTATTTATTGCAGCTCATTTAAAGAATAATTTTGTGCTTTGAAAGTTTATTGTCTATATTTCCTTCAGCAGTATATGACGCAGTGACATATCACAAATCACAGAATGCGCTATCCTGATGGGCCTACTCTCATAATGTGTCCTGAAGGCCTTACATCCACCCAAAAATTCTGACTAAACAATGTGTGCCTGGTAAAAAATCTGACTAGTTGAGTGAAGTGTGATGATGAAATTAGAAAAGCCTGAATGTTACAGGAACAACAAACAAGCCCCATATCACTCTGTGCAAACCTGTGAAAACCTGTATCAAGTGGCGGTTAGGTCAAATGTTACATTCTGATACAAATATTTGCACAAATTAATCAAAATTAGATTTTCAAAATGTATCCATTTCAAAAACATTGGCCAAATGACAACACTGGGGTTTGTCAATAAAAAAAATCTATTATTAATTAAGTATTAGAATCTGCTGTCCAGACACAACAGTCTGATCAAAAATATACTTTGTGTTTTGTTTCTTAATAATGAATTCATGTGAGTAAAATGTCTTGAGACCAGAAAACAGCATGGACAGTTTTGCTTTCTATGGTTGTTTGTGAGTGATGCTAGATGGGCAACAAGGGGCGACAGACAAGAGACATTCAACCATCCTCCACAGACAGCACATATGCCAGGCTCTGTACTGCACTGTACTTTGGGCTTTGTTGACTCTTTGCTGAGTGTCTTCCCTGCCCTTCATTATGCTGTTCTTAAACAGGACTTAATCAGGACCTAACCAGGATTAAGCTAAGACCAAATCACAACCAAACCAGGACTAATACAAAAACTAAATTACTAAATAAATGAATCACAGCTGGACTAGAGCAACAACCGAGAGACAAAGACCAAGACATAACCAGAACTAAAGTGGGAATAAAGTGCGACTAAAGTGCAACTAAAGTGCGACTAAAGTGCGACTAAGGTGGGACTAAAGCTGATATTAACTATATAATTCCTGTGACATTTGCAGTGATCTGTATCAGAGTCACATGAGGCTTTGTTTTTCAGTTGAACACAGACGGTCATCTGAGGTCAATCTGCTGTGGCGTCTTCCAAATCTAATACAAATATTCTCCTCTTCCTTTAGTTATATGAATGCAATTTTAAGTTTAGTCACTAAGGTTACAAACAAAAACCACGTGAAGAGCTAAAATGATGTTTCCAAAAGGCTGCTAAACACACCCACTGTAGCCAGTAGAGAGCACATTTAAAGCAGCACTAAGTGCGGTTTGGTTATGCCAGATCAACTCTATGAAGATGTTTTTGCTAGGCCTAAAATGTTCCCTTGTAATGCATTAAACTTACTCAAAGTGACTTTTGGCCAAAGTGCCCATCATAGAATAAGTGTTCTGATTGGCTGTAAGGTGTGTCATAGGGCAAAAGAAAAATTTAATTCTACTGGACTAAGTTTCGCAGCTCAACCAAGCAACTTATTCTTTTTTTGAGGGAAGACAGCTTCTTCATTCAAAAAAAATTGTCCAGTTGACAAAATGTATTTTTTCTTTTGCTATGGATCCTACCTGGATGACTGAGGGATTACACAGACGTGTGTCACAGAGCTTTCTGACTGACTGGAAGCATGACTGATCTGTGTTCCCAGATACAAGGTAAACATGCTCAAATCAAATATAACTTTCACTGATAACAATGCTAATGCTGATTTATTCTTACTTACAAGAACTTTGTACATGATGTCCCATCTATTTATGTTATAATTTGGTGTTAAGAGCATTATCCCATCAGAAAGAAGACAGGGTGGTTGCCAGTGACTACCTTAACCCCAGCACTTGGAGCCAAACATGAACAAGTGCGAGTGCAGTTTCTGCAGCTCAAGGAGGGAATTCTGAAGGTTCTGATCTTTCACATGAGGCCTGGGCTGTCCATATACTGAGAATGAGAAAATCTTGTATGTATGTATTTTCTATCTGCAGATAAGAGCATAGGCAGTTCTTTTAATAAACGTTTCAATAAAAAACACTTGTGTATTACTGTTCACTCACTTATCCGACAGTTGTCCAAAGACCACGGCCCCCACAGTGACCCCCAGGAAGAAGTATGTGGCCAAAGCTTGGTTCAGTTTACGGTTCTCACACACTAAGTCCCACTGTGGAGAGAGACCAGATTTAACCAGGACTAACAGCACTAGGCCAGGACTATAACAGGACTGACCCAAGTCTAGGGCTAAACCAGGTAAAGAGAGCCTAAGTAAAAGTAGGACTAAAGTAGGACAAAACCAGGACTAATAAAGGACTAAACCACGACCAAACCACGGTGTAACCAAGAGTTAATCAGGCCTAAACCACAATGAAATCATGAACCCGGACTAAACCCAAACTAAACCAGGACTAAATAGCACTAAATCAGCACTAAACCAGAACTGAACCAGAACTAAACCATACCCAACTAGGACTAGACTAGACCGAACCAGGCCTAAACCAGAGTTTATCCAGGACTAAACCAAGACATAACCAGGACTTAAGCAGGATTACAACAGGACTAAACCAGGAGTAAACTAGGACTTAACATTACTTACCTCGGTGGCCGTGGTGGAGCTAAAGTCCGTCTGGTTGTAGACCCATCCATGAGGACAGGACACGGTGGAGTTGTCTGGACCATAGACCCAACAGGACCCTGGAGATCCAGACCCATGTGTCTGGACCAGGGACTCGGTGTAGTCCTGGTCTAGTCTTGGTCCAGTTTCAGACAGTCCCAGGGCACAGTGGTGGTCCGGTACAGCAGAGATGAAGTTATGTAGCAAAAATTGAAGTGCCAAAATAAAGCGAGGTAGACAGAGAATCATCAAAACAAAGAACTGGAACCGTTCAAATCCACCCACATCGTCCAATATGTCTTCAAACCTCATCTTTACTCACACAAAATGCTATAAAAATAATCAAAAAAATCTAAAAAAAAAATATATATATATATATCCCTGCAGGATTCTGAATTTACAAGACCAACCTCAAGAAATGCAATTTTTTTATTCAATTTAATTTAATTTATGAAATATTTTTCCTCAATAGATTAATATTAATATTGACAGATTAAGTATTAGCAACAAAGGGTTTCTTGTCAGGATAAAGTCAAAATTTTGGGCAATTTGAAAAATTAACCTAGAATTAAATCATGAGAAAAGCAAAATTAGATTTTAACCTAATAATGAGGATTAGACAACATTTAAAAAATAACCCAAAACCAAAAACAAGACTAAACTAAGACTAAATTTTGGACTAACTCAGGTCTAAACCAGGACTTTGAGCTGCATCCTTCTGTTGGATTCATCAGTGCCTTGTGCTCAGTAAATGTGATTAAAAGTAAAGGTCATTATTTGGAGCATTCCTGATTTTTTCCAGACTTTTGGACAGAACAGAGATGACCTGAAGGGCTGACAGAGGAGCACGTCTGAAATATAAAAAACAATAAAACATTTTAGTCTCTGTTCAGTCCTGTTTAATCCTGTTCAGTCCTGGTTCAGTCTAGGGTCAGTTCTCTTCTCAGAATCTCTCCTTCATGAGGTTATCTTTTTTCCACAGATATTTACCTGCTTTGGATGGGCATCTGACAGACAGGAATCTAGAAGGATGGGTGGGCATCTGACACATGGGGGATACAGGAGAATGGGAGGGCATCTGACACAAAGTGATATAGAAGAATGGGAGGGCATCTGACACACAGGATAGATTAAAACAGGTTTAAGACTGAACAAACCAGAAAGTAGGACTAAACCAAGACTAGACCAGGATTGAACATAAACTTAACTGTAATTAAACCAGGACTTGCCCCTTAAATTTGTGAAGTTTTCTTACCGTCAGTCTCTGATCTGGACTGGTCTCTGGTCTGGTCTCAGGTCTGGTCTCAGGTCTGGTCTCTGATCTGGTCTCTGGTCTGGTCTTTGGTCTGGTCTCAGGTCTGATCTCTGGACTTTAGACTTCAAGTTTTTACTATTCTTTCTCTTCTCCTCCTCTTTCTCCCTCTCCCTCTTTCTTCCAGCCCCACTTTACCTCTTCCTCTGTCCCTCTGTTCTTTTCTCCTATCGGTCTCTTTCACCCCTGTCTTTTTATACAAGCCTTTTCTCTCCTCCATCTCCCCTCCCTCTACCTCTCTCATTCTTTCTCCTTCCTCTCAATCTTTTTCTACCCTCTCCCTCAAATCTCTTGCTGCTCCCCTCCTGTCTTTTATCCCCCTCTGCTTCGCACGTATTCTCTTGCTTCCTTTTCCTTCTTCTCTCCCTCCCTCTGTACCCCCTTCTCCAACTTTTAAACACCCAGATGCCAGATGCATTCAGTTTTGAGAGGAGACATAAATTGTATTATTATGTATTATTATCACATTCAGTTAGATTTCAATTGATTTCGTGCACGTTTGAGCAATTCTGTAATTCCTGTTTTCACCTATCCCCTACCTCCGTCCACCACTCTGCATTTACAACCATTCTACAACACTTTTTTTTTTTTTTTTTTTTACTAAATTACAAAAACAATTTAACACAGCACTTTGAAATTAAAGCAACAATATGTAACTTTCTGGAGGAGGCACATCAACAGCTTGGATCCAGGGAAATAGAAAGTGAAAAGCACCTTTGGTTTTCATCCTGTACTGTAGAAGATTATAGGAACAACATTTTCCTGGAAACAAGCAGGCAGAGTTAGTGCAGTAAACACACACATGCACACACAAACATGCACACACACACGCACACACACACGGACACGCACACACAAACATGCTTTTATTTTAGTCTTGGCTAAAATGTTACACACTAGGGCTTTAACTTTGTCCAAGGCTCAAAAGATATAGCATTCAAATCAAATTAAGTGTGTAAGGTTTAACTCTTCCGATCACATTTCACCATTTCTCCGGTCTGTAAATGACAAACAATTTCTTTTTGACTGTGTGGACCCTGATCCCTATGTTGCTATGGTAAGTCCTCAGATAACGGCTCCTTTTCTGCAAAATTTTCTGCTGGATTTTTCGTTTGTTGTGCTGTTGTTGTGACTGATCCTCTCCTGTCTGGCTGCACAAAGCAGCGCTCTCAGTGCTCTGTTCGAGACTTGATAAAGGAGAGGTCACGAGTTTGATTCTGCAAGAAAAAAAATCAGAAAACACAGGTCACTGATGAGAAGAGTTAGTTCTGGATGGAGAGATAAAGAGAAATATGTTCAGAATGTGTCGTCAAATTTTCAGATGGACTCTAGGGGCCTATAAACACAGCCAATCAAAATATTGGACACACTTTTTCATTCATGTGTGTTCTTTTATTATCATGATTATGATGATTTGCACTGTAGATTCTCACTAAAGACATCAAAACCATGAATGGACACTTATGGAATGTATAGTAAACAAAAAATAAACTCAGAATAACTCTTTAGTTTATAAATTTTTTGACCCTAACAAGCCACAACTGTGATGAGAAAACCATTTCAGGAGGCTCGCTTCATCATGGAGCTCACTGAGACAAAGGCCAAGGGTTTAAAGGGTCTTATCATTATTAGTCTGGGATTGGATTTGTCATATTAATCTTATGGCATTAAAACTGGTTCTATGTCAGTAATACTTAGTTACTGACTGAACTTTGTGCCTGTTTTTGTTTTGTTTTGTTCATGTAGACAGGTCTAGTAATTACATAGATATTATTAGCAATCAACCAGCAACAAAATTTGCAATCTGACAACTAAACAGCAAATTTCACCACAGAATTCTGATATGTCCAGCTCAGTTTAAACTATGACCAAAGGAACGGTGAGCAAAGATAGGCTAAGTCATACTTACTAGTCCAAACTAACTTTTAGGCGCTCTGAGAATTTAATTTTTTTTTTAAAGTTTATATTGTGAAAATGGAAAATTATCCCTACAAAATCCGACCTTTGTGAAAATTGTCAATGTCCCGTCAGAATTCTCCAGGCCAAGCTTCCGGGGGCTGCAGTACCTGGAGCGGCCACTAGTCGGCCTCGAGCCGGGACCATAGACTGTCTACGGCCGGGACAGAGGGGGAGTGTCTTATTCAGTTTGTATTACAGATCCATGGTCCAGGGCAGTCAACTGTGGTCTAGTTCAGGTTGTGTAAGGTAACCCAAATAAAAGTCACCGTCTTCCATAACGGTTTATTACAACTATCGCAGTGTTTATTAAATAAAGTCATGAATCCGGACATTCTTAAAGAGCGACAGAATGCTTCTTTTGACGTCCAGAAACTCATTTATATTTTGGATGGTGGGCCCGAAAAGACCAAAAGAAAACGAGAAATTGGTAAGGTGCCTCATCACTTTGTGCACTTTTGCTTCGTGTTACGCAGCGTTTAATTTGTAAATAATGTTTTATGAGCATAACCCATGTATGAGCCGGCTCTTACCTGCGTCATGCAACTGCTGCTAAACTAGCATAGCATCTGATGTTTTTTGTTGTAAGCTAGCTAAGATCAGCATCATAATGATATGATTCATTTCTGAACAGTATGCTCGTTGCTCAACTCGTCTCACATCCCTATTACCAGGAAAAGAGACAGTGGATTAAATATTTTTTCATATTAAAATAGGGGTATATATATATAGGCCTATACATAAGGATCAGAGGTTTAAAAAAAATAGAGAGAGAGATTCTTTTTTTTAATTTTAATCTCGTATTCACAGTGAATGATTTGAAAACCCATGTTCTAATTTGTATGGGATTCATATTGTGTACTTTATTGTGTATTGTTTTCTCTTCTCATTTTAGTGTCACTGGTCGCAAATGATCCAGACTTTGATGAAGTGGACCCAAATTTCCTGTCTCGCAGTGAGCGTTATGATCAAGCTGTAAGAAAGAGCGCTCAAATGATCTTGAAGCTTAGAGAGTATGGCATTGCAGATCCAGAGGAGATTTACATCTACAAGAGGTAATAAACAAACCTAACCCTTGGCCGTTAGAAATTGTATCCTACCTATCAAACTTTGGTCCCAATCAAAAACATTAGGCGTGTGTGTTTTAATATTTATTTTAAAGTGATGTTTTGTGTGTGTGTGTTCACAATAGTGTCTACACATAACAGTGACACTATTATTAATGTTTCTTAAAAGTACAAAAAAAAATGCACAAAAAAAAATCTACAAAAATACTTTGAGTCTCCCAGTTCTTCTATATCCTCTGATCTTTTTGGAGCGAAGATAGCCTGCAATGTCCAGAATGTCCGCTCAAAGTCTGTGTCTTGCTATTGGGTCATAGGGAAGGCATTCTCATCTTGGAGTCGATTGATTTTAAAAAGAAAACTGGACATAATGTTCTTGTAAAGTGACCTTTTTTGTGCTGATAATGCACTCTTAAATGAGGCTACATATTTGGATCACCGATTGTAACTGCTGAATGCAATGAAAAGTTGATCACAACCTTAACAATGTATCCTTCCCTCTACACAGTATGGTGTTAGGCAACCGGCATGACACTCTGGGACTGCATAATGTCATGTTCCTCCCAACCCTGTACAGCCAGTGTGATCAAGAACAGTCCAAGAAGTGGTTACCTTTGGCCAGATCCTTCAAGGTTATGGGCACCTATGCCCAGACTGAGCTGGGCCATGGTTAGTCCTAGATTTAGCAAGTTTGGTTTCATATTTTAAATAAAGTTGAGGTGAAATGTAGGTTTTTGACAAAAGCAGTACATATGCATCAGTGTGGATGCATTTATGCAGTACTATAGTCTGTAACTGTGGTCTTTAAGGTTTTCTAATGGCCGACATTGTAAATTTTTGGAGGTGTGTAGTGAACATACCAGAAGTTTCTTGTAACAAAATGATGCATATCTCATTAGCACATTTCCTTCATTCACTTATGACGTTCATAACTCTTTAGGGAGTTATGTAGGGCACCAATTATTGTTACTTGATGTAGAGTTCAAATTGTGTTTGACAGATCGTGTCTTAATAATTCTCTAGACTCGTCAAACATACCACATCCTGTTAAATTACTACTAGTGTACTATGGTTATGCAGATCTTCCTTGGATTTTTGACAAGGAATGGTAAACTAATGTGGCAAAGAGAAAATGTATGAGATAGAAAGAGATATTTTAGAATTTGTTTTCCAAATACAACAGTTGCTATAAAATCACTTTATTAACTAACACCTAGCACCAGGTGTTTTCGTGCACATGCAAACACACAACAAAATCTGATCCTATTATGTGATTATCTCATTATTCTGCTCATCTAATTTTTGTAATGTAATGTACCCAGACTTATTCATCTAAATTCATCCATTACCTGTGGCTCGTTCCTAGTGTTCCATATCTAAATTGTCCCTTTTCAGCTGTTTATAATCATTTTTCAAAATTAATTTTCCATTTTCTGTTTCAGAATCTATATAAAAAATTTGCATGAGGTGTTAATTTGCCAAGTTCAATAATTTTCTTGGACAACGTTTTTATCGATTTACTTTTGCCTCTTCTTATTTCCGTCTCCATTACGCCTGTACTCTTGCTTGGCCTAGCTCTGTGCACCCAGGGAGGCCAGAGCCTTTGGATCTTCATTTGGGGATGTTCCTGCCTACATTGCTCAATCAAGCCACCCCAGAGCAAATGGATCAGTTCTTCATGCCCGCTTGGAATCTAGAGATCATCGGCACCTACGCTCAAACTGAGATGGGCCACGGTAAAATATTAGTAGTAGTATTGGTGCTACTTTAGTAGCTTTGGGGTAAAGGTCATATTGTGTTTTGTGCTTTAATTACAATTTTAGGACAAGATCTGTCAAACACAGTTTCCTGCTTTGTGCTTAAATATATAGGCAGTATGAGTTTAGGGACAGCTACCTTTTCTCTATACATTTGGGAAATATTTTGTAATATACTTTTACTTTTACCCTTTCATAGGGACTCATCTGAGAGGCCTTGAAACCACTGCCACTTATGATCCAGCAACACAAGAGTTTGTCTTAAACAGTCCCACAGTTACCTCCATCAAATGGTGGCCCGGAGCTCGTAGGTGCATTTATATCCTCTGCATGAATATGTAACACGTTATTAATCCTTCTCTTGTTTTCTCCTTTTTTATCCCTCTGTAGTTGGAAAGACGTCAAACCATGCTATTGTTTTAGCTCAGCTTTATACTCATGGACATTGCCATGGTCTGCATGCTTTTATTGTACAGCTCCGACACATGGACACGCATGAACCTCTTCCAGGTAACATAATAAACCAGATACCAGCCTCTCTCAAGTTTTAAATGAAACGAAGGTTTCAAAACTAAGGTTAAACTAAGGTTTAAGGTTGACAGTTTTGTATGGATTTAGGCATTTTGGTTGGTGATATTGGGCCTAAGTTCGGCTTTTGTGAAGTTGACAATGGATTTTTGAAACTGGATAATGTTCGGATTCCACGAGAAAACATGCTCATGAAATATGCAAAGGTATTGTGAGTAAAAATGTAGATTTCCTTGCAGATATTTTTAAATAACAGAAAACCATAATACATTTGATTTACTCTCACATCCTCTAAATATTTCTCTTCTTGACATTGTCCTTTGCAAGTACAGAATAACGTTTAAAAACATATATCTCAGGTGGAGCCGGATGGTCGCTATGTGAAGCCCCCCAGTGCCAAGCTCACCTATGGAACAATGGTGTTTGTTCGGTCCCTTATTGTTGGTCAGTCTGCCATAAACTTGGCTAAGTCATGTACAATTGCCATTCGCTACAGCGCTGTACGTCATCAGTCTGAAATTCGTTCCGGGTAAGTCAACATTAATCTCCTAAGAACATCAGACATTACTATTTCAACATTTAAATTCCTGTAGAGAACCTGAGCCCCAGATCTTGGACTATCAAACACAACAGTACAAACTTTTCCCTTTGCTGGCAACAGCCTATGCATTCACCTTTGTGGGTCAGTACATAAGCCAAACCTATCATCGTATCACTGGAGACATCAACCATGGAGACTTCAGTGAACTGCCAGAGGTATGTGTCAATGATTTAAGATCAAAATGAAACTGTGGAGCTCTGTTCATACGTATGTGTGTCATGGGTGTGCTACAAAACACATAACATGGGACCATTCTGTACTTCTTTGTATTAAAGCACATTGTGAAACAATTATGCCGACTTGACTTGAGTATGCTCCACAGCTCCATGCCCTCTCTGCTGGACTGAAGGCCTTTACCACTTGGGCAACTAACAGTGGCATTGAAGTGTGCCGCATGTCTTGTGGTGGACATGGTTATTCCTGCAGCAGTGCCTTTCCTGACCTTTATGTACAGTTCACTCCCACCTGCACATATGAAGGGGAAAATACTGTTATGATGTTGCAGACTGCAAGGTACAGACTCGATACCGATACGGTCTGTGTTATAAACAGTTATATTTATATATTAATTTTACATATCACGGGTCAGATACCTGGTCAAAAGCTACAGGCAAGCCAAAGCTGGTCAACAGCTGAAAGGCATTATGGCATATCTGAATGACATGGAGCAGCGTCAAGTCCGAGCCCATCCGGCCTCTGCCAGGCCAACCGTCGTGGACATCAATGACCTGAGTAACCTTGTGGAAAGCTATAAACTACGGGCTGCAACGTAAATAACTACAAATATTAAATATAGTTCAGTCATTAATTTTCTGTACTGAACGAGTTTGTTTTTAGACTTGTTGAGTCTGCTGCCAGAAGCATCCAGCAAGAGTTACAGAAGAGGAAAAGTCAAGAAGACGCTTGGAACAACAGTGCTATTGACTTAGTCAGAGCCTCAGATGTAAGTTGACATCTACCTGACAAATTTTAAATGATTACAGTTATTGTGGTATTTAAATGTACAAAACCCTGTACTGTTCCAGGCCCATTGTCACTATGTGGTAGTGAAGCTCTTCACAGAAAAGCTGAGTGAGATCGGGGACACAGCCATACACTCGGTGCTGTCCACCCTGGCTCTGTTGTATGCTCTGCATGGCATCACAAAAAACTCTGGGGACTTCTTGCAGGTCATTTGGGTTTTGCACATCTAAATATTTAGCTGTTTCAACAAAACTAATGAAAGACACCCTTGCAGGCTGGACTTCTGACTGTGCCTCAGATGCAGCAGATCTCTGTGCGTATCAAAGAGCTGCTGTGTCTGCTCAGACCCAACGCTGTTGCACTGGTGGATGCCTTTGATTTCAATGACAAAAATCTCAACTCTGTCCTGGGACGATATGATGGAAATGTTTATGAGAACCTGTTTGACTGGGCCCGGAGGTCACCACTCAATGCTACAGAGGTGGTTATCATTTTATACATTCTAACACAGCTTTCTATATTCTAATATGAGTAAGGTGCAATCTGTTTTCTTAAGGACATCAGTATTTTTTTGCAATAATACCTTTTCTTTCTCAGGTCCATGAGTCCTTTCACAAGTACCTGAAGCCTCTGCGGTCCAAGCTCTGAGTATAAGGCAGGTTGATGGACACTGCTGCTCTGAAGCGTATATAATCTCACAATATATACACATTTTGGGTTAGCGTTGATACACAGTACAATAATAATTAATAATGAGTTTGTAAATGGAGGTAAAATGTAATCACATTTGTAATGTTGCAAAATATCGCAGTATAGCATGTTGGAATGTGAACATTAAAAGTTCAAAGAAATATTTTCTAGTGAAACATATTTTTATAATCATTTATACCTAGTTTTCATTTGCAAACTATGACTAAACTATGAGATTTTTGTCTACTCTAAAATTAAATTATGCACAATTATTGTTATTTTTTTATTTTACTTGAACAGTATAATATAGTTACTATTTTAAGTAATAAAACCATTCCTTTTCTTGATGTGAAATAATGCACTTTGGATGAGGATATCCCAAATTTGTCAAAACATTTTGTAATTTTGTGTGAACTCAATCTTTGCATATTATTGCTGAAAGGAATAGGGCAGTTTTTACTTAGGATGACTTGACTATGTCTCAATCACTGTGTTTCTATGAAATTCTGAATATTTTTTTTCTAATTCATTTACTATGTTAATCACAATCAGCTGCACTCACAACTAATCTTAAAAGGTGTTGGTCTCTGGAAGCTGCCATGTGCCTGTTTTATTTTTGTTGTATGCTAAATGAAGATGTGTGTGTAAAATAGAAATTTATTTGCTCTTAATAAAACTGGGTTATATAATCACTAACAGTTGCCATCCAACTCCTCCATGCTTGAATTTGCTTCTGAAAAACTTCATAAGCAAAGGCTAATTCTCCATATGCTGTTTTTTCCTTTTTTTTTTTTTTTTAAACAGATTTTTACCGCCCTTACCTGGCCTGAGGCTTGCCTGTGCTCTCTAGTTTTCTGTCAGACCAAAGCTGGCACCACAGCAGTAGATGGTGTTGTGGAAATTTTAATGATAATAATAATCCATTAGCAAAGCCTTTTGAGTTATGAAATACAAAAACTTTTATTTTTTGTAACTACAGATATAGACAGGACAGGGCCTATTAAGCATATAAAATGGGCACCACATTTGGACACCCACTTAACTTTGTGGGTTCATTCTTTTCAGCCACAATTTTGGTACAACATAGTTTTGGTAAGTGTAATCCTATACGGCCATATGTCCTAACATCCTCACCCTGTAATGTCTACACATATTTCAGAAGAGTCACTTTTTTAAAGTATTATTTTTTTTATTTTTTTTTAGGAGTGCAAAATCCATTAATGGGGGTTAGGTTAGTGATAATCTTAAATTCTTTGTTAAATAGCTCTTTTGTCCATATGAATAAAACAGTTCTGGTGAAATGGCATTCCACAAATACTGAATCAAAGGGGATGTTACATACACAAATGTGTATAAACCAGTGTGATACACCAGATTACTAAAAGGAAGTAAAACACTGACAATGTCCTGCACCTTTTCAGAACTTGCCCAAACCAGTCTAGTCCAACCCAAGGTACCTTGGTATTTTTAACCTAAAATTTTTTTAACTTTTAACTTTAACTTTCACTGTACTCAATATTGTGACATTTACGTGGAGAATAAAGTCATGTGAGATGAGATTTAGTTGCTTGTGCCCCACACACTGTCCAGCTAGGGGCGTCCCTCCTTGGTGTCCTTCTCTGGTTTCGAGAGTATGCAGTGGCAGTCACCGGTGACATAAAGGGTATTCAACGAGATTCACCTTCTACCTGAGGACCACTCTCTTGCACGCTTTATGTGGCGTGACCTGCACTCAGACGGACCTGCAGCAGTCTTCGAATGGCAGGTTCTCCCCTTTGGCACAATTTGTAGCCCATGTTGTGTTACCTACGCCCTGCAGCACCACACAAGGGACCACGCCCAAGCCAATGAACAGCTCCGGCACTCTGTAGGACAATGCTTTTATGTCAACAACCTTTTCCAAAGTGTACCAACCCCAGAAGAAGCCCAGGACCTGGTGGACAGGCTGAGAGCCCTCTTGCTCACTACTGGATTTGTCCTTCACCAGTGGGCTACTAATGAGCCAAAAGTGATTGGCAACATATCTGAAGACCTCCAATCTACAAGTACAGAACTGTGGCTTGCTCAGTACAAAGCAGACACCTCTGAACCAACACTGGGCCTTAGCTGGCACTCTTTCTGGAGCACATCTCTCCAGTCTCCTTGGAAATGAGCTCACCCTGGACATCAAGAGAACCATGCTGTGGTCTGACTCCACCACAGTACTCACTTGGCTGAGGTCCAAGTCATGTTGCTTCACAATCTTTGTTGGCACCCACATAGCGGAGATCCAGGAGCTGACCTACCTTCATGCCTGGCTTAGCTCAAAACTCTGTTGCTGACATAACTTCTCCAGCTGAGCAAACCAAACAGACGGAGCCAAGGTCCTCCCTTTGTCCTCCCTTTTTGCTCTTACCCCAAGATGAGTGGCCCTCAGACCCGAGTGGTACCTGCACAGAGTCTCAGGACCCTGCTGAGCTCCACGAAGAGACCTTTTGTGGAGTTTCTACCATAGCCAACTCTGCCAACCCAGGCTTCAGTGAGTGTGACACCTGGACGCAGTTGTTGGAAGCTATAATCCTGCAGTTAAATGGGGCAGCCACCAGATACGGACCACCTTCTGCTGAAGACCACATTTCAAGCAGAGATCCTTGTCCTGAGAAGAGTTCAGCAGGATGTCTCTCCTGAAGAATATTGTCTCCTCAAGTCTGGCAAACCTATCAGCCACAGCAGTCGTCTCATAACACTTGTCCCTCAGTTTGACCATGAGAGTGAAGTCATCCGGGTAGGTGGGCATCTTCATCGCGATGAAGATCTTGCCTTCTACGGTCTTCACCCTTTAGCCTTGGATTCAGCTCATTCGTCACCCGCCTTCTTATCCAGGATTTTGACAGTCACCTGTGTCACCCAGGACCAGAGAGGGTCTTCACAGAGATCTAGATTTCCTATTGGATTCTGAGAGGCCGGGAAGGTGTTCGGAGCTTCCAGAGGACCTGTCCTGAGCTCCTGCTCCACAGAACATTCACTTCCACTTTAATCCTCTAGCAGCTCCTCATTTCAGAGGAGTGTGGCAGCGGAAGATTCAATCAGTCAACACTGCACTCTACACTGCAGTTGGAGCCCAACCCCTGCAAGAAGAAGTCCTCTACATGGTCTTAATGGAGGTGGAGATCATCCTGAATTCCAAACCATTGGTCTATGTCCCATCTGACGTTAGTGATCCTGATCCAGTTACCCCCAACTGCCTTTTGCTGGGCCAGCCAGATGGATCATTTCCCCAAGTGGTCTACCCTAAAGAAGAGCTCCTGAGTCTCTGGAGGTGGGAGCATTCTCAAGTACCACTTCTAGTCTCGCTTCATCCAGCTGTATCTCCCTGGACTGCAGTCCCGGCAGAAGTGGCAGTCATCCTTCGCAGACATCACAAAAGGTTCTGTGGCAATGATAGTTGATCTGTAGCTGCCTTGGGCCTCCTGGCTCGTGGGCTGCAAGGTCCAGGTATGCTATGTTATGTTAAAGAGGGACTGAGTGGGTTTGTGTTTGTGTAGCTTTCAACGGTCATTTTGTCATTGTCAATCAACGATTGACATAATTTTGGTCCGGTTTTAGAGCATCTTTATGCTTCCCGGGGAACTGACCCCAGTTTGACCCACAAAAGAGTTGTTAATATCTCACCCCGTTTATAAATCTATAATAAAGAAGATAAGAATAAGAAGATATTATTATAGTTCTATGACACTGTTGAATCTCCGGGTACCTCCACTGCGAATACTTTTTGCTATCTGTGACATCACTGTGAAGTAGGTTAAGACGTCTACATTTTCTTCCGCTTATGTGGGGCTGGGTCGCGGGGGCAGCAGTCTAAGCAAGGACTCCCAAACTTCCTTCACCCCAGACACACCCTGCAACTCCTCCAGGGGGACCCCGAGACGTTCCCAGGCCAGCCAAGAGACATTGTCTCTTCAGCGTGTCCTAGGTCTTCCCCGGTGGGACATGCCCACAGAGAGGCGCCCAGGAGGCATCCGGAACAGAAGCCCAAGCCACCTCAACTGGCTCCTCTCGACATGGAGGAGCAGTGGATCTACTCCGAGCTCCTCCCATGTCACTGAGCTTCTTACCCTTTCTCTAAGGAAGCACCCAGCTACCCTGCAGAGGAAACTCATTTCAACCGCTTGTATCCGCAGTCTTTTCCTTTCGGTCATTACCCAGAGCTCATGACCATAGGTGAGGGTAGGGACGTAGACTGACTGATAAATCGAGAGCTTCACCTTTCGGCTCAGCTCTCTCTTCACCAAAACAGTCCAATACAGTGACCACATCACTGCAGATGCTGCACCGATCCACCTGTCAATCTCACGCTCCGTCCTCCCCTCACTCGTGAACAAGACCCCAAAAAACTTGAACTCCTCCACTTGATGCAAGAACTCTCCACCCACCTGGAGAGGGCAAGCCACCTTTTTTCGGTTGAGAACCATGGCCTCGGACTAATCCTCACCCCAGCCGCTTCACACTTGGCTGCACACCGCCCCAGTGCACATTGCAGGTCTTGGTTTGATGAAGTCACCAGGACAACATCATCTGCGAACAGCAGAGATGAGATCCTGTTGTCCCCAAACCGGACCCCCTCCGACCCCTGACTGCGCCTGGAAATTCTGTCCATAAATACAATGAACAGAACTGGTGACAAAGGGCAGCCCTGGCGGAGTCCAACATGCACCGGGAACAGGACTTTCTTACTGCCAGCAATGCGAACACAGCTCCTGCTCCAGTCATACAGGGACCGGACAGCCCTTAGCAAAGAGCCCTGAACCCCATACTCCCAGAGCACCCCCCGCAGGACACCACGAGGGACCCGGTCGAATGCCTTCTCCAGATCCACAAAGCACATGTGGACTGATTCGGCAAACTCCCATGAAACCTTGAGCAACCGATGGAGAGTGTAAAGCTGGTCCAGGGTTCCACGGCCAGGACGAAAACCACACTGCTCCTCCTGGATCCGAGGTTCGACCATCAGCCGGATTCTCCTCTCCAGTACCCTGACATAGACCTTGCCATGGAGACTGAGGAGTGTGATTCTCCTGTAGTTGGAACACACCCTCCAGTCCCCCTTCTTATACAGAGGGACCACCACCTCGGTTTGCCAGTCCAGAGGTACTGTCCCAAACCACCAAGCAATGTTGAAGAGGCGTGTCAACCAAGACAGCCCCACAACATCCAGAAACTTAAAATACTCAGGACAGATCTCATCCACCCCCCGAGCCTTGCCACCAAGGAGCTTTCCAACCACCTCAGTGACTTCAGCCAAGGTGATAGACGAGTCCACCTCCGAGTCCCCAGCCTCGGCTTCCTCCTCGGAAGACGTGACGGTGTGATTGAGGAGATCCTCAAAGTATTCCTTCCACCGCCTGACAACATGTCCAGTCGAGGTCAACAGCTCTCCTCCCACACTGTAAACAGTGTTGGTGAAGCACTGCTTCCCCCTCCTGAGGTGCCAGACGGTTTGCCAGAATCTCTTCGATGCCATCCGATAGTCCTCCTCCATGGCCTCCTCGAACTCCTCCCAGCTCCGAGTTTTTTGCCTCTGTGACCGCACGGCTGCAGCACGCTTGGCCTACTGGTACCCGTCAGCTGCCTCAGAAGTTCCACGAGCCAACAATGCCCGATAGGATTCCTTCTTCCGCTTGACGGCATCCCTTACTTCTGATGTCCACCACTGGGTTCGGGGATTACTGTCACGACAGCCACCACAGACCTTACGACCACAGCTCCGAGTGGCCGCATCGATGATAGAGGCCGAAAACGAAGCCCACTCGGACTCCATGTCCCCAGCCTCCTGTGAGAAGCCCTCCTGGAGGTGCAAGTTGAAAGTCCCCCTGACAGAGGGCTCTGCCACACGTTCCCAACTGACTCACTACATGCATGGGCCTGCCAGGTCTTTCCGGCTTCCTCCTCCACCAGCAGACCCAACTCACAACCAGGTGGTGATCAGTTGACAGCTCAACCCCTCTCTTCACCCGAATGTCCAAGACATGTGGCCGGAGGTCAGATGACATGACGACAAAGTCGATCATCGACCTCCGGCCTAGGGCGTCCTGGTGCCACATGCACTGATGGACACCCTTGTGCTCGAACATGGTGTTTGTTATGGACAAACTGTAATTAGCACAGAAATTCAATAATAGAACATCGCTCGGGTTCAGATCAGGGAGGCCATTCCTCCCAATCACCCTTCTCCAAGTGTCACTATCATTGCCCACATGGGCGTTGAAGTCCCCCAGTAGAACAACGGAGTCCCCGGTCAGTGTACTGTCTAGTACCCCTCCCAGGGACTCCAAGAAGGCCGGTTACTCAGCACTGCTGTTCGGCCCGTAGGCCGACACCACAGTGAGAGACCTGTCCCCGACCTGAAGCTGCAGGGACATGACCCTCTCGTTCACCGGGGTGAACTCCAACACACGGCAGCTGAGCTGTGGGGCAATGAGCAAGCCCACACCAGCCCGCCACTGCTCCCCACAGGCAACGTCAGAGAAATAGAGAGACCAGCCCCTCTCAAGGAGTTGGGTTCCGGAGCCCAAACTGTGCATGGAGGTGAGGCTGACTATATCTCGTCAGTAACACAACCTCCTGCACAAGCTCAGTGCGTATAGTATAGTGATAGTCTCCAGTCTATAACAATAATTCAAAATTGAAATTTTGCAGTTTTTTTTGCCAGTTTTCATTAATTACTTGAATTAGCCTACCTTTTCTTTATAAAGCTTGTCATCTAACAGTGCGCTTTTAAATTTCCAATGATTTGAATTGTAGTCTATCGTAGTATTACTGAAATTTAATTCAAGAAAACAAACAAAACAAAATTCAAGTAAGTTATTTGATAAACTGTGAGAATAGAAGGATTTATTTCCGTCTCTTCTACAATGTTTACTAAATCATTAGACATAAGACAAAAGCAAACTCTTGATCTTTTTGAAAGATCTTTGTTGTTCCAGGTGAACTGGATTTTTTGTGGGTTTCTGTTTCTCCAAAGATCACAGCAATGATGTAGACAAAGTTCCAGTCTCCTCCTCAGATTATTTTTGCTTCACAAATACATTAAGTACATTGCACGTACTGACAGTGGTGCGTGCGTGTTACGTCACAGCAGTTGGCAGCGGGGCAAGATGGCGGCGGAGGAGAGTAGGTTGAAGCATCGGACTCACCAAAACAGCGTCCTAAAACACGGTAAGCGCCCGTATCTCCGGCATCGTATATCGCGTTAAAGAAACGCTACGCTTGGATCACATTTTGCACATTTTTCTTGGTTTAGAAATCGGTGTTAAATGTGTGAAGTGAGAGTAAAACGCCCAATGCTATGTTCTCCGCTGATTAATCGTAGCATCTGTCCTTCTGCATCCCGCTAAAACATCGGTCCAAACGGGGCTGAACCTGGGCTGAACTCATACAGAAATATGAGTGTACTAAAGCTAATTCTAAATATAAACCCTTACAAAACGTGTGCTATGCTGAAATATGTGGAAATGTTAATCCTTATGGTGCACTTAGAATGTAAACACGGCTATTTAACAAATATTTAGATTGGTTAAATGCGATGTTCTCGACCTAAATATGTGCTAATATTTGCTTGCCTTTTCCAAGTTTTAGTCTTTGTCATCCACATTATTACTTATTGCAAGTTTTGTTCTGATTTAGTCTGTTTCAGTGCTACTGTTTGGTTAATGATTTGGGGAATACAGCTTCCACCCTTTACACTTGACCTGGTTCTACGTTCTGACTTTCTCCAGACAGGCTTCAGCCCGGGTTAAGTCCAGAATTTGTCTGAATAATGTTTTTGCTAGTATATCAATGTGGCCACTATATTTGGAAATGTGTGTGAAATGTATTGATCACTGAAGTAACAGGTAGTTCTTAATTACTACTGCGTTGGTATTGCTTTTACCCAGGTTGTCTTTTTGATTAATTCTTTGCCTGGGATTTACAGTACACAGTCAATATCTAATAGAGATAGTACATATAAGGCTGTGTATCATTAAGAAGTTACCGATACGATACATGCCTCAATACATGGCTCACGATACGATACATATCTCGTTACATTGAGCTTTCAGTTCAGTACGATTCAATACAATACATTTAAAATTGATTCAATAGGATTCAATAAAAAATAAAGGCTAAATAATGGCTGTGATTCTAAAAGTCTTTGTTAAACCACTTCTTGTGCGAAGTGTGCATAAACAAGTTTCCTTCCTCTAAACAAGCAACAAAGCTGTAGCTCTGTTACAAAATTATTTTGTAAACTATACCAAAAAATATATATCGATATAACAGCCCACAATATCAATACTGTATCATCACATTAAACAATATGATATATCAATATTTCAATATTTTTGCACCCCTCTAAATACAGAGATATGTGATTTTGGGTTCCACACTGGTTTATACCTGCTTTATGGTCTAAGGTCTTGTCCCTGGTTTTATTTTTGTTTTTTTTCTAGGCTAGTTATTCCTCCTGGTTCACTGGTCTACTTTTGCTTTTCATCTTAATTGTTAGTTTAGCTAGGTTTTACTCCTCCTTTCAACTGCAGTGTAGTGTCTAATTCTCTCTCCAGTGTGAGTATTATAGGTTGGCTATGGTTTACAGTAACTAAAGCCCTTTTCAGTTCTGTGCTTAACATGTGAGAGTCTAGATGTACCCACCACAGTGAAACAGTTCAGAGCAGAGAGCAGTGATCCGTGAGATTTCCCATGATCCTCTCTGCTCCATAGCCTCCAGGACAGAGCAGACTGAAGAAGAACTGCATTTTTTTGTGAGTGAGTGAGTGAAGGACACTGTTTAAAATGTCTGCAGGCAAAAAAGGGAGGACAAGAAAGACTGAGCATTTATGGAGAAAGCAGGAGCTCTTAAATGTGATCAAACCAGGACTAAACCTGATTATTCACGAGATTTAACATAAGATAGGAGGGGTATCAACAAAACATGGTAGTACTACAAAGTTGTCTTGTTTCAAAAGTTTGTTCCCTAAATTTTGTCTTTAAGATGTGCTGTTTATCATAAATGAATTTTGCCAGTCTCTTCAAAAATGTAGGACTGGGTAATATGGTAATAAAACTCAAACCATGATCTCATCCTTGTGACGATCTGCTATTTTTGTAAAACCTGCATATCGTGATTCCTTGCTTTTCTGTTTAATGCAGCTTGGCCACTTTCACCACCCACTCCTCCTATTGGTCTGTCTGTGTAATGCTCTGAGTGAGTGAGTTTTTTTAAGCTTTTCTACTATGTTATAATGTTGTTCCTTCATTAAAGAGACTTACTCTAGGGGAGTGGGAGTGGCTAGGACTGTTGAACATAGGGATCTTTCTTTTTTCTGCCTTTCTCACGTGTGACCTTTGCTCCTCTGGCTCTCCTCCAGGTGATCGCAGCCCCTCGCCGTTGCAGATGCTCCCCACAGGTGCAGAGCCACAGGGGGGCTGTCCCGTGCAGCTAGTGGTGGCAGATGAAGACGAGCATTCCTTCTCTCTCCAGGAGGACGCACTGGAGAGGCTTCTGCTACGGGAGCCCGTGCAGGACATGAGTGTGGTGGTGGTGTCTGTGGCTGGAGCCTTCAGAAAGGGAAAGTCCTTCCTGTTGGACTTTATGCTACGCTACATGTACAGCCAGAAACAGGTGAGGGGGCGGAGCATGCATTCATAAACATTTTTTTCCCGCTCCCACCATACAGCTTCACCAGACTTGTTCATTTCAGAACAAATTGCTTTCACCTTGCTATTTAGCATTTGTGCATGACTTTAGCTCCTTCAATTTGCAGTGTGTCAACAGATAATGGAAGTGAGGCTGCAAATTTGCGCCATTGCCCAACACTCACACACCACATTCATAGTTCATACTATGACACGTCACCCACATTCTAAGTTCAAGAGTCTGGTCCAATTGCTCTGTTTGACTTTGCATTCCTAGAAATGCTATGGTGGCAGTCATTTTAAAGACATTTTGAGCCTGTTAAAGTTTGTACCTCTGACCCATGTACATGGACATTGTGCTTTTGTGAATGGAGCTGTGAACTTCCGTTAGCCGAGGGGGACATTCTGTGTGCACTAATTTAAAGAGGATTTTAACACAAAGACCTCAGTGTGACCAGGGCCTCAGCGAGCTTCAAAACCAGCTTTATCTCAGGGCAAAGTTCAACTGCACTCTACAGCAACACGCTTGCACTTTACTAACCAATGTAATAGTGACAGAGCATATTATTCTTCTGGGGCATGACCTTAACTATGAGTGGGATTGCCTCTTCAGATCTGACTTGTAACTTGGCCTGTTGATGTCACTGATTGGTGTCATTGACTTGTCTCCATAGAGAAATAAAGATGATTCAAACATTCATAAATCTCTCTAAATGCAACTTTGAGAGGGTAAAAAAGTATAACATGATTAAAAGCTCTGAAAAATAGGTTTTGCTCAGTATGTCTCCTTAAATATTGTTTGAAGGTGTTCTGTCTCAGGGTAGCTGTGGCTTGTGTCAGTGGGTGTGTCTGAGGCTGTGTGGGTAGGTGTGTCAGTGGGTGTGGTTGTACCTGTGTAGGTGTGGCTAACTCTTTGGCGCTTGTTCTGTTTCAGGGCAGCTATGACTCGTGGCTGGGAGGAGAGGATGAGCCCCTGACCGGCTTCACATGGAGAGGAGGCTGTGAGCGAGAGACCACCGGGATCCTAGCCTGGAGTGAAGTCTTCGTCGTGGATAAACCTGACGGATCACAGGTCTGAGACGGGACCAGACCAGAATAGATCAGACTAGTCCGGGGGGGTTATACTGGCATTCATTATTTATTTCGATACCTCGATGATGGTAAAAACACACTTCCTCTAGAAAATATGATGTGATTTTCACATATCCTGTGTGGTCTGTGGGGCTACACCAGTTTATGTGATCTGAAATTGCTCAAGAACATTCTAAAACGAAAACAAATTTTTCCATGTATTTGAGCACAATCTTGCCCCAGTATAGATATATTGTATAAGCAGCTCCTGAGGTCCAAATAAGTCCACTGTGTACTGTTGAAATACTAGTTAGTGGCATTACTGTCATGGCAATACTGTGCTCTGGTTTCTGAAAGTTGTGAAAAGCTCTGCCGTATATCGGTAAACTTATTGCAGTGAATAAGAAGGAAAGTGGGAAAGTTTGGACCACTGCAAACGGTTTAAAATGGACTACTTATTTTTCTCATGTTTCTAAGACAGAAAAAATCAGGTACAGAACCTTTAACTTTATGTAACTTTTATGTTTCAGGTTGCAGTTCTCCTGATGGACACACAGGGGGCGTTTGACAGTCAGTCCACCATTAAAGACTGTGCCACCCTGTTTGCTCTGAGCACCATGACCAGCTCCATCATGGTGTGCTTCCTCTCACACACACACCACGCTGTTTATTACAAAGACTTAAAAAAGACATTGTGCTTGTGTCTGCTATAAAGTTTTGATTTATGGCGCCATCATTGTAATAATTTGGTCATTTTAAATTGCAATGTTAATTTGAAATATAAGATATAATTCTGCTCTGCTCTAACTCTAGCATAATGTAACATAACTCTAGCTCTGACTTGGGAGTGACTTGGCTCTGAGCGCAAAGGGAGGGGGATTGAGCGTTAAAAGTGAAACTTATTCAACATGTTAATATGTTGATTTTTGTGAATATAATATTTTTAAAGTAATGAAAGTTAACATGGTCATCCAAATGTTATGTGTTGCCAATTAATACCCCATAGAAGTGAAACACCCCTTCTAATGTTTTTAATGTTTGTGTTTCAGGTTTATAATCTGTCACAGAATGTTCAAGAAGATGATCTACAACATCTACAGGTTAGTAATGATCCAAAGTGGTTCATATTTAGACCAGGCAAGGAGACTCCTTGCACAGTTGATGCTCATCAAATATTCCCCATTTTGTTTTTGCTCTATTTAAAATGTTGTTGTTGAAAAAGAAAGAAAATGTTAATCCAGTAATTTAGACCTCTCTACAAATATTTATCTGTATAATGATATATCTTGTTTTTGCCAAATTGTTAAAATTATATTGTGCTTAAAATAATATTGATATTGGTATTGTCCAACTCTACTACAAATCTTTTTTTTTTTCAAAGCTCTTCACAGAGTATGGGCGCCTGGCCATGGAGGAGGTTTATGAGAAGCCATTTCAGGTACAGACCACAAAACAGAATATTAAAGGAACTGTAGAGTGCACGCTTACTTTTTTTTTTTTTTTTTTTTAAACCCGAGTTCCCAGAGTTTTAAGCTGCAGATAGAGGACACACTTTTTCTTATTCTCTGTATATGAACATGCCATGCCTCATGTGAACTCAGAACCTCCAGACTTCAATCACTGCAGAGGCTGCACTAGCCGTGATTAATGATTGGCTGCAGGTTTGGGTAGTGAGGATTCAGATTAATCAAACAGCATATAAAATAAGTACTGTATGAACATGTATGAATCTTACAAAATACAACTCTTGAGTAAGCCAATTAAAGGTCTATTTGTTTTTTTTTATAGAGATATATTCACTCAACTCATTTTGATAATATGAGCTCAAATTGCCTCTAAAATACAGCTCAACTTTTGAAGTCGGCTTTAGTTTGTAGCCTCATTTAAACTGTCCTGTGTTCTAATTTCACATGAAGTAATAGATCAAGGTTTACAAAAAAAAATTTAAATAAAAAAAACCAAACACAATGTCTGTTTTTCAGAGTCTTATGTTTCTGATCCGAGACTGGAGTTATCCGTACGAGCATCCATACGGATTGGAGGGTGGCCGCAGCTTCCTCGAGAAACGCCTCCAGGTGAGTGGAACCTGGACTGGATATGGGGCCGGATCTGGGGCCAAATCTGGGGCCGGACCTGGAGCTGGATCTGGGGCCCTATCTGGACTCTGATTGGATCTGGAGGACTTGAGTAAAAAAATATTCTTATAGTTGTATCTGTCATATAATTGGCTAATTTTTGTGTATTAGAGGAGTTTTGGCCCAATGTACAAGATAGTTGCTAGGTAACAGTTATGGAATTCCCTAGTCTGATTATTTTCAACCAGGAAGTATATTTTAAATCCTAAAAAATGCCCTTAACTGTGTTTTAATAAAAATAAGTAGTCCACCTTGTCACTTCAAAGTAGGATTATCCCCTGACCTGTAGCAAAATAAATTTAGGATATTACATATAAGCTTCTTTAATTAAATGTTTTGTTGCAGTAACAGCTAAAAACACAGAGAGAACAACACCGAGCATGAGCTTTAGTTCCATTTCATTCGATCGTCAGAAGAATTAACGATTGATTATCGATTAATCATTAACGTTTTTATATTAAAATGATCATCATTATTATTACTATCTGCACTACTAATCTGCATAAATAAATTCAACTTTACGACATATAAACCGTAACGACTCTAGAGCCACATCAATCCGTTTTACATTATAATGTGTTTAATGCAGTTTTGCGCAAGTCTCACAGAAACAAAACCTAAAACCGCATCGCTAATTTGCATAAACTAAGCGAAGATAAAACTACAGCTCTTGTGCGCTGATGCGGTCAATTTCTGTTGGATTAAAAGACATGACTTAGTCGAATACAGGTTAGTGTGACCATATTTGCGTTTGTCAAAACCAGGACACAGTACGGTGGGTGGGAGATGGGGACTCGTCATTGACATTGCGCTACTCTCACCTGACAAAGCTTTTTCCCACTGGACACTGAAACATATGTTCCTGCTTTGTACACTGTGCACATGGCCTCCCACTTGTCCCGAACGCAACAGAAAGCGTGGAATTTCTTGTACAAGTCATCGTTAAATACGCATTTGTGCTTCAGTACGTTGCAGACTGACTGTTTGTGTCTGCTCGCTCCTTCTGAGTGCAGAGAGCTACATGTACGGACCCCTGTTTGGTCACGCTACGCACAGCAACCTACATTCGGTTTGTCGATTAAAATTAACGTAATCGATGAAATTCTTAATGATCAATTATCGATTAATCGATTAATCATGCCCATCCCTAAATACTACATTACACTATACCTGCACATGCATGTGTCTGTCACTTAGGCTTGGCTGTGGTTTTATATAGATACTTTTCAAATACATCCCCAAAGTAAATTATTATTATGGGACCACACACAGCGGTGCAGAGCCAATTAAAGTTACTGCAAGGGAAATTCTTGTACGGCGACAGCTCTATTTTTTTGTGGTTTGTCTGCACTGTTCAGGTGAAGCAGAACCAGCATGAGGAGCTGCAGAATGTCCGTAAACACATCCACTCATGTTTCTCCAACATCAGCTGCTTTCTGCTGCCTCACCCCGGGCTACGAGTGGCCACCAATCCGCACTTCGATGGGCGACTCAGGGGTAAGACTCCTCCAAAACCTCCACCAAAACCTCCACCCAAAACTTCATTATCTACTACTCATTGCAATTTAAAATGACCAGACCTAGGACTGTACACACACCAGCATGCACTTCAGTGGTCGACTATTGCTAATCACTATGTATAGTAACGATACTAAAATCAAACTCGATTACCTGCTTAAATGAGTGCCTAGTTTCAATACTGCTTTCAGCCCTATCTTGTATTGTTCTTTATTCAAGGCTTGGGTGTTCAAAAAAATGTCTGTTTTGAAGTACCCCGTATTCATGCCCACTGCTCTATACTTACTTGTAATTACTTGTTCTGTCCCTCTTCTAGACATCGACGAGGACTTCAAGTCTGAGCTTGTGAACCTGGTTCCTCTGTTGCTGTCACCGGAGAACCTGGTGGAGAAGGAGATTGGAGGAGAGAAGGTCACCTGCAGAGACCTGCTGCTCTACTTCAAGGTTTGACCTCCTCACTGTCCACACTTTGTAGTTTGGGTTTGTTCAGAACTACTGTGGTTGACTAATTTGATTGGTGTTGTTTTAAAGAAAAGTCTCTATTTTAGTACCAACCTAAGGTCTGTAAACTGAACTGTACCTTTTTCTGTATACATTCAGGTTTAATAACTTGACTCAATAAATACTTAAAAAATTTAAGGAAAAAAAAAGCTCAAAATCAGAACCTGAAAAAATTCATTACGGTTTGTAGTGGTTAAAAGTTTTTCTTCACTTTACACATTCATCCTATTTAGTCACCAGTTTTCACAACTTTCAGAGACCAGAGTTTATTATGACGGTGAAGTTAGCATGCTAGCTGCAAACGTACTGATTATTAGACAATAAAATGCTTTATAATTAGGTGCAGACATTACACAGTAGAGTTACATTGTTTAAGCAGCTCTTGAGGTCAAAATATCTACTGGGGCAAGATACATTTTGTTCATACATAGGAATAAATCTGGTACGGGCCCTTGAAATCAGGATTGTTTTCTTACTTGCTCTTAGTTTTACCATTGCACTTCATTTATTCTCCTTAATTTGTTTCAGGCGTACATGAAGATCTACCAGGGAGAGGAGCTGCCACACCCTAAGTCCATGCTGCAGGTTAGACCCAGGAATAATGTTGCCATGATACTAAAATTTCAAACTCTTATTTTGATACTGGGGAATAGACTTAACACTCAATATCAATTCCAATACCACGATGATTAAAAAAACAAAAAACAAAGACAATAGAATGCCATTTTCAACATTAAATCGTAGTACTTTCTTTAATATTAAAATGTGGTCTTATAGCTGTGTAATCCCTCTGTCCTCCAGGTCTGTTCCATGGTGGTTCAGGGGTATAAACTAATATATGTGCTTTTACTGTAACTGCTCAAAATCATTCTTAATACAGCACTTTTAACAACCCTACCCAGGACTAGGTCAGGAAATGTCTCTTTAAATGTGCTTGATCAATAATTGTTTGAATTTTATAGGCCACGGCCGAAGCCAATAACCTGGCAGCTGTAGCAGGAGCCAAAGAGATCTACAACAGAAGCATGGAGCAGGTACATATGAGTGAGCGTCTGATACACACAGGAAGGGCATTTGACACAAATTAAGATGGGAGGGCACACACAAATAATTCTGGTCCTGTGTGTCAGATCTGTGGAGGGGAGCGCCCGTACCTGTCGCCGTCGGAGCTGGAGCGTCACCATGGCGACCTTCGTGAGGTGTGCGTGCGTCACTTTCGCTCGGTGAAGAAAATGGGTGGAGATGAGTTCTGTCGGCGCTACCAGACTCAGCTGGAGGCGGAGCTAGAGGACATGTACTCCGCCTTCTGCAAACACAACGACGGGAAGAACCTGTTTCATGCCGCACGCACGCCCGCCACGCTCTTCGTGTTAATGGCGGCCATGTACGTGATCTCCATGGTGACGGGCTTTGTAGGTGTGTCCTCTGTGGCAGCGCTGTGTAACCTAGTGATGGGCGCCGCCTTGCTGGCTCTGTGCGTGTGGGCATATGTGAAGTACTCCGGAAAGTTCAGAGATGTGGGCGCAGGCATCGACCGAGTGGCAGACTTCCTCTGGGAGCAGGTGAGAAACAGAAAGAGGGTTATAACAAAATTCTAAAAATTAAATATAACTACGGTTCGATAAATCTGACCTCCACTGATATAACTGTTTTATTTAAAACTACACTATGAAACTTTTCTGGTGTAAAGTCCACCATTTCATATCTACATGGAGAAGTTATCGGTCTCCCTTGGCATTTGCTCAAAAACACCTTTTATAAACAGTAACTGATTTTGTGATTACAGTTCCACAGGTACACTTTAGGCCACAAGTGTCTCCCCTGTCTAATCAGTGGAAACATTGTGCACCTTTTTAAGAACAGCTCTTCTGATTTGTATCTTTTAGATAGCTAAAACTTTAAAACAAAAACTAACTTTACATGTTTCTTTTTATGCTCTCAGAGGACTCCTGGAAAGGTGAGTTTAAATGTGGCTGCAGATGAACCTCATGGAGCTTCATCATTTATGTTTTAACACACTGCATCATATTTTGCCCTACACAAGCATAAAAATTGCACGTAATTTTTAGAATGCATTAAAAGTGAATGGGGAGGGCCATCAGCACAATGTGCTCCTGGGGCACCTATAGCACACACACAATTGCATCAGAAAGATCTTGCATTTGCTGTCATCAGTCAGAATTCAGTGCTGCATGCATACATCCCGCTGGAGCGTGTGACTGTGCGGCTGTGGTTTCGTGAGATTATGCACATATGCACATTATGCACCTTTTCAGATGTGTGTGTTTTTTTAATTTTTTGTTTGAATTTTCAGTCTAGATATACTTCTGATATGTCCATGTCCCAAATTATTCATTCTCAGTTTGCAAAGTCCTTGTTCTCTACCACAGCTGTCAAATTATTTAATGATTGTTGACAGGTTTTCACACTTGATTTAAACTTCAAACTTTTGAATGGTTTTGTTTTGTTTTTTAAATTTCAGATGTTGTGTAAAATTGTGGAGGTAGCCCGGAGTCGTGTGCCGCTGATGAACCTGATCCCTCTGCCGCGACCACGACTTGCGACCAACAACAACATCAAGAAGAAAAACTAGAGCTGCCACTTTTGTCGCTCCTCTTTCTCTCTCCTCCCTTCCTCCTCCCTTCCTGTTCTCCTTCCCTCTGACTCACTCCTCTCTACACCCCTGTCTTTCACCATACTCTCCTCCTCCTCCCCCTCGTCCTTCTCTTTTCCCCTCCTCCCTTTTCCTCACTCATCCACTTCGGGAGCAGACAAGCATTTTCTGGATCTGCTTAAATCAAACACAAAATGAACAAACCCAGACACAATCTTCACATTTGTCTGACCCACCAAAGTTTACAGCTTTACTCCGCCACTTCATAACTGTCATTTTGGGGAGAGTTTCACAGTTTCTTTATGTAGTCTGATTTAGAATAAGTTTTGTCTCTGAAGTCTTAAGTTAGGATTGGTATTGTAAGAAGACAACAGACTGTAGTTGAAACTACAACTAGATATTTTCCATTATTTAAGTTTAATGACATTTGTGGTTGTGGTAAAGTAGCCACAGCTGCCTACTACTGCAAGTGCTACTACTACTATTACTGCTACTGAAATTGGGAATAGAACCACTGACATTTGGGTTAATTGAGCCTCTACTTACTACTCCTACTTCCAGTCTCTCATCTTTTCAATTAAACTCACAGTATGCAACTTTTTAGCCAGAAAAATTTGCTAAAAGTGTGTTTTTTCTTTTTTAATTGAAAAACATGAGTCCTTGCTGTGAGCGGGCTTGCATTTCCACAAACGTTGCTAATTTAGCCTGGAGGAGGGCCTTCTTCAACTTGTTTCCGTGGGAATATTGTTGGAGAATGTTCCAAAGTATGGTTTTCACTTTCAATTTCCTTGGATTATGGAGGTGAAGTTCCGCCTCCAGTTACATACTGTACCTATAATCACTTATTTATTGGCTATGAAGACATGATTTTGACAACATCTAGTGACCAAACAGTGCACTTCAGCCTTGTACTCTTTTTATTTAATTTTTTTAGTTTGAATTGTGAAACTGTGAAATTTCCCTAAACACATTTCTTTCTCGACTGAACCTGATTATGTCATGACTCCTGCTGATTTTGAAGCTGTTTTTGTCCCTGGTGGGCTTCCGTAGACCTCCCTATGACTGTAGACTGTATCGGAGCACTATTTATTGATGTACAGCTGATTCTTGATAGTATTATGTATGTAAAGAAGGAGTTTTTATCTGAAGTGACTGAGCACATGCTATTCCAAACCTTTGAGATTTTAGCTGTCTGAGTAGTTTACAAAATTAAGTTTTGTTGAGATGTGGACCAAGGCTTTGTCCACATTTTAATAGATTTTGCTTGAGTTTTAACATTGAAATTTCACTTATAAAACATATAGGACCAAAGCATAGCAGTTTCATTCCATTTTTGTTTTTTCAACATGAATCTTAAATGCAGGAACCATTAAGTTTGTGTTTGGTGTGGACAAATCCTTCAACATCAACTAAAATGAAGGAATTGAAAAACGGTATCTAGATTTTAGTAGTTTTGAGTTGACTAAAGCTGCCCTGTGTAACTTCTCTGATGGAGGTTCTACCTCCTGCTTGTCTCCATAGATGTTCTTGTTTTTCCCAGAATGTTGCACAGTGTGGCTTTACACTTTTCTACCTTATATGTATTGTATTACAGGTGTATTTGTTGCTACAAAAATGAGTGTAAAACATGCATTCTTACTGTGATCGAGATCTCTTCACAGATCGGACCTGTAACTTGGCGCTACCTACTTATTTCTATGGAGACACTGTGAAACATTCCAGATGAAGTAATTCTATTCTCTTTGGAGACAAACAGGAGAACATTACAGCAGAAAAGTTGCGTAATTGTACTTTTTAAGATGGTTGTAACACTGGATTGATTGTTTTGCCCGTTTCAAGATTTCAATTTCCCTTTTGGAGATTTTGTAATTGAACTGACTTGACTGATCTGTCTCCATAGCAGCCTCACTCACTTTTTAAAAATGCATGTTAATCATTTTTCAAGGTATTTTAAGCAATAACAACACCTGTAATTGAAAACAAGCTAATTAAAGAAGTTTAATTTAAATGCCAATGGAGAGTTACACAGTGCACCTTTTGATCTGAAATCTTGAAGATTATTTGACTTTTCCAAACTAGTCCAATCCACTTGTTTGTAAATTCTAGTCATTTTAATCTTTTCTTTTGACATTTGCACATTCTGCCTTGTGATTCTTTTTGGCACCAAAACTCTGGATCATTCCTCATTCTTAGTAATTCCATAGTTTTTCCAGATGCTTAAATCTTGTACAGACATTTTTACTGCAGTTTCCACATGGACCACATGGCGGCGCTGCATATGTACAAATGCTGGTTTTCTAGAGACTTTTGGAGCTTTCCTTTTGATTTGGTTCACACTGAAACGCAGGACATTTTGATTAATTTGAGAGAGAATCCTTGGTGTAAATAACATAAGCACTACAGACCATCTTTATTTGGTTTCTGTTACATTTTAATTTAATTTTTAATTTATTACAATAATAAACAGAACAACTATGGATTAACTCTGGCTCTGCTGCATCTTTAGTTCATGTTTAATTGTTTATGTAGTACAGAGGTGGGTAGTACTCATTTATTCAAGTATTCAAGTTTTATTATTATTAATTTTTTTTTTACTTATAGAAGTAACAGTATTCTTACCTCAGTAAAAGTTTTGGTTTACTTACAGTGGTCTTTTCACTGGAAGTAAATTTTCAAGCGACAAAAGTGTTATGTTGGCAGTATTGATGATGTGAACATTTAAACATTGTGTTTTTTACACCACTTGCGAATTATCCGTGTGGTATTAGATTTCCTTTCTGTAAAACGTAAACAAATGTGCGCAAAACTGCACTACACACTTAATAATACTTAATAACACTTAATATCAGATGGTCCGGTGTGTAGCACTTAAGGTGCTTTCTGTACCCTTTTTATAGTATTTGGTTATGGCAATGTGGTTACCTTTACCGTGTGTGCTAGAATGAAAGGGAATATAGGCCACATGCAGAGAGATTCTAGATACAAATGAGCCTGAGGGAATAACAACAGAGGACACTGACAACACTTTGAGTTAAAGTGATAAATGGTTTGTAATTAAGTTCAATTATTTGTGGATTTAAAGAAACAGCGTGTGGTTTTACCCCAAATAAAATAAAAGACTACTATAGCCGGGTATACTTTTAGGTCCTTTTCAATCCTTGTCCAATGTTCAATGTGTTTGTAAGCAGTTGGGCTTCAAGCTGCCATTGTTCGACTATTCAGGCTAGGGCTCGCCTAAAGATGATCCTTTCTCCTCTGCACGTCTGCAGTTCCCAACTCCGACCCAAACAAGAATTCTGACCTAAAGATAAGGCTCTTGTTACTGTTTATATTCTTCTCAAAATAATAATTAACATGTTGTAAGACAATAAAGTTCAAAATATTTACATTTACAAAATTACCATTTGAATAAACCAAATAAAATAGCTTAACTGTGGTAATAAAGTAATGTTACTTGTTCCATTTTAGGAAGGCATAGTGCACCTTTAAAATAACACAAAATAAAATAGCTTTTGTCATCTACTACTACAAAAGCTGAATGGATTTCAAGGTTTGTCTATCCAGCTTTATCTCTGAATGTGAGTGGTAAAATGTCTAACGATATCAACAATCTATTACAGACTGCCTAGAAAAACAAACACCATTATGTCAAAAGAGCAGTGGGGGCCCAAAGAGGCAGGAGGCCTTGAATTATTAAGGTTCTCTGATTTAAACTACATGTTTAAGATCAAGTGGGTCAGACAATGCATTGGAAACCCTGACTCCATATGCTATTTTATCTCTAGTAATGTCTTTAATGACGTTGGGGGTCTTTCTTTTGTGCTGGGATGTAATTACAGTGTTACAAAACTTCTCTTAAAATATGTGGTTTTCAGCAAGCGTTGTTGGCATAAAAAGTATGCTATAAGCATAACTTCTCTCCATATAAATGTCTGGAATAATGAATGCATTACAAAACAAAATAAATCAATATTTTTAACTAAATGGTTCAATAGAGAAATGATTTATTGATATTTTGATGATATTTAATGACTGGTCCTATGAAATCTTTATTAGTCTTTATTAGTCATCTTATATAAATATAATTAATAATAAAAATGTTATTATAGATTATGGATATATGGCCCGTATAGAAAGACACACCTGCACAGTGAGGTTCCTCGCGCGGCGCCTGATCAAAACAAACGTCAAATTGTGTATTTTCACTGTTTTTACGCGCTGTTTTAACACAAAAATCCTTTATTTTAAAGTGAAATGATTTTATTCACTTGAAGGGGGGGCTGTTAAACCCTTTACCCTGGCAGAGCTGGGGGGTCTTCGGCTGTAGGACCCAGAGAGGACCCGGTCCAAGATGGCGCAGCCCGGTGTCGAAGCTGAACTCTGAAGGTGAGAGCGAGATTTCCCTTTTTAAGGTTGTTTTTACACATTTAAAGGACAGGGGGTGTGGTTTGGTTAAGATATGGTTACAGAGTGGCCCTAACTTTAATACTGATTGGGGTGACTGTATTTTAAAACAATACATCAAGGAAAAACTTTGTGCAAACCCTGATCCGGGTGAGTTATGAAAGCGTAAGAGAATCATGATGTAAGAATTAAATGTTTGTTATAATTTTGTTATTACAGCTTGGTTAAATGTGAAATGGTTTAAAGGTGTCCATAGTGAGAAGAAGTTTCGCGTACTATAGGACACTGTCAAACAATAGCAACATAATCAGCTGCACTCCTTGAAATATTTGCGTAATTTTCTCTCCAGTTCTCTTTCTCTGTACCATGGGTCTGGCTAATTTCTGGAAAAACTATAAAGTGTTGATTGTGATGGGCACAAGTCTTGGTCTGGTTCACTGGGGCTGGTACAACTTGAAGGACTCTCACCCACTGAACCGACCCAGAGACGAGGTGCCGGAGCCGGGCATCGTCACCTTCCTCTCTCCCTCGCCTCCACCTGCAGCTAGAGCCAAGAATCAGTGAAGGTGTGGATCCTGCCTCCTCTCATTAAGGTAGGTCTCTTTTAAGGTAGGGTATAGAGTTATTTTATTTTATTTTTTTGACAACTGTTAGACTTAGGCAAACTTTATTGAACCACAAGGGAAATGATTTGGACACAGAAGCTCACACGTCACATTAAAATAACGTAACAAAGAGCAACAATATAAGTGTTAATAATACATTTAAAATAATATGCAAAAATGGCAAGGAACTGGTGTCAAATAAATAATAATTACACAAATGTAGCTATATGTGAAAGTAAAAATCAAATTTACACTGCACATCTCAGTGGCCTTTGTGTCTCAGTCAAAGGGCTCAGTGCAGTTTGAACAAGAGTGTCCTGCAGTATCACAGCAGCCTCCAGGGGGCGCCAGGTGAACATAACAGGAAAGGCCTTGCGCTTACTTTTTTTTTTTATATCAAAAATGTTTTTATTAAATAACAAATGGTAATACAGAAAATAACATAACAATATACACACAACATAACAAATAGAATAGAATGCCAGGGGGAGGCATACATGAAAGAAAAGCATAATCGCCACTGTTACATTCATACAAAAATATTCATTAACATACAACTTTCATACGTCAATACAGCTTGTGCTTAACCCGGTCTGGTGTTTCGGTTGGTGACGAAATAGTCCATTCTCTCAAAGTGTTTCCTCTGAAAGGTCTTCTGCCACATTTGCTGAAACATATGACATAAAAAGTGTGCAACATTTCAGTGCCCATAGCTAACTAGCTCCTTAGCTAGCGTCTTGTCTCCATGGATTCAAGAAAAACAAACAATCCGATGGTCCCTTACCTATGTTCTTTGAACTGCACAGGCTGCACTAACAAACTAGGTCCCAAATTAGGAATAGGCTGCATTTATATTTTAGGAGTATTTTAGGAGGATGTCATCATTTCAAGTGGAGAGCAGGGGCCTATATAACCCTGTTGGAGATTCACTGTTTTTGAAAGAAATATCTAAACCAATGATCTAACAATGTTATCATTAATTATTTGGGATTGCTCCACATATTTGTCGTATTAATTTTATGTCTTGAATTCCTTATTCCTTTCCACTATTTCAACAATTATGTTTTAAAGGTTGAATAATGGCACTTTCTGAAGCTAAAATAATTTTCACTTTTATTTATACTGACAGAGAAGAAGTTGAACTTTGTGTCAGTTTTTGTTTTATGTGGGTGTGAAGCATAAAACGTTAAAATAATCTGATGGGGGAAGGCAAAAGAAAGAATTGGTTTGAAAGAAGTACTGATATTAAGTCTGCTTGTTTTTACAGATAAACTGAAGAGGAGATGCGCTCTCAGAGTTGGCTGAGGAGGAATTGGCCGTGGGCTGTGGGCGGGGCCTTCATTACGGTTCACCTGTTCACCTGGATCATGAATAAGGCCATGAAGAGCTCCGTCCAATCACAACGCACTCTGAGGAGTCCTGTCCAAACAGACGCAGCCTTGAAACAAAACCCAGCATCGCAACAGACAACAGACTGAACTAGAATTTTATGAATTTTAAAACAAATATAATATAATTTTGAGTGAAAGCGATGGACTGAGGAGGGACTGTTTAAAGCCAAGCCACTGTGGCCCCTTGAATTCTAAAATACATAATGAGTAGATTTTGCCCAAACAAGTGAGCAGACAATACTATTTTTTACCTGGGAAATTTTAGAGAATCGTCAAGTGTCACCACAACTACCAAAGTCTCAACCAAAATGCTCTGAAATTCTGATTTGAATAAAAAAAATGTTGCCTGGGATTCAGAATACTCCAGTACTTTCTGAAGATGTGAGCCTGGTCATCAGAATCTCCCAGAATTCAGATTGGCAACAGGATTGATTAGCCAATCAGAGAGATGCGTGGTCAAAACCAAAATATTGCTGCTTATTAGGAAAAAAAGGGGGGAAAAAAATCACAGGGACTAGAAAAAATAGCAGCTTTCCGCAGGTGCAATAAGATGTTTGTAAATGGTGACCAGTGATCTCCTTTACTTGACAAGCTTTGCTGAATAAAACAAATCTGTTTGGATTATCATGTTTGACCTGACTCTAAGCATGACAGAGCCAACCAATCGCAGTCCAGAATAAATTACACATGTATTTTTTTTTTGCCTTTGATTGATTTGTATAATTTATTGGAATAAAAACCTGATGGATGAGAATGCATTTGTTTTTTGTTTTGTTTTTGTTTGTTTTTTTCAAAATATTAATTTTAATAAGATCTGGTTACGAAGTGAAACATTCGGAAGTCATTTTAGACCACAATGTTCAGGTAGAGATAAAACAAAACTCCTTTTCTATCGAAAAAGAAAGCCTAATAATATTTGCACAATGTTACAAATTACTTTAGATTCCAGATCAAATCCACATTAAGTTGAAATCAAGCAAATTAAAACAAACTGAGAAATGCACACAAAGAAATCTTACCTACACCCTGAAAAATGTTCAGTACTCCTGAGTCCTGACCAGGATCCTGACTCAGATCTGAAGATGGGTCCAGCTATTTTGCCTGGTAAATTAAACACAATACGATGTATAAATTCTAAAAGGATTCAGCCTACAAACCACAATTTCCCAAATTTACCTCCTTTTCTCCCCATGAATGAGATGTTCCAGCAGGCGGCAGTAAAGCAAAGAGCTTGCCCGCCCTCCACAGCTGAGGAAGCCAATCTGAGTTGCCAAATATGCATTTTTATAGCGACTTTAGGCTTCTGTTTTGGAAAGTCACATTAAGATTTTGAGTGTTTTTTGAGGCTTGCTCTTTAGCAGCGCTTTCATACCAGAAAAGCGACTCTTTAGTTATTAAGTCTGTTACGTGATAATAAACTGTAATACAGTTTTACAGGCATTCATAGTTTGTGTGGCTTTTTAGCTGTCTAACGGAGTGATGAAATTAAAATATTTAGACTAAGACTAAAGACTAAGACTAAGAAGTTTATTTTTTGATTACTAAATCCGATGAAATATTTTTTATTTATTTTTTAAATGTATTTATTTTTTTATAGCGGTTTTTCAAAGGCTTGGTCCTTGGATTCCCTCAGAAAATCTGGCAACCCTGATCGTAGTCGGTGATGGCGGCGCAGGCGGAGTTGTGCGCACTGGACCCGTTCCCCACAGGTTTCAGTCCGCTAGACGCGCTTCTGCCCCGTGTAGAGCTCCAGACTCTGCTCGGCGAGGGTCATGAAGCGGACACGGACCTCCAGGTTGCGCTGCTATTCACTCCACACCGGGCAGAGAGCAGCAGAGCCCGGACAGTGTTTCTGCGAGCCGTCGCGACCGAACTGGAGTTGTGGAGAGGAGCAGGGGGCACAGGTGAGACAGAGGGAAAGTTGTTAAAAATTACGAATCCAATCTGTGAAATGAAACGTATTTTATCAGAAAGGGGTTTTAGGGATAGTCCAACCGCAAATGCGTATTTATTACAATCTGTGCAACATTAAAGTGCACTACAGCTTTTCTTATCTCCATGGAGATGTTATTGCTTTGCCTGAAAAGTTCCACAGAAGCCTGTGGGGTTACCTCTCCACAGATCTGACATGTAACTTGGCCAGATGATGTCACCCGCTTGCCTCCATGGAGATAGATATGTTTAATGTCATACTGTGGACTTTTCCAGGCAAAACAATAACATCTCCATAAGACAAGTAGGCATTTGACCCTCCACTAGAGAAGTACGTAGTTCACCTTCAAGTGTGTGGTCTCTGCAGTAAACATGTTGGATCTAGGTCTATATCACTGGTTTAAAATATGCTCAGTTGACTTAAAACGGGTGTGTCAAACTCAAATTCACAGAGGGCCAAAATTAAAAACCTGTGAAAAAGTTGCAGGCCAAACTAAATATTTATTGAAAATTTCAACAACATCTACATGTTTTCTCTTCTATCAAGATATGTAATGTTAAACCTTTTCGTATTAAAATAAATGTTTAATGCTTTTTTTTTTTAAACATTGAATCCAGAACAAGCATAATATAAAATAATAACAAAACTTTAAATAAATAATGTCTCTATAGCCTATCTGTAGCCAGTGGGCCAGCTCTAATACATATTTGATATGATGTCGTGGGCCAAATATAATTATATCACTGGCCAATTTTGGCCCCCGGGCCTGAGTTTGACATGTCTGACTTAAAAGCACAGACTATGCAGTCCCCTTAAGCTCCTGCATCAGTTTATATCTACCCATACTGAATGACACTAAATAAGAAATCTTTTTCACACAACCCAAGACTAAACCAGGAGTGAATCATATGCTGCCTGACTCCCCTGCTCTCTCTTTTCAGACAATGTATTGCAATTGTGGGTGAGTCCTCAGTTCCTCAGCCTACATTCAGACCTAGGTCCCGGTTCAGTCCAGATTCTAGACCCTGTTAGCTTGGACCAGGTGGTGCTGGGTCTCAGGCGGGGATCTGGACTCTGTCCCCAGGATCGGAGCCTCGTGTCTTGGCTGCTGCAGCGCTGTGGGCCCCTGACGTTGGTGGAGAGAGGAAAGCCACTCCTTCTCACAGACACAACACAGGTCAGGAGCAGTCTCAGGTTTTCTGTAGACTCAATGTCACCATCTTTTTGTGCAATAATCACACCCCCACTGCTCATGTACTACCAAAAAAAAGGCAGAAAATATTTAAATTGTTTTGGCCTATAGAATGTTGTGACACTTACCACCTTCTGCTGTTGTTTTAGTCTTTTACAGAACCTTAAGAAGTCACAGTTGTTTTGTATTGTAATTAGGGCTCCAATATATGACAATTAAATCTAATCAAATACTTGTATATAATTTAATGTCCTTTGCAAAGGACAAACAAAATATCAATTTTTTAAAACAGGAAAATCTTGTTGTACCTGTGGTTAACTGAAAATACTGAAAAATGTGCCAGATAAGATATTGACTTCCAAATATTGTTTTAGTCGTTATCCTGAGTTGACAAATACATTGATGTAATAATAATAATTTACTGGTCATAGTTGGCTCAGTCTCATAATGTTTTAACTTTCATTTTAACTAAGCTACTCTGTAGTTACTGAAGAGATAAATAACAGCTACAGTATATAACACTATATAACATATTTGAATGAGTTTTGTCTCATTTTGATTTTGTTTATAAAGGAAATAAATGCTGTTATTATTCTCTGCACTGGTATTTATTAAAATCAGGCAATGGCAAAGATTGAGCTATAGTATCAAAATCGGTATTGAAAGTGAAAAAGGTGCATTGGAGCTTTTTGAATTTATCATTCAAAATTTCTGTCTTCTCTCAAATGTTTATGCTCCTGGAGTTTTTTTTACAATGTGCACTCACAATACTCACAATTCTGTTTTTTTCCCCCAAAATCGTGTGGCTGTAATTGTACTTATGTCTTCCTTAGACCTTAGACTTCCTGGTTCTGGACTGCAGCCCTGTGTCCAGAGGGCAGGTCACTCCTCAGACCTGCGTTGTTCTGACCGACTGTTCTGACTTGCCAGACTCTCAACAGACGCCGCCTCCCTCGCCCTCTCAGCCAATCAAACTGTGTGTTTCTGACTTTGCGGTGTTGTCAGAGGGGCTGAGTGGGCGGTCTCTGCTGGAGCGGCGCAGGCTGCTGGAAGCGGGGCTTAATGGAATCCTACAGGTGGGCACTTGAGACTTTTTGAAGATGCAGTATGTGTCTGATGGGTGGTCTGTTAACCACTGATCTTCATGAAGATAATTTTACATTACTTGGAATGTACCACAGTATGGCATTGGACATATCTATATTGCATTTATTCATTTACAGGCATTTTGTCCTTTGGAAGACATGCATTGTTACTGTGAACGGGATTTAATTTAGTTTTATTAACTAATCCAATTTATTGAGTGATTAAAACCTGTAAAAATTAAAGGTGCGCTATGTAACCTTTTTGGTGGAAGGCACATTAACTCTTTGTCTCTTGTGACGTTTTTGTTTTGCCTAGAATATTACACTATATGGCATTAAAGTTATTTGTCGCTATGGAACCAGGTGACACACCAGGCCGAGTATTTGTTAAGCTTTAAAAACACCTTTAATTTGGAAAATGGAAACAAAGTAGGTGATGAATTTTTTCTTTCTCTCTCCCCCTCAGGCTATGGAGTGCCATGTGGATGTCCTGGTCTCCCCCCTGCTCCCCTTTCTACTTCCCTTTGACCACTCCCTGTTCCTCCCCAAACACCTGATGCTCAAACTCGGACTCTGTAACCATCAGTGGGTGCGTGTGTCATTAGGGGACGGGGTCAGGGAGCGCCTCGTCTCTGTGGCAATCGCAGATAAACTGGAAGTGGACAGTCAAGAGATGGGACTAATCTCAACAACACTGTGGTTCAATCTGAGCGAGGGAGAGCCACTTCCTGTCAACGCCACTTCTCTGCGAATCAAGGTACTGGAGGCTAACCACTCTGCCACAGTAACACACTCCACAGAGATCAGGAATCTAAGCCACAACCTCCTTACTGAGAGGAGGAGAGGGCTAACCACTCTGCCGCTCTACCCTCTTTAGCGCTGGGTTCCTGATTCAATTCCCGGGCGCTCTGAGACTCTCTCTCTCGCTGCATCTCCTCCATTCGCGTCTGAATTGCACCTTCAACCTGTGCACTCACCACTGTACTCCTGCAGTACTCTGAGCTACAACCAAATACTGACAGAGTACTTCCTCACACCCAGGTAAATACAGAACCTGTCTGTAATTTAAAGGTGCACTATGCAGAGTTGTTAAAATTGTTGACATAATCCATGCTAAAAATTGTATCAAAACTAGATATTCATTTGAGCAAGTATCAATACTAAAAGAGTCACATTCCAGGGATGAAAATGAACCTTTCGAGAATAGCTTTAGAATGACCTTGAACTATCAGAACAAATATAAGACCACATAGACTAGTATATGCCCATGGACCACTATGGAACATACCTGGATGACTGAGGGATTACACACATATACGGGCTCATGGTAAAAAAAAAAGAAAGTACAACTGCTGAATGAAAATGACATTCTATTGTGTAAAGAAAAAGTGTATTTGTTGTATTGTATGCGTTCATTTTGGTCCATAAAGATAAAGGACTGTGCACATAAATGTATTTTGTTGCTGTGATTGTCTCTCCGACTTTCTCTCTTCCTCCTCTGTCTTTGGTAGATTGGTATCAGTGGGAGACCTGATGGCTCCCGGTTCAGAACCACCCAGAGCTGGTCCAGTCCTCAGAGGGAGTCCTCAGGTACTTCTTGTCTTTATTCTGTTTCATACATTCCACTTGCCTGACCCTTCTATATTTTGTTCAGTCGAGAATGGTATAGAATCAGGATTGGACCATAGAGCATGAAAAACCTCCAACTGGTCCAACCATAGCTACTAATTTGTAGAACAAAACATATGACTTCTTTTACCTAAGGTAAATAAGAGTTTGGTGCTTTGATTGTTGATTCTAAAGAAATCTGTTTTTTCTCTTCTGTGCTGGTTTTTCACTTTTTTGTGAGCGATGAATGACCCATGTGTCTTTTTGATTGGTTAATCAGTTAATCACGCCCTATGGAATCAGGGAGACAGGATATAGTTCCAGACCCACTAGTCTTTGTAAAGTTTGTCGTTCTGGCTAGATACTGGTTCATCTGATTGTTTTCCTTCTCTCCTATAGGGGTGCTGTGGTGCTGTACTTCAGAGTGCAGAGGGTCTGTTCAGCCAAAGATGAGGTGACAGGACCATACCTGTCTGACAGGGACCACACCTCTCTCTACATGGTAACTATGGAAACTGTCACAGATTTAGAATCACTAATTCTGTAAGAGAAATGTAATTAAAATCTTAATGTGTATGAGTGTTGATAGAGAGTCACATTTGCATTCATGACCAGTAAAGGACCAGAGATGAGAAAGGGCCTGTGTTTTTAACACAAAAGAAAGGAAAAAACTTTGTTATTATAGAGTATTGTAGAGTAAAGTAGTTCAACTGAGACTAAAATAGCTGTTAACTTTAAAACTATCACTAAATTTCATGAAACTGAGCTTTAGAGCTTTGGGGATGCAGACAGCCTGATAATTACTCAAACTTATGTGAATGACACAAATGATGAGGTGATATCATGGCTAAAAGTGAGTTGGTTTTGTATCATGTAAGACCTGGATTAAATGTACAGCAGTTGTGTGTATTTAGTCATTTATTTTAAATATGTATTGGTGAAATAGTGCTTAGTACTGAAGCCTCACAGCCAGCAAGTCCTTGGTTTGATTCCCAGATTTTTCATCTATAAACAGTAAAAACAGATTTGTACCTTTTGTGTTTCAGGGTGTGGCCACTAATAGCCCTGCCCCCTTTGTCTGTGTGGGTGGCGCTTCTTTCTGGACTCGGGTGGACCCTCAGGGATTGACCCAGTCTGTGGAGCGTCTGTGTGAGATCATCAGCCCTCATTTTATACACAGGTCTGTCCTAAAGGAACTCTGGTTAACACTGGGTTAGACCAGGTTTAGTTCTTGGTTAGACCAGGTTTAGTTCTTGGTTAGACCAGGTTTAGCCTTGGCTTTAGCAGGGGGTAAGTGGATAGAGCAGTGGTTTAGGCAGTGCTACTTTAAGAGGAGATTTTGTATTGTTTATTTAAACCTCTTTTCCTCTTTCTTCGTCAGCTCTCTGGGTGTGTGCTCTGTTCTTCTCTGTGGTTCTAGAGGAATTGGAAAAATGACAGTGATCCGAGCTGCAGCGCACAGACTGCACCTGCATCTGTTAAAAGTACTACTACATCAGCTACTACATCAACTACTACTGCTGCTTTTGCTACTACAAATACTGCTACTAGAATTAACCAGTGTTGGGGAAGTTACTCAAAAAAGTAGTGTTTGCTTGTTACTCGTTACATCTTTAAAAAGTAATCCCTTACTTTACTTAGTTACCCTCTATGGAAAGTAACTTTTTTCATTACCAAATTTGTAGTAGTAGCGCGTTACATTATTTTTACCCCAAAACATGTTTAATATGAATCAAAAGGGTTTACTGTAAATATACTGTTTTAAGGTTATAAAATAAATGGCATAAATTAATTTAATTCATTGTTTATTTTGATATTTTTAAAATCAACCTATCACCATTCAAAATGTGTTATTGTGAGAGGCCTATGTGACAATCCTCCAGTTGATGTGTGTGTACTCTAGGTGGACTGCGTGTCTCTGTGCTCCGACTCCCTCGCCGCTTCCGAAAAGAAGATGTTGGCCATCTTGGACAAGGCAGAGGAAGTGTGCCCCTGTGTGGTGGTGCTGAGGAACCTACAGCTGCTACTAAGAGCCAGTGGAACTGAGCAGGGACGACTGCAAAGCACTCTGGGAAGACTGTTGCTGCGACTCTCCAACAGGTGAGGTCCAACTGTCCGAAAGTTTGAAGTATAACCCAAATGAAAGCCCTGTGGTTGTTGTTTTTTTTCAATAGTACATTTTAAAGTAAAATTCAATGCACTGGTAAATAATGCATTTGGTAAATAATTCCTGGAGTATGAACATTGGAGAGAAAACTGAAATATGAACTGAGAAACTAATACAATAATACCATGCATTTCAGAAGTGTCATGTTTAGACAGCTAATTTGCAGGTTCGACTAGGCCTTTTTTCTATAGAAACATAGGTTCTTCTTCTTTGCAAAGGACTTTCTACTATGTAAATGCACAATTGCAGCCTTTGCCAGCCTATTATAATAAGAGGTGGGTAGTACTCAGTACTCAGTCAATGAGGCCAACGTCCACAAGTGACAAAAGCTTTATTTTAAATGATTTGAAGGTTCGTGCTTCCTGCACTGCTTCTTCAGATATGTTTTAATTTCTTTTGTTTTTGTCTATCCTTTAAAGATACCAAATTTGTGCAATAACATTTAGTCCTTCAAATTAAATCACTTTAAAGTTACTCTTACTTGACTAGCACTTTTCACGTTATGCTACTTGAATAATTTATTTAGAAGTAATGTTACTCTAAAGTACAGTTTTTGGCTACACTGCCCACCTCTGATGACAGTTGCGGCAACAGAGATTATTAGATTGCTCTTCATTGTGGAGCCCTAATTTGAACATGCAGTATAATAAATGTATCTAATAATACTCATGTCCTCTTGATTCTCCCAGCAGCGTGGCAGTGATCGCGACCGTACCTCAAGCCACAGACCTCAGTGCTGCTGTAGTACCATTTTTCCTCCACCAGGTGTCACTGCAGAGCCCAGGGGAGGAGCAGAGGAGGTCCATGATCCAAGGACTGACCCAAGACCTCAGTCTGGGACCAGACGTAGACCTGGTCCGTCTCGCCAAAATCACAGCGGTAACTAAGGGAGGGCATCGGACACATGTAGGGAATCTGACACACAGGATGATAGGAGGACATCTGATATTTTCCTCTGTTCAGGGCTTGGTGTTGGGGGACCTCATTGCTCTTGTCGCTGAAGCGAGTCGAGAGGCGCGTCACAGACTTATACAGATCTGGTAAAGACATAATTGTGCATTTGTCTGCTATGTAGTTATAATCCATGACATCCATGGAACATTATCTTTAAATCACAATATTGATCTAAATAATTATTAATAAAAGAAACATGTCTGCTGACTTCCATGCTATAAAACATCGGTGTACAGTGGGACTTGACTGGGATTTGATTGAGAAAATATCAGCCATCTGATATATCAGTCTATCTCTTCTGGAGCTTGTTCTCATTTTTCTCAGTTCAGATTTTTCTCTTGTTTCTGCTCAGTCCTGGACACAGTGAGGAGGTTCTTGTTCTCTCTGGGCTCTGTCTCCAGGATCGGGACTTCAGCTCAGCACTCAGGACTCTGCAGCACTCCCAAGCCAAGACTGTGGGAGCCCCAAAGGTCAGAACTCACTCCCTCAGACCCCTTGGGTCTGTAATAGTGTTTAGATATTATGCTGCTGTGGATATGTGAACCCTGTGGTTAGAACTCAAATCAAGATTCACTGGATAAGTAACATTTTAAAACATGTTAATATTTTGTCTTTGGTGAATATATATATATATATATATTTTTTTTAAGACCAGTAAAAGGTAACATGGTGAACTGAATATGTAATTTATGAGCATAATTAATACCCCATAGAAGTTTCCCTGGCTCCTCTTCACAAAAGTCTTCAGTGGTCTAGCCTTCATCCCTTAAAGGGCCAGCAGCGTTTTTAACAGTGTTCATGTTTATGTTTTAGTATCCCATGTGTGTTACAGATGTAATTGTTTTCTCTCAGATCCCGTGTGTGCACTGGGAGGATGTTGGTGGTCTGCATGATGTGAAGACTCAGATCCTGGACACTGTATCTCTGCCTCTGACCCGACCAGAGCTTACGTCTCTGGGCCTGAACCGCACCGGACTCCTGCTGTATGGACCTCCAGGCACCGGGAAGACCCTCCTTGCCAAAGCTATAGCCACCGAGGGCACTATGAACTTCCTCAGGTACAAGACTGGGTTTAGAACAGGTTTAGAACTGGGTTTAAACCAGGGTTAGACAAGGTTTATTTCATAGGTAGATCTTATTTATGTTTTTTATTGCTTCAGTGTCAAAGGTCCAGAGCTGATCAACATGTACGTGGGCCAGAGTGAGGAGAACGTGCGCAAAGGTCTGAGACTCAACCAGATTTCAAAAACACATTTTGATAAAATATTTGTATCATGAAAGTGTATGCTTAAAAAAACTGGTGTAATGTGCTGTACTTTCATTGCACACTCATTGTGTTGTGATGTCCCTCTGAAGAGAGAGGGACTTGGGGCTGGGAGCAAAGGGTCTACTAAGGGTCAAAAACAGAAATGAAACTTATTTAACATATTAATACATTGTTTTTGGCAAATATAGCATTTTCAAACCATTAAGAAGCAACATGAATATGTTATGTGTTTGCAGTTAATACCCCATAGAAGTGTAATAGTCCCTCTCTAAATCCTCCTGTGTGTACAGTTTTTACACGGGCGCGTGCCGCTGCCCCATGTGTGGTGTTCTTTGATGAACTTGACTCTCTGGCCCCCTCTAGAGGACGCAGTGGAGACAGCGGTGGAGTTATGGACAGGTCTGTGACAAGGGAGGGCATCCTCTACTTGGGGAGGCATTTGATGCATTGAGATACAGGGGGCCTGGAGGGCTTCTGACTCATTCTTATTTTAATGGGAGGATATCTGAATCTCTCCTTGTGTTAATGGGAGGGCATCTGGCTGTTTCAGGGTGGTATCTCAGCTCCTGTCTGAACTCGACTCTCTTCAGTCGTCTGGAGTGTTTGTGATTGGAGCCACAAACCGGCCGGATCTGATTGACCAATCACTGCTCAGGCCTGGGAGGTGAGTACTACTAATACTACTACTGATACTGCTGCTACTGCTGCTGCTACTGATATTTTGCCTTGACCAACCAGTGCCGTCTGTTTCAATCCAGAACGATTTGTAACTGGACCATAGAGCATGAAAACCCTCCCTTCTAACACTGGGAGCCACTTTGTATCACGTCTACTTCTACTTAATTTACCTGAGATAAGAGTTTGGTGCTTTGATTGTCTTTGATGTAGTGACTTACTTGTAATGTAGTGTGTTCATATGCGGGAATTGTGTTGGTTAAGCTATGTGTTGAATGGTTTAGTACTAAAAATATATCAATAATATGAGGGGCACCTAAGAATTCAAAATGAAACCATAATAATCACAAACCTATCAATTATACCAGTCTGAAGGGGAAAAGTACCCAGTTAGGGACTACGTATTTAACTTTAAAAATCATTAAAACCAGAATTCTTTGGTGTGGTTTATTTGATCAAAACAGGCAAAGGTTAAGCATTTAAACAAATCAAAGTTCTCATTATGACATTCAATCAAACTGCTATACACAAAAGTTTAACACTGAGGTAGTGAAATACAGGGTTCAACTATAATCAGCCTAATGGTTTAACTTGCTATAATTATTAATCGTTCGATGTGGGCAGGGGAAGCAATTTTTATGTTAATGTGCCAACTTCAGCAAATTATAGTCACTGCTTGGGTCAGTGACCATCCCGCAGATGTCTGGGTTGTCAGGCAGTGTCTCAGGCCGGGTCACAGGCACAGAGGTCCGGAGGAGGCGGCTTGTGTGGTGATGGCATTCAAGGTCCCAGCGGCAGTTGTCAGTGAATCAGATGGCCGTACTCACATGCGTTTTGTTTTACCATGAATTCACTTTAGCTGGTGATGACATAACTGGTAGATTCCCTGTAAGAAACTATGTCATTAACATACGAAACATTGTCACAAATACAAGGTAATTGGCATGGAAAGCATTTGGTACACATAAAGATCAGCATGAATTATTATGCAGGATGTATTATTTAAAAAGTCCAAGCAATGTTATCACATCAGGAACATTGAATTTGACATGGGATTGGATATTTATTAGCGAGTTACTGATTTATGGTGAATTATTGATTTAAACCTGCCCATGGTTTGTGGCAAATAGCACCCAGTATTCCCTAGGACGCCACAATGTCTGACTGATAATGATATTAACAGAGGAGTGGGATATATCATTGTTCTGCTAACAAGACATTAGTTAATCTTAGCATTAATCTCAATAAAGTAATGTCTTTGAACCCCGATTAACTACTACACTACTTAAAGGACATTTGAGGTTACAGGGTCAGCTGCTGAGCTCATCAAGTTGTTTGAAAGTGACTCCTTTGATCTGTCTGCAGGAGTGGGGATTCTCTATAGAACCAAGTGTCTCTCTCTCTCTCTATACAGTATGTTTAGATTTGGTCAGTAGAGGGCAGTATGGTAGTACCGTGTTGCCATTGCCTTAAGCTGCAGATAGAGGACACAAGTTGTTTTGCTTCTCAGTATATGGACAGACCATGCTTCATGTGAAAAGCTCAAAACCTCCACAATTCATTGATTATTGATTGGCTGCCGATGGTGGAGTTTAGGTTGTGAAGATTGAGATCCGAGAAGCTCTTTCCAAATCTAACTCCTCCTTCCTTTTCCACTTCCCACTCCTTCACAGCTGAGTGGAGGTTCCTTCATTAGAGCACTCAGAGCTTCGACTTTTCTTACACTGGAGAAATGCACTTGCCGTAGCAGCCCTTAACGTTAAACTATATAAAATATGTAAAACATGAAGAAATTGAAATGCAGTACAGTAACTTGTAGACAGAATTGTGGTGATATTAAAGACCTATTGCACAATTAATTTTACGGTAACAATACACAGATAAAATCCATGTGCATTTTAGGTGCAGATTCATTTGTGCATAATAGCTACAAAATAAACACAAACTCATTCATCTTGCAGAGCCAATAAACGTGTATTTGATCTCAATGCTGTTTTCTGCGAAGAAGTAATAAAAGTGTGTTTGTGCATCCAAATAACAATGGAACTAAAGCTGTTGGTGTGTCTTGCACATCAGGCTGCTCTGATGATGCCACACCTCACTGCTTGCTCCAAACGGCACATGACGGCTCCTTCACAAGAACTTTCACAAGGATTAGTGCTTAGGAAAAGAAAGGGCGAAACAGGGCCAGAGAGTCCTGTTTATGGTTTAAGGTACAAGTATACTTTATTGTCCCTGAAAGGAAATTTTTCCTCTGGACTTGAACCATCCTTTATTGCCGCTGGGGCATCTCAGGAACAGGGCAGATCCATCACCATTATCTTGTTGCTAGGCTTGGGCAGGACTACCGTTTTAGACAGAGGATTGTACGTATGGTCATGGTATCAAACCCTTCTTGCTGTAAAGCGTGAGTGCTAGCCACTTAACCACTGTGCTGCCAAATCAAATGGATTTCAGCACTGAAACAGGCAACTCAAATGAGCGACTCATGTCAGTTGCAATCTGCTTTCTGAATGGATAATCCTCTTGAGAACCAGAAGACCAAATTGGAGCATAAATAAATGGGACATCAAAATCCAATGTTTCTGTAATTAAGAATATATCAGCATTACAATTATTATCACTATACAATGGAGGAAATAAGTATTTGATCCTTTGCTGATTTTGTAGGTTTGTCCACTGACAAAGAAATGAACAGTCTATTATTTTAATGGTAGGTTTATTTTAACATTGAGAGAAAGAATATCAAAAAGAAATCCAGAAAATTATAGAAAATATTTTAATTGATTTGCATTTCATTGTGTAAAATAAGTATTTGATCCCCTACCAACCATTAAGAGTTTTGGCTCCCGCAGACCAGTTAAACACTCCTAATCAAAGGTTTACTGTCTAAAGCAGACTTGGAGAAACTTATCCATCCGTTTGTCGGTTAGACTACTGTAATTGTCTGCTCATTGGTCTCTCCAAACGAGCTGTGAGACAGCTGCAGAACATCCAGAACGCTGCAGCTCAGATCCTTACTCGAACTAGGAAGTACGAGCACATAAGTCCTGTGCTCAGGTCTCTGCACTGGCTTCCTGTAGTCAGAGAATAGACTTTAAAGCAGCTCTGCTTGTGTACAAGTCTCTCCATGGCCGAGCACCAAAGTACATCTGTGACATGTTAGTGTCATATGAACCATCTCGCACTCTGAGGACCTCAGGGACCGGCCTCCTGCTGGTGCCCAGAGTCAGGACTAAACAAGGGGAGTCAGCGTTTCAGGTTCATGCAGCTAAAAGCCTGGAACAGTCTTCCTGAACATGTGAGACAGACTCTTCTGTGACGCTGTTTAAATCCAGGCTCAAAACATTTCTGTTTAACTGTGCATGTAACTGAAAGGTTTTCATTCCGCACTCTTCTCTCCAATTTATGTCTCTCTTTTTTAATTTTAATCTTCATGATTATTTATGTTTTGATTTGTTTTTATTATGATTTTAATGTATTTCTTATTCTGTAAAGCACTCTGAATTACTTTGTGTACGAATTGTGCTATACAAATAAACTTGCCTTGCCTTGCCTAATCAACTCGTCATCTGAATTAGACTCCTGTTTTAACTAGTCAGCTATATAAAAGACACCTGTCTACAGAATCAAGTCAATCAATCAGACTCCAAACTCTCCAACGTGGGAAAGACCACAGAGCAGTTAAAGGATGTCAGGGACAATATTGTAGACCTGCAGAAGGCTGGAATGGGCTACAAAACCTTAAGCAAAAGGCTGATGTTAAGGAAACTGTTGGTGCAATTGTTCGATAATTTAAGAAATACAAATGACCATCAATCACCTCATGAGGTTTCAGTGATCATGAGAACAATGAGATACGTGCCGCAATGGATTAAAATCCTGCAGTGTTTGTAAGGTCCCCCTGCTTCAAAAGGCAGATGTTCAGGGCGGCCTGAAGTTTGCTAATGAACACCTGAATGATTTTGAGAGTGATTGGGAGAAGTCTCTGGACCTAGAAAACCTTTGGAGGGAGCTGAAGCTCCAAGTTGCCAAGTGACGGCCACAGAACCTTAATGATTTAGAGATGATATGCAGAGATATATTTTCTTTAATATTATTTTTTGGATTTTCTTTTTGAAGTTCTATCTTTATTTTTAGACTGTTCATTTCTTTATCAGTATACAAAATTACAAAATCAGCAAGGGATCAAATACTTATTTTCTCCGCTGTATTTGATTTGAACATGTCTGCCTCATATCTGGAGACACAGATCATGTTATAGAATTTAAAATCTAAACTCTAGATACAGTTCCTTTAACCTATGAAATATAATGTTAATAGTTTAGGGATTAATTGTATTTGTATATCTTGTCTTTTCCTTGTAGGTTTGACAGACTGGTGTATGTGGGTGTGAATGAAGACCGAGGCTCTCAGCTGCAGGTCCTACGGGCCATTCTCAGGAAGTATGACACTTCTCATTTTAATTATGAGATGAATTATATAAGACTTGATCTTAAAATCTGCATTTTCATTCATGTGTTTATGTGTAAAATTTAAAAAGCCTATTTTCAAAACCAGTCTAGTGAAGAGACACATACTTAAAAAAACAATGAATGGTCTAAAAAGCCCCATTGTGGAACACTTCATCATATTAAAACAGAGTTAAAGCCCCACTGTGAAACATTTGTTTTTCTAATGTGACTAGTTCATTTTAAACCATTTGCAATGGTCCAAAGTTAATGCATCAGTTTTTTATAGCGCTTTTCTGGACACTCAAAGATGCTTTACAGAGCATTATTCATTCACTCCATAACTGGTGGTGGTAAGCTGCTATTGTAGCCACAGCTGCCCTGGGGCAAACTGATGGAACAATAAAAAGCTTTATAGAGTTAGACGATACCCAGCTGGCTTATTTTGACCTCAAGAGCTGCTTATACAATATATCTGTACGGTAGCAAGACACAGTTTGCTCAAATACATGGGAATAAATCAGGGCAGGCTTTTTAATATGAAACTACCATGCCCCGTCCTCCAGGTTCAACTTGGCACCATGCGTGGACCTAGAGGCCATCTTGGACCAGTGCCCTGGTCACATGACCGGAGCCGACCTGTACGCCCTCTGCTGCGACGCCATGACCAATGCCCTTAAGAGGAAGATTTGCCTCATTGAACAGAGTAAAACTAACTACAGTACAATTCTACCTTATTAGAATGACTGTTTAAAACAAATACATTGTTCTAACATGTGGCTGGTATATCCCCTTTCTTTCTCCTTTCTTTCTGTCTCTGTACTTCCACTCTCCTTTCCCCTCTCTCTCCTTCTCTCCTCTTCTCCTTCTATCTTTCTCCCTTCTCACGTTCTTTCTCCTCTCCCACCTCTCTCACCTTCTCTCACCTCCCTGTCTCTCTCTCCTCTCTCTTCTCAGAACTGGAAAGTGAGGACTCTGCATTGTGTCTTTCTATGGAGGATTTCTTCATAGCGGTGAAAGATTTTAAACCTTCAGTGCCTGAACGAGAACTTCAGCGATACAAGAACCTCCAAAAAACTCTATCTGAGTATTAAGGCCTGCTTTAGTCATGGTTTAAAACAAGATTATACCTCTTAAATAATTTCACAATTGTAACAATGAACAGATTTTGGTAGATGCCTGTTAACATTGTTTGATGTAAATATTACAAATGTAAATGAAAAGTTATTTATACTGATTTCAAACTTGTACCAGACTGAGTTTTATTGTATTCTAGTTTTATTTAACATTTTATTGCAAAATAATACAATCAAAACAAACAACACAATACAGACTGGTCAGAAAACACTGATACTTGACAAAGCAAGGTCAGGGACATTTGCTAGTTTCAAAAGTCCAAAGCTGTCCGTTTGAATCATAGATTGTATATAAAAATGGACATAGCTAACGCGCCAGCCTTCACGTTCCAAATAGGAAGTGTGCCAGGAGGCTCTTCCAGCTCCTTCTGACCATGGCTCCTATTGACTTACATTGGAATATTGTGGCCCCTCTCTCTGTAACTGCGGCAGTGAACCTCGTCATTTTAGTCTTAAAATGTTCTTATTAAATTGCTCTATATGATCCTGGTGTTTTTATTTCTTATTTTGTTCATTAAAAAATAGAGGGGGGCCCCCAAGGATTCAATGGAAAAAGTGAACAATAATGACGACATTATCAGTCTGGGATGGCTCTCGTTGAAAACGTTTGAATTCGCGGAATATCATGATGAGGCACCACAGCAGCGGAACACGCCAAAAATCACATTACATCCACAAAAAAGCACAGACATCTTCTCTGTCCACAAATGCACAAAGCACTTCTGCACCAAAAGGTGAAGAATACAGCTTACATCATTTTGGTCTTAAAATGTTTGCATTAACCCGCTCTACATCCTGGTTTATTTATTTGGTCATTTTGTCCGTCAATAAATTCGTGTTCCTAAATTGGACTCTGGGCTCTCCAAGTTTGCTATGGGGATGTCACATTCCCTTAACCATAAAGTGTATAAAGAAAAGGACTAAGCCATTGGTGCTTTGCGTAGTAATTTTAACCTCACCCATGGACAGGAGAGGAGGTTGATATTCAATGCCACTCTGAAAAGGGGAGAGACCAGTAGCAGAGGAAGTTAGAGTTATGCGCATACTCTTAATGTAAATGTGAACTACAGGATGAAGGGTTGAGACTGGCCACACAGTAGAGAGCAGACTCCAGGTCTTGATAGGTCCTTTTGGTTTGACCATTTGCCTGTTGATGGAAACCAGACGATAGACTGTGGTACAGTGGTACCCAGAGAATTCCTTCCAAACTTGGGAGATAAATTGGGGGCCCATTTGGAAACATTATCAGCAGGGATACTATGAAGACAGAACATGTTGCATCATGATATTATGGTGGCAATAGGTTGAGGTCTGAGCTGACCAGAAGATTTGTTCAGAGAACATACTGTTCTCAACCCATAGTGCCAGCATCTGTAGTAGACCACTAAAATCATGCCATAGGCTCGACAAGGTGCAAAAGGAGTTATGGGACCATTGCAAGACCTCACCGCACACAGCAGATGAAACATAGTCTGAAACATGATCCATTCCTGAGCCTTCTTCAGATTGGCTTCTACTTGCCAACAGAGAGGTCCAAGAACACATTACCAGGAGGAATGGTTGTCAAAGGGTGTGTGACACGATCTAATCCCACTGTGCACAAAATCCTACATTTTACCTGTTTTCTGCACTTTGATTGCTGTGTTTTGTGTGTTTGTTATGTGTCTTCTTTTTTTCTCTCTCTCTGTGGACTATAAAATAAGTACTCCTTACAATAACTACTGTGTGCAGCAGAAGATACGGGACTAAGCCACACCCGTAACCAAACCCCTGGCTTTTTCTATTGGGCGCAACTGCTAGACCCTAAAATATAAAAATGCCCTGATGCAGCTCATGTGAGGAGAGGAAGCATGGAGTAGGCTAAACAGTGAGACACCGGCACCAGAGAAGCAGAGGACGAGGAAGACGCACGGGCCACGGAAACGGGAGGCGCTGAATGAGATAGTCTATCTCATTGCCCTAATGCCCATGCTGCAGGTCCCGCTTCAATGGAGCCATTAGGGCAACATCATCTGCAAACACCAGAGATGAGATCCTGTGGTCCCCAAACCAGACCCCCTCTGGCCCCTGACTGCGCTTAGAAATTCAGTCGCAAATACAATGAACAGAACTGGTGACACAGGGCAGCCCTGGTGAAGTCCAACATGCACTGGGAACAGGTCTGACTTACTGCCAGTAATGTGAACTGCATTGCTCCAGTACAGGGACCGGACAGCCCTTAGAAAAGGGCCCCAGACACCCGGAAGTATTATATTATATATTGTAATGTAGCTAGTCCATTACATAGGCCTAGTGCCAGCTACCAGGTGATATTAATGACAGAAACAAATGCAAAGTTTTAAATGTTTATTTATTAAAACTGTAAGAAAATGAAATAAGTGCATTTAATTAAGTAATTGGGAGTGAAATTAATTATGCTTACCCTCTTCTGTTGTCTGTCTCATATGTTCTGGCTCAAAGAGTCCCCAGGGAGCCGGAGCACTTTAAGAAGATTCTGGCGCAGGTGACCATGTTGTTATGAGGAGGGGTGTACAAAGATTTTAGCTCTTTTCTATTATTAAAACAGTCAGCACTGTTTTTGATATGGTTAACTTTTACCTTCACTTACCTGTATTTTAAAATGAGCTCACTCAATTAAGGTAAAGCAGTAAAGCAGTTCAGGGAACAAGTACATTTTAGTTCTCTGTGATTTTACAACCTGGTACCCAGAAGCTATCCCTCAATCAAAGCCAGAAATGTTGCTAACTATTTATTATATCTGTTTTCTAGGGGGGGGGGATACCAAAGGAGGTTTTGACAGACTGTGGGACAAACTTTATGTCTAGGTTATTACAGCAGGTTTACAATCTCCTTGGGATTACAGGTATTGGGACAACCCCATACCACCCCCAGATGGACGGGCTAGTTGAGCAGTACAACCAAACACTGAAAAATATACTGCGTAAGTTTGTGTCTCACACAGGAGCAGATTGGGACCAGAGGTTGCTGTACCTGCTATTCACATACTGTGAAGTGCCACAAGCCTCAACTGGGTTCTCACCATTTGAGTTACTCTATGGACGCCAAGTAAGGGGGCCACTTGTCCTCCTCAAGGAGAACTGGGAGAAACCTAGCCTATGTGGTAAAAAATGAGGCAACGCCTGGAGGAAATATCATGGCCAAAATGTACTACTTCTCCTCCCCACCTCCAAAAGCACATTTCTCTCCAAATGTCAAAGTCCGTATGAAATCACCACAAGAGTGGGTAAGGTCAGATATGAACTTTATACGCCCGACAGAACCAGCGAGCGAGTGGGGCAGGCTAAGTACATCACCACCTTAGACCTGAGTAAATGTTATTGACAAGTAGCACTGGCTCCAGAGATCTGAGAGCTGACAACTTTCAGAACTGTTTTTGGTATGTACCAATTCTGAGTTATGCCATTCGGACTCCAGGGGGCACCAGCCATCTTTCAAAGACTTACGGACAATGTTCTGAGAGATGTTTCAAACTTTGCAGATGCATACTTGGACGATATGGTCATCTACAGTCAAACTTGGGATGAACTGACTCACCTGAAACGAGTCCTGCAGTGCATAAAGTCCGCTGGCCTAACCATCAACCCTCAAAAATGCTGTCTGGCTTGGAGAGATGTGGAGTATCTAGATTTTGTCATTGGAAATGGCAAACTCAGGCCCCAGGTGGGAAAAATGGAGACTATTCATTCTTTCCCCATTCCAGCCTCCAAGAAGAAAGTGAAGAGCTATGTGATTGTGCTTTCAGGAATGTAAAGGAGGCCCTAAACAACCACACCATTCTGCAGACCCTGGATTTCAATAAACCATCCTTTTGCAATCCAATGATTTTTATGTTCTGTCTTTTTAGCTCTGGTTCTCTCAACTTTCCAGTCTCTCCAGAGCTTTTTGAAACTGGGCCTCCAAAGCACTAATAAGGGGCTTGCTCATGACCATGGCATCTTCCAAATCTGAACCCCTCTACTCTGTTATATCCATCCTCTCAAACTGTCGAGTTTACCAGAGTTTGTTCAAGGGCTTTAGCTTGTCATCCAGCACTCGGCATATATTAGCAGTCAGCTTATCCCCGATTGAGCCGTTTTCATCTTGCTGGTCACTTGAAAGGCCCACATCCTTGGTATTGGCCATGACCTCATCTTGTTGCTAAGGACCATGGTTATTTTAAAAGTCATCCAGTGCAGAGCCAACGCATCACCCATGAGTGTTTTGTATATGTATATATTTGCGCATTCTTTCGTTAGAAATGATTGGATCGTTTTGTGAAGTTGATTTAAATGTGTATAAAAGTGCTTATGACAGCCACCTCTGCCTCAGTTTGCCCTGGAGCAGCTGTGGAGCTCAAAGCCTGTAGGATGGTTATTATTAAACCATCAATATCAGTGTCTGAGCAGAGCTGAGTCACACAATAATTTAGTGTAGCAACAAATGAACCACGTGTTGCTGTGGTTCTATTTTGTCTTTTGAGGAAAGCATTTGTTTGTGAAAACCCTGAGTTTGAGCAACTCCCTCACCCTCCACCCCATCTCTTTCCCTCTCTTTCCCTTTCTCTCTCCCTCTCTCCTCCTCTCTCTCCTTCTCTCTCAGGTTTGTTCTAGAGCTTCGTGCCCCGCCCTCGCCCTCTTGCCGTTACCATCTGCCAATCGGCTGCCTCCAGCTGAGCTCGCTCCGCTGCGCTCACGGAGGCAGGTACAGACGCGTGGGGCCGGAGCAGCAGCAACTTGCGCCGGTCTTAGAGGAAGAGGATGTGAGGAAGAAGATGGTGATGCAGACAGGGATGAGCAGGGGGAAGATGTTCATCATGATGTGAGGCTCGCGCTCCAGGGCACAGCGCGCGTGCGGCGTCAGGATGGCGGGAGGACGGCGCGGGCTCGTGGCACCGCAGAACACCTTCCTGGAGAACGTGGTGCGCAGGTCCAGCGGTGAGTGTCCGCGCACGAGACAGTGTGTGTGCGCGTGTATGGAAATGTGTGTGCGCGCGCGCATGTGTGCCCCTGTCTGTGCGCGTGAGTGCGTGGGCAGTGTGTGTTTGGGTGTGATGGAAGGGCTCGTGCGTCAGGAAACCGCACGTGTCACTGTCAAGATTCTGTTTATGAGTCTGGACCCAGTGGTCCCGGGTTTACACCTGTCTTGTCCTATTTCATTCTGGCCTGGTCCTGGCCCTGTTTTAATCCTGGTTCTTTCCAGGTTTTGTGCAGATTTAGTTCTCCGTTTCTTTAGTTAATGGTTTATTGTTTGTGTCCTAATTATGTGACATGCGACAGCACCGTAAATCCTCACAGGGTAAAAAACATCCAGTCATGTCTTCCTGCCACTATGCGTTTAACATCCGTTATTGAAAATATTTCATCATTTTAATTAATTTAATAAAAGGGGCGTGGGGAGGTCATGCAAAAACAACTATTTATAGAATGCTTACACTATTTCTTTTCCTTTTTGCTGTAGTGCGTATAAATCCTTTTAATCTAAATCAAATAATTAGTCAGTTTGATTGACTAAGACTCTAGGGCTGTACTGATGATACAAGTATATTAACTAGTAACTAATTACAAATACTCACATTGCTGTAATTGAGTAGAGTTTTTTAGTTTTATTTACTAGATCTTTAAACCTTGGCTGCTTTGGCATGCCCAGGCCAACATTGTAAATAAGAATTTGTTCTTAATGTTTTGACTGGTAAAATAAAGGTTAAATAAATAAATCAATAAAAACCTTTATACACCAACAAACACACTTAACATCTCTTATTAGACTGAGCTTAATGAATATGCAGATTGTGGTTTAAAATTATTAAATTCAGGTTTAAACTATTTAGTTGATAGAAAATACTGCTCTAAAATATAGCTAAAAATCTGTTAAATAGTACCATTTTGGAGCCAGTACTTGTATATTGGGTGCATTTTTCACCTTGTAACTGTGCTTTTACTTGAGTATGTGCGTATCTCTGTATTAAGGAATCGAGTCTACAGATACCGATACCGCAATGATGATGATGATGATAATGATGATGATGATAAAATCCATTCTTTATTTAGAGAATAGAATGTCATTAAATCATTGTCCTTTCTTTTATTTTTCCATGTGGCATATCCATGTATCCGTATATGATATCAATGTATCAGGACGTATCTTATCAAGCTCTGACTATCAGAACCTGTATAAGGATATGTATTGTATTGTGAGGTACTTGGCAATACCCATCCCTGCCATAGATCAATTAATCAACAAAACAACAGCTGACAAGTCTAAATCAGGTCTAAACCAGGTTTAAACCAGGGTCTTGTCTGTGTCTCTTTTCCAGACACAAACTTTGTGCTGGGAAATGCTCAGATCGTGGACTGGCCGATCGTCTACAGCAACGATGGATTCTGTAAACTGTCCGGATACCACAGGGCCGAAGTGATGCAGAAAAGCGCCACCTGCAGGTAACTGTCCATCTGACCCTCTCCTTTGCATTCTCTGCTCCATCCATCGGATGCGGATGACACAGATCTAATTATTCTGCCTCAGTAAACCCTTTATAATAATGCATTGGTTTTCTACAGCTCTTTTGTTGTTCCTATAGACTGTATAAAAAAGTCGACTATGGAGAATGATGTCACCCATAGCGTTCAGCTCCAGCCAAGTTAAGCCTATTGAGGCTAGCAGTCATGGTAGCTAATCTGGAGTTGAGTTTCGTATTTGGAAATTTGGGTGCATAACCAAAGGGGGAAGCAGGAGAGGGGTTCTTTCTCTTTCCTGCCTACCAAGCTCAAAATGCCCTGTTCCAGCTTGTGATGTCATTAACTGGCAGCCTTAAAGTATTTTTGGCCTTAATTGAACTGCTTTACTATACAGCACATTAGTATGACATTAAGTTATTGCCTTTTTACAATAGCTGTAGGTTGATTGTTTGGGAATTCTAGGGCTGCAGATTATGCAAAAGATTTAAATGAAGAGCAGCCATATGCTGGATTTGTGCTGGGTGAAAAAAAACTTGCAGATATGTTTTTGATGAGGAAACATTATGACATAGATTGAAAATGTGCATAATATAGGCCCTTTAAAGTTCACTCACCTTCAGCAGACTCCAATACCGTTTTACCAGTCTTCCTTCATTTCTCATAACAACCTGTGCTGAAGTAGCAAAGATGTAAAAACTTAAGTAAAAATGTATGCAGTGTTTCTGCTTTGAATGATACATTATTTTTAATTAAAAGGACTTCCCTGAGGACACAGATCTAGGGCGTTTGAGCATAGCTTTTATTTAATTTAAAAACAGGACAGAACAAATCCACAGGGAGCAAATGTGTCCTGAAGTTTACCTCAGGATCTAAAGTAAACTACAAGTTATGCAGTGTGTTAAAATAGGTAAGTTTTCAGTCATATTTGACTATGTTTTGCACTTTTCTTGAAGATATATGGTATATTGGTTTGCCTGTAATGTTCCACAATAAACCTTTGCATTGCTCAAAATACCTTAAAAAATATGTGTTCTTACTGTGAGCTTTAGAAAGTGGTTAGAAAGTTATTCAACCTCAAAGACATGTTTTTGATGTGATTTTAAGACATCAATTTAATATGACAGGTTTGTGGAGCCAATCCCAAACACAAAATAATAATTAGTTTCAACATTTGTGGATCATGAATTTGGATGTTTCTTATATTTTTATAATAGTAAAACCATGAGTCTCCCATAGGGTTACACAGGCCCCCAGAAGTCAACCTATCAGAGACATTCACAGACCAAAAGGGTGAATTTTTTGTGTTATGTTGAGAGTTGTGATCTTTCAGTTCATGTATGGAGAGTCTTTTAACTGAAATGTCATTTGTCAACAGTTCTTGTGTATTTTTATTTTTTGTGTTTAGTTTCATGTATGGAGAGTTGACAGACAAAGAGACCAGTGAGAAAGTGAGACAAACGTTTGAAAACTATGAGATGAACTCCTTTGAGATCTTAATGTACAAGAAGAACCGTGAGTACTCTTGCTACTACTGCTACTAGTACTACTACAATTACTACAACTACAACTGTTGTTACTACTACAGCTTATACTGCTATTAGTGATTCCAACAGTATGGAATAGATCCTGGACTAATGCATTTACACAGAATATGTGAGGATTTGTGAGATCTGAGTGTGTTTTTTTCTTGTGTTTTTGTTATACAAGAGATAGTTACACTTCCTGTTTTCATTTAGGTCTTCCTGTTTGGTTCTTTGTGAAAATTGCTCCCATCAGAAACGAACAGGACAAGGTGGTTCTGTTCCTTTGCACCTTCAGCGACATCACAGCCTTCAAGCAGCCAATTGAGGATGAGGCTACAAAAAGTAAGTAATAATACTTACTTGCTTTTAAATGTGCAATAGAAATAAAGTTTGACTTGACTGCTACTACTACTACTGCTGCTCCTACTACAGTGTCTCCTCTTGTATACTTTGGGGTATACAATTTTAGTAGTAGTCTTCTCGTATTTCAAGTTTTGAGATAAACAGTTGTGGTGATAGTAGTAGTACTGTCACAATAACTTGATTTTGATACTGAAGAATACACTCGACACTCAATACTAATTCTGATACCATGATAATAGTAAAAAACATTCTTTATTTAGGGGTCTGGTCAAGCAGTAACAGAGGGAAACAGGCAGATTTTTTACATTCAAATAGCTCTTATTCATAAACTACAGGGACTATTGAAATAAGTAAGGTATCAGAATGTAGGAAAGAGTTAGCACTCCAACAGGGTAAAGTTAACCCTGTGATATTCTTTCAAGTTGGTGACAAAAATTTAAAAACTCATGTCGGTAACGGAGGGAATGAAATATGCAGCACTTTTTGGGCAATAAATAAATTACATACGATAACTAGCGGTTCTCACTTACATATCCTTAACAGACTGGTTTGAATATTTGCTTCATATAGTTTTCTACCATATGGTACAAGATTAGGTTGAAAAACCTCTTACTTTTTGAGTAATGAGATTTTTTATTAAGAAAGGTCATGGTAACGCAGCGGAAAGTAACAGAGGGAAAATTGTGCAAGCAAGTAGAAGGTGCATGATTTTGCATAATTTGTCATCTTTTTTCTTTTGAATACTTTAATATTACTTCAAAATGAAAGGAACTATTTTTATAAAATATGTCAGTCCTTCCTAGCTAATTTTTATCATTTTAAATACTTTTTTTTTTTTTGAAAAATCATGTACCTTCATCAACAGTTCAAAGATCGAATAACACAAGATATGATGAAATACATCAATTTATTTACATGATTTGCAGGTCTTTGAAATTTGGGAAATAATTTTTGTTCCATGTTGCATACATGGTCTGTTTAAAATGTATGTAACTTTAGAACCAAAAATGGTACTGAAAAAAGGTAAACAGGTTCATAAACTATTATATCAGATGCATTAACTTGAATTTTTGGCCTTGCTGTATGCTTCTGCTTGACCAGGCCCTTAGACAATACAATGTGATTTTCAACATTAAATCATAGCAACTTCTTGGGTTCTTTTTAAAGACAGTACAGTAGGAGGTCTAGTTACTTTGTTGACATGTTTTGGCTCTAGCTAACCCAAAAAGTGAATGTGCATAAGAAGACAAAATGAATGTTTTTGGATTATTAAATCATAGTACGTTTATATTACCATGCAGTCTTATCTAGATAGTATGAATGTAATCCTTCAGTTGTCCTAGTCTGTTTGGTCTTATACTTGTTCAAGATCAGCTCAGAATCATTTTCATCCCAGCTGCTTCACACTTGGCCGCAAGCCACCTCAGTGCATGTTGCAGGTCCTCATTTATCAGGACAACATTATCTGCATACAGCAAAGGTTAGATTATCTGGTCTACAAACCGGACACTCTCAACCCCTGAAATACAATGAACAGGGCCGGAGGCAAAGGGCAGCCCTGGTTGGGTTCAACATGCACTGGCCTCTGACCTGCTGGCAACGCAAACACAGCTCTCAATTCTGATGTACAGGGGCCGTCCAGCCTTTAGCACAGGACCCTGGACCCCATACTCCTGGGGCACCTCAGAACTGGTCCAGTGTTCTGCACTCCTGCTGCTCATCCTGAATCTGAGGTTTGACTATTGGCCAGATTCTTCTCTGCAGTACCCTGGAATAGACATTAATGAGTAGACTGAGCAGTGAATGGTGTGGGGCAGTGCTTTCTCCTCCTCATATCATATGTTTTTTTGAGGCTAATAAATAGTCTTCCTCCATGGCCTCCTCAAACTTCTCCCAGCTTTGTCTTTTTGCCTCTGATCTCTCAGCAGAGCTTGATAGGACTCCTTCTTCAGCCTGACACCATCCCTTACTTGGTGTCCTGGTGTCCTTCACCGGGATTGCTGACAAGCACCAGAGACCTTACAACCACAGCTACGAGTGATTGCAAAAATAACAGAGGTGGAGTGGACTCCATGTCATGGTACACTTCGGTCTGCCAAGTCTGTATGACTTTCTCTTCTGCCAACACACCAAATCAGCTCTGCCCATCTCTTTACCCGAGTGTCCAAGACACATGTGCGAAGGTCAGATGACACATCAATAAAGTCGATCATCAACCTCCGACCTAGGGTGAGCTGATGCCACGTGTACTGATGGACACCCTTGTGCTGGGACATGGTGTTTGTTATGGATAAACTGAAACTACCACAGAAGTCCTGTAACAGAACACCGCTCAGGTTCAGATCAGGGAGGCCGTTCTTCCTGATCACCCCTCTCCAGATGTCGCTGTTGTTGTCCATGTGGGCAGTGAAGTCCCCAGTAGAACAACAGAGGCCCCAGTCAGTGTGCTGTCTAGTACCCCTCCCAGGTACTCTGCACTGCTGCTTGACCTGTAAGCTGACATCAGCCACACTGGAGGGTTTCCAAGCATGAACGGCCTTTTTAAGGTCATGCCACAGCATCTCAATTGGGTTCAGGTCTAGACTTTGACTAGGCCACTCCTTCACACCAGCAAGTGGACTTAATGGTGTGCTTTGAATCTTTGTCCTGCTGCAGAACCAAAGTGCGCTTCAGTTTGAGGTCATGAACTGATGGCCGGACATTCTCCTTCAGGATTTGTTGGTAGAGAGCAGAGTTCATGGTTCTTTCAATCACAGCAATCGTCTAGGTGCTGAAGCAACGAAGCAGAACCAAACCATGACACTACTACCACCATGTTTCACTGCTGGCATGATGTTCTTTTACTGTGTTAATTTTACGCCAGATGTTACGGGATGCACTCCTTCCAGAAAGTTAAACTTTTGTTTCATCAGTATCTACAGTATGTAGTTTTGATACTAGTCTTAGTATTAATTAGTATCTGATTTTCAATACTTTTGACAAACCCAAGTAGTAATAGTTTGGTATATTCCCAGGTTACAGTATAGTACCAGCGATAGTAGTAATTGTGGTAATAGTATTTTCCTCTCATATATTCTCAGGTTGGGGTAAATTTGCTCGTCTGACTCGTGCTCTCACCAGTAGTAGAGGAGTCCTGCAGCAGCTCGCCCCAGCCGTGCACAAAGGAGAGAATGTGCACAAGCACTCCAGACTGGCAGAGGTACAATACACAACACACACAACTTGAGATAGTCTTGGTCAGGACTACCTTAGCTGGAGGATTTGACATATTGTGCTTTTTTGTCTGCTATATAGTTATAATCTATGACACTATGACATGAATGGAAAAAACAGAGTGCCTGGAGGAAACCCACCCAGACACAGGGAGTATATGCAAACAGGCTGATGTTCTGACAGGGAGCAGGAGCTATTATTTTGTATTGATATTTTCATAATAAATATCAAGACTTTCATTACTACAGTATCATTACAAAGACTATTTAACTACAGTACTTTTAACTGCACCAATATGCGCAGATTGCCTGCACATCCACACATGGATTTACTCCCATTTGTACCAGTAGACGCACCCTAGACTAGAAGGCATATTCCTAAATGAAAATTTGCCACAACACCTTTTTGATGACCCTATGAAGTTATATTGATTTGAGAGGTTTTGAATGTTTGATTAAGTAGCCCCACACAGTTTTTTTTTTTTTTTCAAAGTCAAGAAATGCTTTTGGAGCAGTCAGTGACGTCCATTCTAATAGAATTCGTTAGAATAGAAGAGTTATAGACATCCATGTTGTGTCTATTATACTGGTTGGGTAGTATTTTAGTATTCAGTATTTTGGGTAGTATAATTTTTAAAGATTGATCTCTAAACTCTATGTAGGGTAGTAGTCATTTGGTCAATGAATCAGTCGATGGAATCTTAGTTGACCTAAATTTGTAATAGTCAGCTATTCTTTTCATTTGGATTTTGAGGATTCATATTGGACAGCAGCAGAAAGAAGAAGTAGATGAGTCGCTTAGCTTAAGATTTTGTATTTTTTGGTGTTTATATGCAAAAAGGCAGATTAAACTCTTCTTTCCTACTACTTTTTATACATATATAGATGTTTATACTACAGATACTGTGCTGTGTACACACTATCATATAGTTCTGGTTCATTCAACTTTAAGTGTATTTACTCGGTACTGTCTTTTGCTCTACTCTGTGTTTAATATTTAATGCATGAACTACTCACATTTAGTAAGGGAAGGGAGAGAGAGAGAGAGAGAGCAGAAAGCAAAGAGAGAGAGAGAAATAGAGGAAGGAGAGGGAGTCTTTCCTAGTCCCAGGTCCAAACACTTTCGGGAATACAGCTATAAACCAGTGCCACATTTAGACTCATGGGAGATGTACACCACAAATATTTCAGGGCAGATTAAACACAAGGCCAGGTTCAAAACCAGGACTAAACCTAGACTAGGACAACAACATATAGCAGCACTACCTTCCTTCTAAACAGAGTAGGATTATGCATTAATATTACCCCTACCCTATTCTGGATGAGTCCTCCTCTGTACCCTAGTCTTCTGTGGGCTCTGGCCCTACGGATTTGAACTTTATCTGCAAATGGATGCATACTTGACCTGGACATATCTGTGGGAATGGATCTCTCTTTCACTGTCGTCCTTGATGTTTCTCTTTTTCCCACTGGGCTTTTTTGAGTTTTTCCTGCAGAAGAAGGAACTAAGGATTGGAGTTCTGGGACATTTATCCATTTGCTTGTTTTCTATGAGTGTTGGTTAATCTGTCTGTTTGTCATTGACTAATGTCTGTTTCACTGTTGGATTTTCTTACTTCTGTTGCTTAAATCAATAATATTGTTAAGGCTATTAAATATGCATTATTTAACTTTTGTTCATGTGAAGCTGTGCCTTGAATTTTCCACTGTATAGCACTGGACTTATCTGACTTGTGTGTAATCAATTACAGGTGTTTTTATTTCTTAATAAACCCTTCCAGAAGCGACATGTTTAGAATTGATGTGCACACAGCCTGGTACTGATATCAATATTCTGTCCTGTTCATTTTAATATGACAGCAAAATAAAAACATTTATTCTGACATTTGTAGACAGCGCAGACAAATGGTTCTTGTTTGTTACATTTGCCAACGACACTAACAATAACAGTCAATATCTAACTTCCATCTCCAGTTTCTAAAGTTCACTGATGTCTGCAGGATTTGTGGAGTTTGATTAATTAAATCTAAAATAAAATTGTCAGACTGTTGTAAGCCGCTATATCTTTAGTGCATTATTACCCAGCATAACATTAGATTTAAGAAATTTTTATTTTTATTATTATTGTCATGGTCACGTATACTAATTTTGACGATAATCTCTAAAGTTAATTATCCATAGAAAACAGTGTTACTTGTTGTAGGCCTAACGTGAACCTGGTGTTAATCACATGAGGTTGGTTGTCAGCTGCCAAAACAGACCTGGTTTTTCATAGTTTTTATGTTTGGAGGCTCTCCCATTGAAAACGCACTGGAGCTAAGATAACGGAAGGGTACCTTACAATGCAGGTGTTCTGTTTGCAGACACTGGTAGGGTCTATTGTACTTTCAAAAACTCACTGTGAGCTGGGCTGCCTCTCCAAATCTGACCTGTAATATGGACATGTGATTGTCTCCAAGGAGACCAGGGGTTGCCAAACTTTTCAGCCTAAGACTCTCCAAAATAACACTGCAATAACCGCTGTACGTCCACTGCAGAATTAAATAGTCACTTAAAATAATGTAAATGTTATGTTTATTTAAAATAAAAACTTGAAGTTGTGTCTAACTCCAGCTATGTTCTGTTCCACCTTGTTATTTTTAATCTCAGTTGAACTGCTTTTACCACGTTTTTGTTTTGCCTGTCGTTCAGTTCAGTTTGCTACAGAAAGCCATCAATATCCTCTGATGCACCAAGAAAATAACAAGTTTCAACAAGGCTGAAACAACAACCATGTCTTCAAAGTTTCACAATTCCAGGGATGCAAATCATCCAAATGATTCTAGTGAAGGCATGTAGGGTCTAAAAACAGTGGACTACCTAGTGTATTACCACTTGTGTTTTCAGTCTGAGAGAAGCACACAGCCTAAATGTGCAGTATTTGTGTATTAAATGTGTGTGAATGAAACAGAACGCAACTACATGTTTGTTTTTGCTGAAAAACATATAACATATAATCAATCATAAATTAGCAAAGCTAAAACATCACAATGTAGACATGCAGATTGTAAATTCTTCTCTTTCTTCTTTCTTCTTCTATCTATACCTGACCTGTAGTTCCTGTCTGCAGGTTCTTCAGCTGGGCTCTGACATCCTGCCTCAGTACAAACAGGAGACCCCAAAGACGCCTCCTCACATCATCCTCCACTATTGCCTCTTTAAGACCACGTGGGACTGGGTCATCCTCATCCTCACCTTCTATACTGCTATAATGGTCCCGTATAACGTGTCCTTCAAGACCAAGCAGAACAACGTGACCTGGCTTGTGGTGGACAGTGTGGTCGATGTCATATTCTTGGTGGACATTGTTCTGAACTTCCATACCACGTTTGTAGGTCCTGCTGGAGAAGTGATATCCGACCCAAAGCTGATCCGAATGAACTACGTGAAGACCTGGTTTGTGATCGATCTGCTGTCCTGTCTGCCCTATGATGTCATCAATGCCTTTGAGAATGTGGATGAGGTGAGAGGAGAATGACTAGGACTAAAACAGGACTAAAACGGGATCAAAACAGGACTAAAGCACAACTAAAGCACGACTAGACCAGGATTAAACCAGGACTAAGCCAAAACTACATCAGGGCTAAACCAGGACTAACCATGAGCTAAAACACTATTAAACAAGGACTAAAACAGGACTAAGCAATAAATACACCAGGAATAAACCAGGGCTGTACCAGGACTAAAACAGGTCTAAATCAGGACTAACCCAGCCCTAAAATAGGTCTAAATCAGGACTACTACTTGTACTAAACCAAGAATAAATCCTGGACTATACCAGGACCAGGACAAGACCAAGATTGAACCAGGACTACTAAGAATGGACTAAAACTCGAAACTAAAAAGAACTAAATTACATCTTAAGGGCTAAACCGGAACTAAATATGGTCTGACTCAAAAGTAACCTAGAATTATTCCAGGCAAAACTGTCTCAGAGCAAAGTGTTTACTAGGACTGAGCCAGGACTAAACCTGCAGGTTGTGGGTTAGACTCCTCATCTCTCTGAGTGGAGTGTGTTACTGTGGCAGAGTGGTTAGCCCAGAGGTCCTATTGAAATGCACAGGAGCGGCTTTAATCTGCTGAGTGCTTGTTTTTATTATGTTGTCCCTAAGGTCAAACTGCTGTGGCACATTGTAAAGAGGAACATCTTTATTGAAAGATGAGATGGTGTGAGTGAGAGAGATGCTACCAAATTCAAAACCACAATGAAAATGGAAAAAACAACTCTTAGTTAGACTGTTAGACAATAACATTTTATGTTCAACACAAATAAACGTAGTTTCTTTAAATATACACTTATAGCTTTCATAGGGAGGGTCACCATCTGCTTGTCTCTGTGATGACATTATTGCTTTGTCTGGAATATTCCACAGTTCATCATTAAGTTCAAGTCAAAGGACACAAGTAAGAGATTGTTGGATTGTGTGAAATTAGCAGTTTGTTTTTTGCATATCCATGTGCAAGAGGCTAGCTAAGGAGCTAGCTATGGGTATGTGAGATGCTACAGGCTTTTTGCACTAAATGTGGCAACAAATGTGTGAAGACCTTGCAGAGGAAATACTGTGAGGAAATTAACCATTTGATAACCAACTGAAACATCAGAGCAGAGTAAGAATGTGACCTTTCCTGTTGTGTTAACCTGGTTCCCCTTGAACACTGTTACACAGAGGAGGGACACTTTTGGCCCTTTCCTCAAACTGCCCCAGTGACGCAGGATGTGCAGATGTTACCTGACCAGTCCTCCTGTTAAACTGCACTGAGACCTTTGACTGAGACACAAAAAAGTGACTGAGAAGCGCAGTGTAAATGTTGCAGCAAAACTGCAACAGCTTGAATTTCTCTGTCCAACATGTGATAGCACCAATATAGAGAATGTGTTTTCTTATGTCTTTGGTTCTTTCTTCATTTGAAACCTCCTCTGTGCGTCCTGCTCTCGTGTTTGTGAATGAGAGCATTGCTTACAGTGTTCACTTTGTTCAGAGCCAGTGCGGACTTAATAGTTGTATTGATTTCAGATGGAGCACATTTAGAGCACAGTGTTTGTATTGACACAGAATGGAACAGTGAATGAGCAGAACCATAAACACCACAGCCACTTTAGCCTAGAACTCTGAAATTAATGACATGTCTAAGAGGCAATGTTCTACAATTTGATGTATTCTCAGATGGAGGACATGGGCCTATATAACTCTTTGGGAGATTCACTGTTTTTGAAAGACTGCTTTAATTTTGCTTCAGTCCTGTTCTAGTCCTGGTTCAATCCTGCTCTACTCCTGGTTCAGTCCTGCTTTAGTCCTGGTTTAGTCCTGGTTCTGACTCAGATCTCTCTTCTTAGGGCATCAGTTCCCTCTTCAGTTCTCTTAAGGTGGTCCGATTGCTTCGTTTGGGTCGTGTGGCTCGTAAACTCGACCACTACATTGAGTATGGGGCAGCGGTACTGGTTCTGCTTGTGTGTGTATTCGGACTTGCCGCTCACTGGCTCGCCTGCATCTGGTACAGCATTGGGGACTACGAGGTACTCCTACAGCTCAACTACTCTGCAAGCACACAGTAGTAGTGCTAGTAATAGTAGCAAGAATGTATTCACTATTTGATGTAATCACTCATTCATGCAGGAGTGGTCTGTGATAGAAAAGATGCTCAACCATTTCTATTCAAACAGGGTTTAATAATAATGCATTAAATGCATGTATCTTTTTTTTTGGACACCCAAAGCACTTTATGTTGCATTATTCATTCATGTCAGTGGAGGTAAACCAAGCGAGGCTACAAATCTGTGTCACTGACCCCTCCCACCACCACCAACACTCACCCACCACATTCATACTTGGCAATGTGTCTTGCCATTTTTGCTCCACTTTTGGACCTAGTATTTTCAGGGGTCTTCCTTCCAAGTACTAACCCAGCCCAGCCCTACTTAGCTTTAGAGACCTGATGAGATCAGGCTTTGTAAAGGAGGTCTGGCCACATTTCTTCACCAAAAATAACTTCTTCACACCCTAACAAACACATTTTACTCTCTGTTTAAAATCTGCACCTCACTGTCTTGAAGTGTGATCAGATGATCAACAAGGACATTAAAAGCATGTGCACAGATAACTTTAGGTGTAGCAGTAGCTAGGTCTATAAGGTTAATCACAATCAAATCAAAATCACAATTTGAATGGACAATTAGCAAAGCGCCAAGGCTGCAATTTTTTTGTACGATCATTTCCACCACAAACAACAACATAGTCTGTTGTTTGGCCATACCAGCTTGTCAGAAAGCCTGATCTAGTCTCAGAAGCTAAGCAAGGAGGGGTCTGGTTAGTACTTGGATGGGAGACCGCTGGGTGCACCAGGTGCCACAATGGGGCACCAGTGGCAAAACTGTTGCTGTGTTCATAGGCAAGACACTTCACTTGCATAGTAAGAAAGTGGTGTGTGCATGACTGATGGTGCTCGTCAGAGGGGCCGATTGGCAGTCTCGCTTCCGTCAGTGTGGCCCAGGGCAGTTGTGTCTGTAATAGTGAATGAATAATGTAAAGCGCTTTGTGTGTATTTAAAGGTGGTAAACAATTAATAAATGTATTAATTGTATTCTGCATAAATACCTCTAACCCTGTAGTTTAGATTTGTGCATGTTATGTTCTGAAATGTGATTCTTGTAGTTCAAGTTCAGGTTGTGTTCAGTCTTTTCGCCAATTCAAAACTTTGAAGAGTTTCGAACTATTATTAAAACATAAATCGTAAGTCTATATCATTTCCAATGCTTGTCAGAGAACTCACAGTTAGGTATTTGTCCCAAATTGTTCCGGCCAAGCACAATTAGTAGCACTAGTAGCAATAGTAGAAGCATTTGTAGGAATAATATTTCTTTTTCCAGGTGATAGATGAGGAGCGTAACAGTGTACGCACAGACAGCTGGCTCTTCCTGCTCGGGGAGACAGTGGGTACCCCCTACAGATTTAATGTGTCAGGGTCTAACCGGTGGGAGGGCGGTCCCGGGAAGGACTCTGTCTACATCACGTCTCTGTACTTCACCATGACAAGTCTGACCTCCATCGGCTTTGGAAACATTGCGCCAAACACTGACGGAGAGAAGATCTTCGCTGTTGCCATGATGATGATTGGATGTGAGTCAAAAACAGGACTAAACCAAGACTGAACCAGGACTGGACCATGACTAAACTGGGACTAAACCAGGACTGAAGCAGGAATTAAACAAGAGGAAAACAGGACTAATTATTAATTAATCAATACATTTGTATAGCACCTTCTAAGACACCCAAAGCACTTCACAGTTTAGGAAAGTGCTTTTACAGTACAGTGCAGGACTAAACCTGGGCTAAAAAACAGGACTAACCCGCAACTAAAAAAGACTAAAGCAGGACTGAATCAGATTTTAACCAGGACCTACACAAGACTAAACTAGGTCTGAAAATAGATTAAAGTATGACTGGATACGGGTTAGACCAGAAGTTAAGCAGAACTCAAACAGTACTGAACAAGTACAACCCCAGGGATGAACCAAAAGTGAACCAGGACTAGATGTTGCACTACAACCAGTACTAACCAGGACTAAAACTGCACTCAATGCACCCTCACCTAGGAACCTTCAGTTTAATAAATGATGCTGCATCTCACCTCTGCATCAAAGATCAATACAATCAATACAAACAATCAGAACTGTCACAGTGACTGCAGCAATTTAACCCTGTCTCTTCTCTCACAGCAACTCAAAGAAAAGAGTTTGGGAGAAGGTTGGGGGTTAGATTCCCAAACTATGTAGGGCCTTTCTGTGTGTAAAGTGTGCATGTTCACCCATGTCAGGGTGGGTTTCCCGTGGTTATTCACATCAACCTAAGCATACACAATAATACTCCCACTAGGTACTCTTGACCGGGATCCTGGCTCAGATCTGGTCCTGTCAAGGCAAAAAATACCTGTTAACCTGTGTTAGCTTTAACTTTAGTCTGTGACAGTAATGTGACATGACAGGATGAGTGGAGAAATCCTGCTTGAAATATTTACCTCTACTCTCTCTCCCTGTGCTTCACTCTCCCATCTTTCTCTTCTATATGATTGGATGTGAGTAAAAAAAAGGACTAAACCAGATCAGCACCACAAATAAACCAAAACAGCACCAGAATTAAACCAGGACTAAACCTGGACTGGACCAGAACTAAACCAGGGCTATTTTTTGTCTCTTTCCCTTGATTCCCTCTCTCTCTACCATTTCATTTCATCTCACTTGAAGCCTCCCTTCTTTATTTTTCTCTCTTCATTCTCTCCCTTCATTCTCTCTCTCTCTCTCTCTCTCTCTCTCTCTCTCTTTCTCTCTCTCTCTCCATCTGTCCGTTCCATCCCTCCTGAAGTCTCTCTATCGTGGTCCTTGCTGTTCTCAGAGGAGGCCTGTCACTTAGTCCTGGTTTAATCTGAGCAGAACGTAAAAATACTTGTCCTACATGAACTCCACAGAGAGAAGAGGAGGAAACGTGAAAAGAGAAGAACAAGAAGGAGAAAGAGGAGGACAGGAGGAGGAGAGAGAAGAGAAGGAGGAAGAAGAGAGGAGAAAGCAAGAAGAAAGGAGGAGAGAAAATGGGGGGTAGAACAGGAAAGGAGAGATGAGGACAGAGAAGGAGAAAAGGGAAGAGTGGCAGAGAGGAGAAGGAGATGAGAAAAAACAGAGAGAAAAAGATGAGAATGAGAGAGTAGATAAAGAAGAGAGTGAGAGGAGCTAGACCATGAGAGAGAGGAGAGAAAGGAGTAGGAGAAGAAGAGGGGGGAGAAGGACAGGAAGAGGAGGAAGAGTGGGAAAGACGAGTAGAAGAGAAGGTGAGAGAAAGAGGAGGAGGAGAGAAGATGAAAGGGAGACAGTAGGCACACAAGAAATGGGAGAACACACAGGAATACAGGAGGATGGGAGGGCATCTGATACACAGGAATATAGGAGAACGGAAGGACATCTGACTTGATTTTTCTCTCTCTTGTAGCTCTTCTTTATGCCACCATTTTCGGAAATGTGACAACGATCTTCCAGCAGATGTACGCCAACACAAACCGCTATCACGAGATGCTCAACAGTGTGAGGGACTTCCTGACGCTGTACCAGGTCCCCAAAGGTCTGAGCGAACGGGTCATGGACTACATCGTCTCCACATGGTCTATGACGAGAGGCATTGATACTGACAAGGTACTAAACCAGGACTGAACCAGTATTAAACCAGGACTAAACCAAGAGTAAACCATAGCTAAACCAAGTCCCTAAAAGTCTTAGTGAGACTACATGGCCTTCTATAGTTTTTTTGCAGCCCTGGCCCCTGGCTACAGGGATGGCATTTGAAGTGAGGATAACTGTTAGACCAATCATGACATTCCTTATACCTCCAGACCCCACCCCCCTCATGACGTACTCTGATGGGACAGTCGGCTTTCTCATACACAGCAGCAAAAAACTGGAACATGGATCCAGCTGATCTTAAAACTTGCACTGACTACCACACTATCTCTCATGGGCTAAAACAATGGTTTCTGAGCAGCAGGCATGTCAACATTAGACTTCTTCAAATGTTTAAACATTCTGACTGATTGAACTATAGATGTATTGTGTAGCTGTAAATGTAGTGTGCTTAACTAATGACATTTGTCTTGATGGTGATGATGTTAATGAATTGTATTTTAGAGGATAATAATAATAATAATACCGATGAATTTGGTAAAGGTACATTTTAGAGGCTATTTGAGTATTTTTAGAAGATAATGATGATTTTGAAATTTTGTATTTATGGAAATTAGAATGAATTAATATTGATCATTTTAAATATTTAATGATGAATTGGATAGTGGTTATTTTAAGGAGACATTGTTACTGATGATATGTTTGTTCGTATGTAAATAGTTTCTTTAATGTATTTTGTACCTACACAAGGACTGCAGATGGAACGTAGCTTGTAGCTAAATCTGGCACAGAGCATCTTTTCTTTCCAAGATTAATGTTTTCTATGCACTGTGCTTATTTTAAATAATAAATAAATAAATCCCCAGACACTGCCCAGTTTAGCAGCTCTACTTGAAATGTGGTTTTGTTTAGGTGTGCACTGTCTCACTTTAACAAACTTTTCCAACAGTTCATTCGTGCATGACTCACATTGTTCCTGTTCTTGTGGTGTCTCTTCAGGTGCTACAGATCTGCCCTAAAGACATGCGTGCTGACATCTGCGTTCACCTGAACCGTAAAGTCTTTAAGGAGCACCCCGCGTTCAGGTTAGCGAGTGACGGATGCCTCAGAGCTCTGGCCGTGCAGTTCCAGATGATCCACTCCGCACCTGGGGACCTGATCTTCCATGCGGGTGAAAGCGTCGACAGCCTCTGCTTCGTGGTGGCCGGGTCTCTTGAAGTCATACAGGACGATGAGGTGGTTGCGATATTAGGTAAAGTCCTGATTTAGTCTTGGTTTAATCCTGATTTAGTTCTGGTTTGGTCTTGGTTTAATCCTGGTTTTGACCTGGTTTAGACTAGGTTGTTTTAGAGCAGGGGTCTCCAACCTGTAGCTCAGGAGCTACCAGTAGTTCTCCACCCCCTTCCAAGTAGCTCACCAAAGAGTTTCTGAATTCTATGTATTGTGGGTAATAAGTAAAATTGTATTAATTATGCGCATAATGTATAATTTTGATGTCTAACTTGATCCACCGATAAATGGATTATGGTTTAGAGAGTATACTGATCTGTGATTTGGTTTGTAGGTGTTTGATAATGATTTGATAATTCAAATTTATATTGTGATTGAAAACTCTTTTAAAATACTGTGTATTCTCTCTCCACACTGGTGATATCTTCTGACAGACACATTTTGACTGGTCACACACCCCCAGTACCATCTGTGGTCCAGTGTCTCCTGGGATCATGGTTTGTTACTCAGGATTCTGCCCTGGTAAAATTTGATGGTTAAATGTTCCCTCCTTGGGAACATTTGACTCCTTGTTGACATTTCTTTCTGGAGCTCAGTGTGTTCTACGTCATAAGAGGATATAATACTCCCTACACTAGAAGCATAGACAGTATCAGTGTGTCCCTGTCCATTATCACAGAGAGGGTTCTCAAAAGTATAAAAATTCTATGATAAAAGCCACTACAGAACATAAGTGGACGACTTAGGGATCACACAGATATAAAACTGCATGGTAATATAAAAGAAAATATTATGATTTAATGCTGAAAATATTTCTGTTACTATTACTATTACTTTTATCTAAACAAAGAGTTTACTAAAAAAAATATATATTTTTTTATTATCATCGTAGTATTGAAATCAGTATACCGTATTTTCCGCACTATTGGGCGCTCTGGATTATAAGACGCACATAGAATGGTCTATTTTTGAACTTTTTTCACAAATAAACCACACCGGACTTTAAATGAAACACAACAGTTACATGGCTCACTCAGACTTTGTTTGGCGCGTTCACGGTGACTCTATCAGAATTGTCCAATTGTGGCGATTAGGGAGGGTGCTGTCTGGAACCGCAGGATTGTTGGCGCGTTCGCAGTGACTCAGTTGTTCAGTTGTGGCTAGAAGTGGCACATTGCACTCGCTTTTTCGGTTTGTTGCTCCGTTCCATTCCTCGTCCACGTGGAGTGATGAGTGTGTCTGCGGGTGCTTTTCACTGCGCAGTTGATGTCTGTTTTTTGCGTGTTTGCGTGCGCTGGGGGTGGTGCGGCTTTGTAGTTTACTGAAGTCGTGCTGGGACACCTGAGTGGATTTGTGTATAGGGCGCTCTGTATTGCGGGGCGTGCAGTCCTTTTTTGATGGGGTTGGAGGCTTAAGTGCGCGCCCTCTGATGCGGAAAATACAGCAGTGTTAAAATATAGTTTGAAATGTTGGTATCATGACTAGTGGGGAAATTATACTTCTGTCTAAGGACTCGTCCAGTTTGCTCCTTGTTGACTTTTCTTTGTGGAGATCAGTCTGTCCTGCGTCATCAGAGAGTATAATACTCCCTACAATAGAAGTGTGGGCAGGCCTGAAAAGACAGGATCAGTCTATCCCTGCTATCCTATTATCACAGAGTGTTGAGTGTCCCTGTCTAATATCACAGAGTGTTGAGTGCCCCTGCCTACGGTCCTGGACTGATGTAAACAAATGATGAATCACCTGCCTCTGCTCAGGGCTCAGGAGACTTCTGTTATTTAACACCACAATCTCAGTGTTCCCTTTGGGATAACTCTATTTACCTAAAACATTTGTCCCCCCAGAGAGGTACTCCTCACAGGTACTTATGACTACTGTTGTCATGATACTAAAATTTCAAACTTGATTTTGATACTAAGGAGTAAACTCGATACACTATACTGTAGTCCATGGCCGTATACTAGTTTATATGGTCTTATACTACTAATATTCAGGAAAAGTTCATTTCTGTCCTGGGAAAATGACTTTTTGACTACTGATACTTGTTCAAATTAGTATCTATTGATACTAACATAGATTAGGATTTGATTATTGATACTTATGACAACTCTACTCCTGACAGTTTCTCCTAGGCTTTTTGTTTAGGTAGCATGAAGACACATGTGCCCTGTCATTTCCCAGTTCAAGTCATTCACCAAATTTACTCAGTTACTCACAGTTACTCATTAGTTTGACAGTATTTTCAATATTTTACCAGAAAGTATTAAAAATGTTCTATGTGTCAGTAGTAGCTCCATTCACTTAAGTTCATCAAAGACTGTTTCATAAGGGTTATTTTTAGATTAAGACACATCTCCTCTGTCACGTCACAGGAAAGAAAAGTCCATTCGCTCAGAGCTGTTTGGGGGAAGCTGCCACTACTTCTCTGATAAAAACAGAGGATTTTTAAACATCTGACTGGAACATTAAGTGATATAGGACAGAGACTAGGTTATTGATACTTTGCAGTTATATCACGCTGGTGGGGTTCTGCATGTATGTCTGTGGTGGAATGCTCAGCAGTTTCTATGGTGACACAATGCACACATTAAACACACATACACATTTTTTGGAGCCTGTGATCAATACGGGACATTCATAGTCCTGTTTAGATGTTTGATTTTCAACAAAAAAGGTGAGTGAGACTAACTGAAAAACATATAATGCAAGCTCTGGTGCCTAAACTTCCCATTCAAGTCAATGAGCCGAGCTCAGTGCCGCATGTCTCTGGATTAGCCTTTAGTGGCTCGGTACGTCCGGTGGCTCTCCTGCTCTCAGAACATGTGCAGTATACATGCAAAGGCACATACCACAGAGCGGTGCAAGAGTGGGGCCGAACATAAGCGATTAAAACGTTTTTAAGACAACTGAAGGATTTTGACCTTACAAACAGTTTATGATCTGATGCCACAAAATTCAACCTTTTTGAAAGCTGTAGGTGCCCTGTCATCCAAACACGAGCAGTTTGTGATTACATTGCGCTCTATGGGAAATATATTTAATGGGCAGGAGGAACCAGTAAATGACCACTAATCCAGCTTGAGACAGCTCTAAGCAATACTCTATCCATTTATTTTAATAGATCCAGGCTGTAATGTAATTTGAGAGTGTGAGCTGAGACTGTGCTAAAACAAAGCTGAGATTAAAATCTTGTGTAACAGAGTCTGTCTTCAGACAGAGCAGTGCCTCTAGTTAGCATCATACTCCCAGAGAATGTTGATGACTTTAGCTGAAAAGTATTAAGGAGCTAACTGGATTAGCTTCCCAGACCAGGATTGCCAGACTTCAGTGATCCAATCTGCAAAAGAGCGCATGAAAAAATGCCCCAAAATCTTGCTACTGTATTTATAAAAGTAGAGCAGACCCAATACAGACCCAATAGCCTTGGTGTTATTGCAATATTTTGAGTATTGCATAAGTCAGTATTAACACTTTTGCAAAGAATTAGTATATTGTGCAGACCTAGTATAAATAAATGTTGAAATAATTCTGCTCCTGCCTGATTAAAGGTGTTTGTGTCCAGGTAAAGGCGATGTGTTCGGTGATGTGTTCTGGAAGGAGATGACGCTAGCTCAGTCGTGCGCTAACGTCCGTGCACTGACGTACTGCGACTTGCACATCATCAAACGCGATGCTCTGCAGAAAGTGCTTGAATTTTACTCCGCCTTTGCCAACCATTTCGCTCGCAGCCTCCTGCTCACCTACAACCTGAGGAAACGGGTGAGTCTGGGTCTGGTCCGGGTTTAGATCTCAGTGGGGACTGCTTTAGAGACCTGGTTTATTCCTGGTTTAGACTAGGACTGAACAATATCGATACTAAAACTAACTTTAGGGATTGAGGGATTACACAAATATAAAACCAGATTGTAATATAAAAGGAAGTACTATTATTTAATGCTGAGAATGACATTCTTTTGTCTCAATAAAGAGTGTTTTATATTATCACCATCAGAATTGTCACTGATTAGCAAATCTATTCCTTAGCATCATAACAACACTACTACTGCTTAGTATGCAAGACAGCAGTGAGCTCTGTATCGTTTTTCTGTACCTCTCCCTTCTCTACACCCCTCTCTCCTTATTACACCCAAACTCCTCTCTCCATCCTCTGAGTGAATATAAATGTGCTCCACATGTTTCTAAAGGAGGCGATCGAACCGTGACACAGACATAAATCTGCTCATGCTCTTTACGGGGCCACTGGAGCTATACACCTGGGGGCAGTAGTATATAGTAAGAATGTATGGAGAGAAGCAGGGTAAAGGAGGGGGAGACATGTATGTGTGTGGGGGGTGAGAGGGAGTTGTGTGGAGTGGTGAATACACTTTATTGTTCCAGTATGGAAATGTGTCCTGTGCAGGTTAAACCTGTTACAAGTGGTTGGATGCATCTCCAGATCCAGAGCTAGTCTTGGTCCGGACTACCTTCCCTGGTTGATTTAACCTATTGGGTTGATGGAGGAAATGGGAGTGCTCGGAAGAAATCCACCCAGTCACATGTGGGGAGTGAAGGATAGGGAGAGAAGAAGGAGGAGGATGTATATGAGCAGAGACGATAATTAATTAAAATGTTATTCTCAATTTTCTCAATTTTCAGCTTCACATTGATCAATTACAAATTTCCGATTTAATTTGTATTATGTCTTATTAAAATCAAATCAAAATGGTTTTCTAAACATAAACAATACATCAAATCACTGGCATTTAAAGTTACAGTATTTAACTTTCTGGAGGTGGGATATCACCTGCATGATTCCATGGAGATATAAAGTTAAAACCATACTTCGGAACATTCTCCATGGGGATAGATGTGTTATGTGTTATGACATACTGTGGACTATTATAGCCAAAGTAACATTTCCATGGAAACAAGCCGAAAGGTTTGTGGAGATGTGTCCTTACGGCGAGTGTGCTTAATCTGTAAAGTGCCTTTTAGTGTCCTGAAAAGCACTATATAAATCATTTATTATTGCATGTTTTTCAGTGCCTAAACACAACCAACATTTAAATATGTAACACAAAAATATGATATGACATCAAATTTTCCGTCTGCTACATGCTCTTACTGAATGAGGGTTGTCTTTAGACATCTCCATTTAAAACCACAATCCATTCACTATTAGAAATTAATGTATGCTGATAAAAATTTTACTAATAGCCTAATATTGATGAGGTATAGTATATGAGGAGGGTTGGTGGGTGATGACAGGGGTATATAAGAGGGGTGTTTGTGACTTATGGGGGGGCAGATCACTGTCCCGTGTCCCATCTCTCCCCTGGTCTTAGCTCAAATCGATCTTCAGCTCCGGTTCTGCTTCACTGAGCGATAACCGTGTGACCTCCAGAAGACCCTCCCACCTCAGCGTATCCTAGGAGATAGCTCAGGAATATAAAATTATAAAATATAAAATAACTAGAAGCTCAATACCAATTCTGATACAACAATGAATAAACACTCTTTCTTTAGACAATAGAATGTCAATTTCAACAGAAAACAATAGTACTTTCTTTGATATTATATATACCATGTGGCCTTATAGATGTGTAATCCCTCAGCCATCCGTGTATGCGTATATTCTAGTTTATGTGGTCTTGTATGTGTTCTGCTACAGCTCAAGATCATTCTAAAGCTAATAAAGGACTTACATTTTTTTCACACTACAGAGTGCCGTGGATCTCTACATATTTTTAGTAACATTGCAAAGTAAAATGCTATCTCTTTTTAAATTCCTTTTGGCCAACTCCCAACAGGGCACCTGTGGATATTCATTTGACACTGATGCAATTATTTCTTCAGTTTTTTCATCATTCTAAAGCTATTAAGGAAAAGTTAATTTCTCTCCTGTGAATCTGACAAATTTGTATCTAATTTTAGTATTGATTATTATTTGATTTTTGATACATTTGACAACCGTAGGTCAGACACTAATGTTTATTTCACAGTTCATGGTCAATAACATCTGATATTTTTTTCTACTGTGTAAACTCAGCATTGAGACGGTTTTATTCACTTGTTGGGAGCTTCAGAGGAGAGGGTCCATCACATTCAGACTTCACAGTGCATTTGTATTTCACTCACATCTTTAATTTCACTCAAATAAATCATAATGTCACCTCTACGTGCACGCTGACATGCTCCTCGTGCATGCTCACATGCTCCTCGTGCACGCTCACATGCTCCACGTACACACTTTTATGCTGACTTATTAATCCATCTTTCACCAAAAACTGCATATTAACATGTTTAATAAATTTCACTTTCATATTCTGATGCTCTGAATACTCTGAATTGCTAACTACTCCACCTCACATCAAGTTTGTCAAATTGTTGTGCAGTGTTTTGTATCCTGCTAATGTATATTTACTCAGTATAGTCATATGGGAGCATGTGCAGCATAGTCTTATGGGCTGAGTATTGGACAGAATCTTGCTGCTAACCATAGGAAGGGTTTGAACAGGGGTGAGACATTGCAAGATTAGTCAAACATGAATGGATGACAAATAAAACCACTTGAGGCATGTTTTTGATGAGGAAACAATGTTATAATGTGGTAGAAAGCTCCAAATTATATCATCCATCAATCAATATGGCAGCACTGTGAGTTTAACCAAAACATTCTGAGTACAAAACAATGGAGAGCCTTCCCCATTCTTAGAACCCAAGATCCTGGCTCAGATCTGGTCCACTCCTCCTGACAGACTTAACCCAGAGAGACTGAAGGATGGGGCAGATACAGAGGACACTATAGTAGTCGTAGTAATAGTATTAGTAGCTGCTGTAGTAGTTGTGCTATTAGGTATTAGTGGCAGCGGTTCTGTTGTTTGTTAATTTATCTGCATGTTCACATTCAAGGACACATTTCCATTAAGGGATAATGAATTCCACCTTAACCTCACATACATCAGGCCCTGCACTCTCCTACTGTACATTAGGCCCGTGCACGTGGAGTAGGGGTGTGCACAGGGGCTGGTGCAGGATACATTAGCGCACATTAGCACCGTGCATGCTCGTCTTTCGTGCACGCTCAGCTGCTCGGTCACCTTGAGTTAGAAACCAGATTCAGCAGATCAGTCTGTCATTACTGTTGGAGTACGTGGGCTGGTATCTATCACACTGGGGGGACTTAAAACTATACTCAGACTCACATCACGGAGACCTTCCTCCGTTATAAAGACAAAAATCCATGACATAAATCCTGTATCATTACATCAACAACATGATTTGAAGTTTAGATTTGGTTAGTTTAGATATGGGTTAAAATGGTTTAGGTTTTGCAGGTAGTGACTATGATTCAGGTTAGGATCACATCAATGGAATGTCCCCAAGAAGCATGCTAATCCAACCTATGTGTACAAGTGTGTGGAGGAGCGCAGTAAAGTTCCTCGATCAATACTAAAACATTTGTGGTGTTAAACTCCCTCTTACTTTGATTTGAAAACGGCTCCTAAATTAATTGCTCTTTTGTCCAATTTAATTTGGTTCCTTCAACAAAAATACACCTTTATCTCACCTTAGATTAAGTTTAGTCCTTCACTCATTGATTCTGCAGAAATCCATAATGTTTTTCAGTCCACTGTGATATTGTTTTTCTTTGTTTTTTCCAATACCAATGGACCACGCGTGTCCCTGATTGGCTAATCCACCTGTCAATCATACCCATGTGAAAACTTGGACATTCGCTGGTGATCAGACTCTTCAAGAAATATTGAAGATGTGTGTATTCTAGACCCCAAGCAAAGTGAATACTTGTTATGCTGGCAAATCAAATAAGAGTGCTGTATAATATTATCACTCAAGAAGTCAAAAGTAGATTTCCAAAACATACTTAAAAACCAAGACAACTACTAATAACTACTTACCAATTAAAAAAAAAAAAGAAATGCCTGTTTAAGTCTAATCACTTGTTTTTATTGTACTTGAAACACATGTGAGCACTGTAAGTGGACACAAACCTGACTTATACATTTTCTGGTGGAGCATCTGTCACCTGCTTGTCTCTTTGGAGATGTTCTTACTTTGCCTCAAACTCTCTAAAAATTGAATAATTTTAAAGCAATAAAGACAAACTTGTGCAAGAAACCAAAAAAACAAAGTTAAATCTTTAAAGATATTGCTTAATAATAAACAACCATGTTGTTTATGTTGTTGCGTGACACTTCAGACTTCAGAGTGAGTTATGTGTGCCTCAGTAAGTCTGTATAACTCATCCCTCTGCTGTTATCCTCTGATGACCACAGCTTCCCCCGGGGAATAGAGTACAAAAAAGTCCAGGCAGAATTCATATGAGAGTCCTATTAAATTTAGTGAATTTTAGGCAATTTATTTATTAGTGGGTTTAGAGTACAAACAGCTTATGATTCAACCCTGAATGCTTTTGTTTTTCTTGTCAGATTTCACATGCCTAGGAGGCACTTGATACCTTTATTTTATCAAGTGGATAACAAATCGTCAGCATAATGTAAAGGGGTTAACTATCTACTCCTCATTTATTTGTCCCTCCTGGGTCAATTTGAAAAATATTACTGAAATATTACTAATATTTGTATGGAAAATTAAAATTTAATTAAAATCTGATTTTTGGAGCTTTAGAATTATTTAAATAACATGTAAACTGCAAAATCCAGTGCAAGTAATCAAAGGGACCAGGATCAGGAAGAAATTTGATGATTTTGTTGTTTACTTGTCATTTTAATGGTCTCATAATTCAGTGCATGTAACCGTAGCAACTTCTCTGCGTTACGTAACTGTGACGTGTGAATCTGAGCTTGTTTAAAAGAGGAATCCCTGACTGATGGGAATGCCGCAGGGCTTCATTGAAAAGTCCTGATGTGAAGACAGCTCTACTCCGGGAAAAACCTCTCATTCATAATTCACATGACAGAAGCTTTTTATAGACTCATAAAGACAGACTGACAGAAAAGACAGACTTATGTAAGACAAACCAGAGACCAGGGGTTTAACATAAGCTTTGATTTAACCTGGGTTTGTTTTGATCAGAATGTTGTAAATCTGCAGTGGCAATAAAGCACAATGAAGTTGGCTTTAACTTTATAAAAGTGAATACTTGCCTATCAAATACAGAATGATAACCCTTTATATTTTTGATACAGATTGATATTAGTCTGGTCCGCACAGCCACCTTTGTGTTTCAAGCAAGGCCAATCGTGATTGTGAGATTTGTTTTTGAAATTTGCGAAACTCAGACTCAAAAAGCTCATTGGTCACCTATCACTTCCAAGTAAAATACAGTTTATCTCAGACTAAGAAAGTTTAGTGCTTCACTCACTGATTCTGCAGAAATTTGCAATGTTTTCCAGTCCCTCTGTGACCCCCCCCCCTTCTTTTTTTTTGTTCCCATTACCAACGGACCATGCATGTCTCTGTTTGACTAATCCACCTGGCAGTCGAGTCCATCTTAAAACAGATTCACTGAGACCAGACTCACACTTTCAAAAAATATTGAAGTGAATATTAGTTATGTTATGAAATGGGCTGACCTGTTAAGTCTCACATAAGAATGCTGTATATTATCAGTCAAGGAGTCAAAAATAGATTTCCAAAGTGTACACCGCATTTATGCCCTCCTTCTTCTTCTCCCAAGCTATTCCGGACCATCTGTTGCTGCCTCCTGGTTTTTATATTTGCTTGCAGGCTAAGCCTTGGATGGATTCATACGGCTGACTATAAGGAGGGTTTGATTATGGCTAGGGAAATTGCTAAATTATGACATATAAAACATTATAACATGGTAGAAAAGTCAAAAAAAGTTGATTGAGACCATATTTGTTTTCTTTTCTTATCCAGATAGTTTTCCGTAAGATCGTTGATGTAAAGCGTGAGGAAGAAGAGATGCTGAAGAGGAAGAACGAAGCTCCTCTGAACCTGCCACCGGACCACCCTGTGCGCCGCCTGTTCCAACGCTTTCGCCAACAGAGGGAGGCTCGAATGGCGGCAGAACGTGGAGTCTCCGCCCAACTCTGTGACATCGAAAGAGGCATCATCCATTGTGAAGCCCCATCCCCGCAGATCCTCGCCTCTACCAGCATCGTCACAGTAACCGAACACCCAAACGAGACCGCACCCACCTCGTCCAATGCTCCGCCCATGAGGAATACCAGTCGCAGTACTCAAAATGGTGGGGTGTGTAAGACAGTGGAACCCCCAAAAGCAAAAGGGTGGGGGCGCTTCAAAGAGGCGGTGAAAGCGGAGTCATGGAGCAGCGTGTCCAAAGCTGAATCCATGGAAACACTCCCGGATCGGACTAAATCTCAAGACCAGGTTTCATTTATTTATTTATTTGAACATCTTAAAAAAGTGCATATGGCAGGTTAGGCTATTCATTTTACTAAATCACAGTTCACATATTTAAGAAATGTAATATTAAAACTTTTTTTTTTGTTTATAATTTTATTTTCTTGTCTAATTTGTACAACAGTTATAATTGGACGAATAAAAATAAATGATAACACACACAATTTTATTTTTTGCCATGCCAAAATGTCTTCTTTGTGCTTAAAATGGCCTTTTGGACATAATCTTTGGTGTTGATGACATAGAAGTAACTTAAACAAATTAGATTTTAGCATTGAAACTGGCCTAAATGAGAGATTCATGTTCATGAGGCTCATCCTGTTTTCTGATTGGATAATTGTCTTGAGAACCAAAACAATAAATTATAACATAATCAACTTGGCCCTCATGTCCAAAGTTTTTGTTATTAAGAATAAATCAGCTTTACAATGTTATCAGTTAGCAGAATCTTAGATTTGAACATGTTTATCTAGTTTCTGGAGACACAGATTTGTTGTGTTTTGGGAATTTAACATTCAAATCTTATAGGGTATTCATACTACAAATCAGTAAATGTGGCATTCAGTGATAATGTTGTCATCCACTTAGCAACCCTGGTAGTCTGGATATATTTTGGACCAGTGGAGCAAGTCCCCTGAATTTTTCTGTAAAGCCATTAGCTGCAAAAAGCTCAAATTATGACTAATCAAGAGGGGGTCAGCTGGCACCAACCCATTGCCCACATTTAGTTGAGGTCAGAGCCTTGTTAAAAGTCACTGTTCAGCGTGTAAACCTTTTGATGTTTTATTTTAAATTATCATTTGCACAATTTGTGCATTTTTCAAAATCATTTGTACAATTATTTGCAAACTTGACTGTTTTTACAGTAGTAAACAATTACATGGATTTTTCATAACTTTCACTTAACTTTTTCTTGGTTCAGGTTTCTCTGAAAAAGACAGACTCATGTGACAGCGGCATCACCAAAAGCGACCTGCGATTGGACAACGTGTGTGAGCCGCAAACACCACAGGAGCGCAGCCCGAATGCCACAGACGGGAAGAAGACTCTGACCAATGCCGCATCCGAGCAGCAGATGGTCCACGCAGCCTTCACCGAGCTCAAGCAGGAGATACGAGAGGACATGCAGGCTCTGGACAGACGCATGGGGGCGCTAGAGAACCAGCTCACCCAAATGCTGCGGTTGCTCAAGTCCAGGAAGTCCTCTGGATCCTTTTTCGAAATCTCAAGGCCGCCATCACCAGACTCCGACAGTTTCACTTAAAGGTCCTATATTATGCAAAATTTACTCCTGTGAGCTTTAAGCCATGTTATTTTTTGTTGTTACCTCATCAAAAAACATACCCAGAGTTGTGTTTTGTTCATTCACATGTTTGAGTAAATCTTAATTATTAGTCTGTCTACATCTCCAAATCTTAAATTCTCTGTTCCACCTTGTGATGCCATGAAGCAGTAGTTTTCAAGTGAACAGCTACCTTTTGCATTGTGTTCAATAAAGTTTGGCAGTTCCAGGACTGAAATCATCCATATGATTCTACAGTAGTGAAGGTGTATGAAGCAATTCCTGTTACTGAATTGTGTTTTCTGTTTGAGAGAAGAACCCAGCCTAAATATACAGGGTTTGTGTTTTAAACATGTGCGAATGAAACAAAACACAACTCGTGGCATGTGTTTGATGAGGACACAGCATATAACGTAGATCAGAAAATAGCTTAATATGGGCCCTTAAAAGAGCTTTTACTTTGCACAATTTTATTTTCCCTTCAACAATGAAGGTAAAAATTAAGATATTCTCAGAATGTCTAAAGTCTAAAAATTTTATTTTTGCACTTGGCCAAATCTTTCACCATTTGCGCCACATCTGAATGTTTCAAAGGGCTTATTATTTATTTATTGTATTATTTTTTAGCTATATTATAATGTTGTTTCCTATTCAAAAACGTACCCAGAGTTGTGTTTTGTTTCATTCACACATGGTTAACACACAAATTCTCCATATTTATCCTGTGTAGCTTTCTCACTACACTCTTAGTGTAGCTACAGTCTATATTATCAGACTTTTCCTTTTCTGATGATGATTTGATGATTTCTTTTCTTTTCCTTCTGAGTCTGTCTCTCCTCTCACTGCGTTCACAAAGGCTCCTGTGTCAGCGCTGCTCTGCCTCTTCTGCAGCAGCAGCAGGGACAGACAGTAGCTCCTCGCACACTGCCCTGCTCTTTTTATACACACTGCCCTCTCACGTCTTCTTTCTGGACACTCAAACTACATAGAAATGTCTCCACAGACCGTTTTCTGAGATAAAGTCTGAGAAAAAGATTGCGTATATCGGGAGTCACATTGCAGGTGTGTATAAGAGCGCATTTGATTAAAGCCGGTGTAAAGCCAAAAGCGATTCTGAAGTATTTAAAAGGTAATATCTTTGTCAGTCCTGGTTCTATCAACTTAAAATAAAAAGTGACAGGAAGAAAAAATCCCACTCTGTTAGAATATTTCAGCTGTAAGTCCCTACTGAGAGGTTTTCTTGCTGCATCTGAGGATGCTGCAATAACTGTTTTCCTTTTAGACCAAAATAATTGCAACACAGTGTGCATGGAGGGACACATGCATATCAACCACACACGTATCAAATCGTGTCACCAGTATCAAATGAGTCGATATTATATTGAATATCGTTGCATCTGTAGTGGTAATAGAGGAAGTGCTCCCCTGTGTTTTTAAACTCCATACATTTTCACCATAATAATTTTGATAATTTCAGCTGTGGACTTACCTATCTTTGAAGTTACAGCTATTGTTTTAGCCTCACTGCTTCAGTACCAGAGACTTTCTGTAGTACTCTCCACTGTAGTTACAACATTGATAAAATAAATATATAAATAAATATAAAAAAATAAAAGCATAATTTTAAAAATCCAGGGTTACTCAAACATGTGTGACTGAAACAAAACACAACTCCAAGTATGTTTTTGAGGAGGTAACAACATTTTAACATGGTTTAAAGCTCACAAGAGTCAGTTTTGTGGAATATAATCTCAAGCATCTGCCCTCTAAAGCAATGGCATCCAAAGGCAGTCTGAACATAGCATAACTGCTTAACTTTCTTCCATTTGCACTGTTTTATATTTATAAACAGTGAGGTCTGAATGACACTGTACCACTATGAACCTTCAAAGTGACAGTATAAATGAATTGAAAATGATTGATCAGGACTGAAAACCTGGGAGACTAAGGGACCTAACAGAGATCTTCTGTTTGATAGATATTTTAAGATTATCATTCATGTGAAAGTCATTGAGTGAAATTTTATCTCTTCCTTGGACTGCCCAATTTTAAAAAAATGTCAATCACAATTATTTAAAACTATCATTTATGTACAGTAAAAAATTTACCTTTAGAAAAAGAACAGATTTAATATCATTCATCATGTTTTCATGATTCCTTTTTTAAAGTTGTGCTATGTAACTTTTCTTTGTCAGCCTTCATGGAGTTACTGCTTTGTATGGAATGTTCCACAGTATAGTATTAAACTAATTTATTTCCATGGTTTCCATGGAGACATTAATGTTTCAAGTATTTTTTCAGCAATAAAAATACCTGTAAATTAATAAATAGCATAATTGGATAAGTTTTATGTCATACTGTGGAAAATTCCAGACAAAGCCATAACATCTCCATGGAGACAAGTGAGTCACAAATGAGGGACCAGCAGAAAAGGTACACAGTGCAGCTTTAAAGCCACTGTAGGCTGGACAAGTGGCTTTACTCCGGGATCTGAGGAGCTGTACAAATGCCCATATCATTCACAGCAAAAAGTTTTTTTTATTTTTTTTTTTATTTATTAATTAGAGCAATAACTGTAATAACAATTAAAATATGTACATTGATTGCACAGCCCCGTCTCCTACATCAAGTGTAGGTTATTACAGCAATTCTCCATGTTTGGTCTTCCACCGTTAACAGCACAACAAGGCCAAATGTTGAAAAAAACACTTAGATTCAAAAAGTCTTCCCAGAATTAGATTAAGATATATAATATCTTAAGTCTTCCATAAATAATAAATACAGATTAAGGAGGTTGTGAATTAGACTTCTGATCATTGAGTGGAGTGTGCATGTCCTGTCTGTGTTACTATGACAGAGTGGTTATCCTGTCTCCTCCTCTCAGTAAGGAGGTTGTGGGTTAGACTCCCGATCTGTCTGTACAGGGAGTCAGAATGTCCCATACTCACTGAATGTGATACCACTTAAACAGAGAATGAGGACTCTGTTTTCTTTAGACTTTGCTTCTTCAGCCTTAACTTTGAACTTTGCATCTGGAAGAACTATAGATTTTTTTTTTAGACATTTTTTCATTCACCAGTCTCTGATGTTGACTGACAAGCAACACATCTCTTACCTAAGAGCTGTACATTTAAAGAACATTTGCTTTGAAAACACTTGGATCATAAAATGGTCTTATTTCGTTTCATCAAACAGGAAAGATGAAAGACGATGGACATATTTGGCAATAATTTTGAAGGATTTATATTTGTCTTAAAGCAGAACTCTGTCACTTTCCTCTAGGGTTGTCAAAACCATCGAAAATCAGATGCCAATCATTAGTAAAACTATTATCGAAACTAGACCGATACAAAAAAAAGTGACAGAATTGGGCTTTAGAGACACTGAACACTGTGAAGAAGGAGGAGACGCCATGACGGTCCGATGAAGCAGATGTGAGTGTCTCTCCACTGTGAAGACTGAGTGGGAGCGCTGTAATCTGCTGTGTCTCGTGTTTTCGTCCAATACTAAAATGTATTTAATATATGCAATTGTTGCCATGTGAAATAACCCAGAACTCAGTCGCCACAAGCAAAAGGAAGATTGAAGCTGAAATGTGGACACAACCAGGGCTGTAAATAAGACTAAATGAGAAAAATAATAATAAAATAAAAATCAGTTCACATTTTAAACCCATCTAGGAGCATTAACATTTGACAGAAGATTAAAATCAGAACTTTAAACTAATCCAAGAATCGTATGTGTTTCAGAACATGTTTACAGAGTCCAAACTACAAGGTTAGCAACTTTTACACAGATTAAGACCCCTTGGAGTCACGGGAAGGGCATCTGACACACAGGGGCATTTCAAAACATGAACTGATCCAGTCCTGCTTTAGACCTGGTGTAGTCCTTGTCCAGTTCGGTTTAGACCTGAACTTAATTTCTGGGTCGCTATGGCGACTGGGTTCACATTGAAGCACTTTTGTGTGTTTAAATGTTGTTCGTCTTTGTCCAAATGTTGCATGAACTTAAATTGAGACTGCAACTTGTCCCAGAGGGTCCAGACTGGTCCTGCATGAACCGGACCTGTTCAGAGCCAGGGTCAAGACCTGGGCTAGACTTGGTTTACTTCTGGTTTAGTCTTTTGTTGACTCTGGATTTGAACTGACCCTTGACAGCATTATATTGATAAGTCAGATATGTTTGCTTCTGATAAGACCTGATTTAATCCTGGACTAGACCTGGACTAGACTTGGTTTAGTTTCATCCTGGGTTAGACATTGTTTAGACCTGGTTGAGACCTGTCTTGGACCTGGTTTAGTCCTTGGTTACACCTGGATTAAACTTGGTAAAGTCCTGGGTTGGTCCTGGTTTAGTCGCTTGTTGACTCCAAAGCCCTGATACCACTAAATTGAAGTCTAATGTGTTTGTATTATAATAAGTGTAATATTTATGTGTAAAATGTCAGAGCACTGCACAAAATCCACCTCCAATAAAAGATTTTCTACTTTTGACTTTGAGTTTGACAAAAGACGTGTTCGTGAGTCACTGCAAAAGAAAGAGTTCAAGGGGGTTCAGAATTCCTAGTTTTGATTCATTTAGATTTATTAGAATGTTACAGGACCAACTAGAAAAGCACTCAGAGAGCGCAGACCTCCGCCAAGGACTACCCCCATTTTTTATATAAATTGTGATAAAATCAGTCTTCTGGATCAGATCTGGATCAGCCTTTGGAATATGAAAGAGGATCCCATTGTCCATCCATGAGTCAAATTTCATGGGGTTTGGTCAATAATTAACCGAGATATTGAGAAACTAAATTTTTGGTACCATTTACCACAATGTTAACTAAAATTTCAAAGTGATCCAGAATGCAGGATTTCTTCCAGATCACCCCCAAAATGAAATCACTTCTTCCTTTTCACATTTCCAACAAATCCTGAAAATTTCATCAAAATCGGTCCATAACTTTTTGAGTTATGTTGCTAACAGACAAACAA